AGGATTATTACTGTTTTCATTTGCGACATGTTAGAAGATGTGGGGATACCAATCAAGGCAAGCATATCTTGGTATTTTGCAGTCCTTGTGCTCCTGGTAGAGGTGGGTAGTATTTGCTCAGAAAAGGTGGAGGCTGCATGCATGTGTAACACGAAGCCAAGCAGTGGTTTGTTTGAACAATAGAGTGAAAGAAGTGCATTCTGGTGAACGCAGCTCAAATATTCCAGCTTTGCTCCTCCCTTAGTCAAGTGGAGAAAAAACCCACAGAGTTCACATTACACCCAGGCCAGTGCTGTTTGTTTGGAAGGGAAAAAATATATCATCACTGTTTGGACATAATACTTTTACATGCCACCCCAATCTCTGTGCGTTGTGAGATTCTGGGGGTTCCAGGTACTTAACCAGTGTTTGTGTTTCTTGCGGGAATGAGGCACAGCAGAGACTTTGATGTCTTTATGATATATGGTTTATTTACACATATATACAACCTGAGCCTGCGATGGAGGAGCTTACAGCATTAACACCCCAAAAGGGTCTTGTTTCTCCCATAGCCGCAGCCTTGGATTCAAACAGACATCAGGTATTGCTCTCTGACTCTCCAGCTTGCTGCTTTACATCACTGCAAACTCTCAGCTCTAAAATTCAGGCTTTGTCCTTCTAACTATCCTTGAGTTGAGGGAGGAGCCCCACCCATTTGTTCTCTAGCACAGAGCCCCTTTCCTTTGTTCTCTTAATGGCCCATCACCCAGGCGGTCACCTCAACACAGGAAGCTAGCCTGGCTTATATTTTAACACTTGTTGGATCCAGGAATTTGAAGGATCTCACATATAGCCTACTCCCTCCCGCCCTCCCCACTTCCCAAATTCATAACAATACCAAGCCAGCCGCTCTGTGGTTTGTTTCCTCACTGATGAAGAGAGGCATTTTTGCTCAGACACCTCATGCATATTATAGTTAAAAGAAGCCACACAGCCTGGTTTAGGATTATGTGTGAATGCAGACAGCGAGGTTGCTAATGAAAGTCTCCTCCACTTGCCGCTTCAGCAAGAATGCTGCCTTATAGCCAGCCAGAAAGTGGCTAGCCTTGGCAGAAAGAGAAAACTAGGACAGATGGATCTCTCTTCCTAGTAATAGTGTTAGCAGCTTTAAAAACGTCTGCAGTGCCTCCTAATCTTGTACAGATCATCATCACAGGTGCACATCTCTGTAGGGTTGTGTTTTCAAACAATTCTTTCCTCTCCTCTGTTGTTTCATGGTTTTTGCTTCTCTCGCTTTTACTGAGACGTGAGTGATGTGGTCCTTGTGAGAAGAACTACAGGCTTGGAACTGTGTATGTAGGAGAGCTGTGACTCATCCTCTGCAAGGATTAGATTTGCTTCTTTGGTACCAGCCTGTTCTGAACTATGTCTCTAACTTCCTCTGTGTGTTGCCACCTGCTTTCAAGAGCACCGCAATTGAATGGGCCAATCAGCTCACACAGAGCATCAAACGTCTCTTGTACAGTTGCACAGCAAGCCTATTTCGGCAACTAGGTTATTACACAGAAGAGTGAACATTTTCAAAAGACACACGGAAAATCTTCTTGTCCCCTCTGGGTTTTCGCTTTAAATCATGTGTTACCTAGGGACAGTTCGTCATCACGTTTTGTGAACATGGAAAACGTGTGTAGAAAATACTGTGTAGACTGCATGCAGATCGTCAGGTGTGATCTCTTATTATGAGTTCATTTTGCTTTGTATGTGTATACTAGGAAGCCATATTTGGCTGTGGCTTCCCATTATGTGCATACACAGAAAAATCCATACATTAATAGCTACATGTGGGTTGCATGCTCTTTCTTATGAAAGAGTGCTTTTTGGGGGGTGCGGAGGTAGAGTGTATGAAGTGACTAATTTAAAAGCTTTATACACATAAATAACCAAATAGTGCTATTTCTGTGTAGTCAGATTCCTTTATAATTAGAGCAGTGTGTATTCTGCATCTATTTACCTCAGCAATATCCAGTTCTGCAGCAAAGAAAGTTAAGTTATGCTATCTGAATATATTATGCAAATAAGTGCCATTCAGTTTCTGCAAAAAAATTGTCCTCTTCTACAGTTCAGCTGTCTTGAACATTACAAATCCCATTGAATAAGACTGTGTATGCACTCCCTTTTGCTCTACATCCAGTGTTCTCTCACAGCTGGTTCTGGAAGCAGTGTACACATGACATTAGCCACAGTCCATAACTAGCCTGTATCTATCCTGTCATTTCTTACAAAATGCTGTGTTTTGATGTGTTTTTCCCCAAACCAGCTTCGATCCAAATTGAGAGGAAGAGTGACTTAGCTGCCTTTTTAAGCCAGTAATGTGTGCATAGCGTAAGACTGCTAATCCTTTGTTATGCATTGTGAAACTTTGGAAATTGGGCATGCTAGACATCCAAATAGAATAATAAATTTTGTGTGTGCTTAGTTCTCCTGCTCCGCATTGAATCCTAGGGTTGGAAAAGAATAAGTGCAACCCTTCGTCTCAAACAGTCCCAGCTGACTTAAGCAAATGTTCTACACTGCACACGACAGGGAAGATGAAATGCTCAATCTGACCTTGAGGCACACTGAGATGGCATAAAATATGGGGAAGGGATAGAAACCATGGCAGGAGAAGGAAATGGGCACCAGGAGACAGGGAACATATACGTACTTGGGTGATCAACTGAGATCTGGGGTGTTTGGTTCTGCTCTTTCTTTATCTGGGCTCTGTGAAGACAGATCAATATGTTTCAGCATCTCTTTTCAAAATTTCCATTAAGTCTCTCAAGTTATTGTCCTATTTTCCAATCCACATTTTTTAACTTGTTCAGCATGGATCTCTAAGCATCGCTATCTGGTCTCCAAATCTTTGGCTGACATTTATTTTTTTATTTATTTTTCGCGATTGTTTCTGTGTGGTACCTAAGATAACATCTGGGGGGAAATAAATTTTCTGCAGCTACTTCTTTATATGTCCATACTATGTTGCCTTCCACTTCTAGATCCAAACACCAGTGAAACTGCATCATAGTGCTTTGCTATGAACTTAACTCCTGCCCCCATAAGGTAACCCAAATAGTGCAATAAGAATAAGCTCTGCAAGCTGCTTCGTTTTCTCAGTAAGTCCTTTCCTTTCCACAGCATTACTGAAAATGTGCTGCAAAACTCTGATTAGGCATGACCCCCTTGCAAATGTGAAAGTACAGCATATCCTACCCACGTGTAAAAGAGATGCATACTTGCTCCTGGGCGAGAGCTGTGCCATTGACCACCTCCTTTTTTAGATTTAACTAAATGTGCACCTTATACGGGCATCCAGCAGCAAAAGAGTGCATGGCCTTGACTGAAACAACAATTCCCTAAAGGTGAACAAACAGGAAAGGCACTGCAGTAGGAAAATAGTTAGGCTTCTGTTCAATGCAGTCCCCACGCCAAAATGGCTAGGTGTGTGTTTCATCAGCTAAATGTGGTCAGAAGAAGCCCACAGCTTCCAAATAATTACCAGTACTTTGTATTTTAAAAGCCTGTCACTTCCATCCATTTTGTGTATGGGGTGAGTTTGTTCCGTGTCATGAAGTGAGTCACAAAACAATTATATTTTTCCCCACATTTTTTTTTATTAAAAGTTTTCATAATACATTAAAATTATATGTAGAACAAATGAAGTCAGAAATATCAAGTACAGTACCCAGCACGGCAATGCACTGATGGGCAAATCTGTACTTTTTGCTCTTCTGTAATGTGGTTTTCAAAGACACGGCTCTCTCAGAACATAATGGTGGGAACTCCATTCTTTTGTGATTCTGCCAGAATTACTATTGTTCGATAAAAGTTGAGAGTGTTTCAGCTATATCTTTGTTATGGTGGTTAACTGACAGGGACATCCCCCGCACTCCTATTACTCAGTTCTAGATGTTTTTATCATGAAGGGCCATGTGCACTGGGAAGGGAGCAGTAGATTCTTCTCCGAAACATCCTTCAAGGGTTTTAATGTCTACATCTTGGTCTTAGCTTTGCCATTGGAGGGGAAGGAGCCAGGGGAAGGAGGCAGCTCAGCATCCTTCAGATTCTATCCACTCCAATTACTGCTTGCATGATAAACCTGGCAGTCAGAATGCATGAAGTGGAAGGTGAAAGTGGGGATGTGCAGTGCCCCCTTCTCACTTTCCCCCTTCCCAACTGATAGGAATTGTGAGACATTGGCAGCCAGCTGCAGGCCGTCTGGGTCGCTCTACGGGAAATAACTTCTCTGTTTTGTACTAAACCTTACAAACGCCTTCCAGACATCCAGTTTACTGAGCAGTCATTGTGATTTGTGCTCACAATGCTACTGGGGTGGTTATATGTGATCACATTTTCAACGCTATTTGCACCTGCCAAAGTTTTAGGGCAGTCGCACTGCTTCATTTCCAAACAATGCATATCCTATCACTTCCTGCTGAAACCCTGTGATTTTTCATACCACAAATGGTTTGTGTGTGTGTTTGTCCTACTATAGTTTGAGAGTGCCCTTCCAGATGGCAATAATGCAGGATTATGAAAGCATCTCAGGACATATAATAAAGTGGATGGTCCAGTATAAATCCACCATGAATGCACTGTTAATGCGTCAATGACATATTGCAGAATGCACCTGCAAAAGACAGACAAACCCATCAGTCTGGAGGGGCCCTGACCTCATTAGTGATCAGTGATGGAAAGTCTAGGTTCCCATATGCACTAGAAAACTAAGACTGATAACTGAAATATCTGAAATACATATTCAGATCCTAAAAATTAGATGCTGAAAAGATAAGATATTTCTGAAATATGGTTCCAGTCCTATTTATGATTTCTCCTCTGTGAGGAAATTGGATTGTAAACTCATTGGTGAGGGAGGGGGAGAGAAAAACCCTTCTACATAAATATAAAAGTAGTAACAGCTTCACTTCTACCCTCCATTCCATTCCTGTTGTCTCCCTCTTACCACTCCTTTTTGGCCCACTGGAATGGACTTTGTGTACCTACTGCAAGTAGGTATTGAAGATTTTCTCATGGCTGTGTATTTGATCCTTCCTCTTGCCAAAGCAGCTCCTCCGCAGAAGTCTGACAACTGCCAGGATCTCAGAATTAATTAGCTTTTGCAATGATAGACCATCAAGATCATATCATCAGGGTTGCGTTGATTCATCTGAACTGTTCATACATTACAATTATATTTTTGCAAGTGGAATAATATCAGTAATTTTCTGATCTGCCCCCGCACCCAGTTTCCATGGTATCTGAGAGCCTCCAATCTGTTACCAATCGCTACACAGAGTGATCACCTCTCCTCAGTCCAGCTTGCCACAGTGAAATGTGCAGATTGAAACCAGGCTCTCACTGAATACTAAAATTGTGATCATAAACCAGGGGTCACCAACCTAAGGCTCATGGGCCGGAAGCTGCCTGCGGAGGTTGTTTGATTGGCCCATGAGCCGCCCCTGAACTGAGCTGCCCACTCGCATGCTGCGCTAAAGCAGTGCAGTGTGGTGCGGGGTCTCACTTCCGCGGTGCCGAAAATTGCAAGGGGGGGGGGAACGATCTGGCCCAGGCAAGATAAACCTTGCTGACCTGTCATAAACTGGAGCAATATTTTCTTATGGAGCGCTGTGAATATGTTTTCTTGTTCTCTTGAGGAATCATATGAGTTTCACCTATAAGAAAGGGCAAAAAACTAGCCAGAATGGAGAGAAGCTATACCGTAGTGTGTAAGCCAGATCAGAATCAATCAAAGCTGATAAATAGACAAAGAGGATCAATACTGTTTCACTGAGCTTCTAGGCGCAGCCTTTTACAGGATCAGTTCTCTTGTGGGGGGAGAGAGCAATGGAGACTTGTGTTCTTTTACAGATATGGTGAACACTCAAACTGAATTTTAGTCTTTAAAGCACCATCATCTCCCCCCCCCCCCGGTTAAAAAACCCCCCACCAAAAAATAGCGTGACCTTGGAGCAATTTCCTCCAGGTTCCAGTTGAGAGCAGCAGTGGGAAATATCTGTTGTCTTCAAGCAAAACCTGGTTGGCCACTGTGGGAAGCTGGCTGAGGTGGCCTGTTGTGTGATTCAGCAGGACTCCTCTTATGAAATCTCCCTGGCTTGCTCTTAGTAGCCAGCTGCAAAAACCTCTTTTCTCTTGTTACTGACTACATTCAGCTTGTCCAAACTAGTTGGTTCCACCCTCAATCAGTTGGGCAACCTGTGTTCAGCACCCAGTAACCATCAGCCATCAAGGATATGTACACACAACAGTTTAAAGTAGATTTGATTAATCACGTGTGCATGTTTTTCACATTGTTCGCATCTGTTGACCCAGTTGTTCTTTGTCCTGACGAGACACTCCTCAGTGGGCTGCTGGCTCTCTAACAGGCAAGGCTTTGATATACAAGTACGTTTTCATTTTTTAAACTACGGCATAAATCTGGTAACACCTCCCCCCAAAAAAGTATGTTTTAATATTGGCTGTTTTGCCCACTGTGAAATATGCTTGATATTTGGCTTCTGTGAAAGTTGTTCATTATTGTGCTAATTTACAGACAATTATCTATATGGCACAGGTAAACAAATATATCTCTTGTGCAAACCCACCATGGACCTCAAGTTTCTGGAACTTCTAGAGGGTGGGGAAGTAGTAATTGAGGTGAGGGGACAACAGCATGAATACATCCCATCAAGTACCACCCACTTGTATAGTTGGGAAAGATCAAAATAGACAGGGAGACAAAAGGGCGCAAGAGCACACATAAAGAAAGGGCTGCTGTGACCCACATGCACAATAATGCCTTGTTGCATACACAGCTCAAAAGCAATTTAGCAAGTGGCTTTAGCTAGCAAACGACCCCAAAGCCTTCTGAGGAGATTATGTTGCATATCTGAAGAGGATGCTTATGAGAATACTAAGCTCAGTGTCAATGCAGTACCATGGTAATTAAGGCTTGAGGGGGTTCTACCCTTTGAAACACTTTTTCTCATATCAGTTACAGCACTTGCGTTGTAGAGGTCTTGTAGCCACGGAGCAAATATGCCATTTTACTTGACTTAACTGCAGAGCAGCCCCAAACATCCTGCACCTTTGGTGTGGGTAGAACCAGCCTTTGATCCCTAAACAAGATAGCAACATCACATTTCATCTTCTTTGTTCATGTGCTATTTTTGGCTTTGGTTTCTGCAGATCTGCTTGTACCAAGGCACTTAGGGGCTGAGATGGGAGGAGAGTTCTGGTTTTTTTACCAGGATAGTATTTGGCAATAAGCAAACAAAGCGGCAATTGGCTCCCTATTTACATGTCATAATGAGGAGACAGGTTATGCAATCATATGTGTAAAGAGACAACAGGACATTGATTACTCAGCTCTATTATTTCACTCTTTCATTGTGTTCTTACATCACGACAACATATGGCTGTGAGATGTACCTTTAGAGCAGGGCTACTTAACATGGTACCATGTAGATGTTATTGCATTACAACTACTGTCATTCTTTACTGTTGGCCATGCTGGCTGGGGCTGATGGGAATTGGAGTTTTGATTGCCCAGAGTTTTTAATATATGCTAATTTTGTTCTTTTATTGTTAATGTCTTTATTGCTTCTCACTATTGATTTTACTGCTTCTGTTTTATTTTTGTTGTTCATTAGTGCTCTTGAGATGTTGTTGGACTAAAACTCCCATAATCCCTGACCGTTGGCCATGCTAGCTTGGACTGATGAGAGCCGGAGTCCAACAACATCTGGAGGGAACCACATTGGCTACCCCTGGAGTAGTCTGTGGGTGTCACAGAGTGTGCCGGTCAGTAATCACACAGATCATAGTTGGAGTTAACTCTTTATTAGCAAAACATGATCTCCACCGAGCAGGCAGAGTGTCAGCAGCTCATTCTCAGTAGGTCCCCACCTGCACACAGCCATCTAAGTCCCTTCCTCCCCAGGGCTGTTGCCAAGCCTTTGGAGACTTAAGACTGCATGCAGCCTGTTGCTGCTCTGCACATTTCAACCCTCTTCTGGTTCTGGGAGATCAAGGGGAAGGGGAGCTTGTTGCAGCAGGAGGGGGAGATACCTGTGACTCTTCACCAGCCCAACTCATCTCTGCCTCTTGACTTACTTCCTCCCACTCACCCGCTTCATCTTCTGCCTCTGATTCTGGACTTCTGTCTGCCAGACTCTCCCAGCTCACTAAGCTCTGTTACTCATTCAGCTTCCAACACCTCCTCTTCCCAGTCTTCACCCCCTTCTTCCTCTGACCACTCACTTTCTGGGGCTGCATCAGTGAGAAAAGGTTGTTGCCTTTTTTCACCAGACAGAATTGCAGAACAGCCTTCCTAGCCAGCAATTCTGTATAATATCAGCAATGGTAGTATCATACTCACAAATGCTAGCAGAGTAGCTCCATTAGAGACAAATATATGGTCACTTAAGCTTTCACAACTTCTGCTTCATGCATAGGTCCTAATCTATAAAGTTTTATGCCGCTGTAAATGTGCTAAATTTGAAAGTGCCATGATGCCTGTTTCTGTCATGGAGGGAAGACCAGAGATGTGCATATTATTCTGGCAATGCATCACTGGAAGAGCTTGTTGATTATATCCAATATTTTATCATCTTGGTGGGGAGATTTCCAGCCCAGTGTTATACATAGCTTAGCTGTAATAAGGTTCCTGTATAGGAAGCTGGGGTAACTTGGTTCCAAGTGGTTAAGTAGCACAGTCCTTAGTGGTCTCATGTGATCTGGCATGAAGTCATTAGGATGTTTGGACAAACATGGTACACCCTTCATGTGTTAGGGGGGCAGTGGAGTCAGGCACAGATTATGTGAGCATGAGAAGGGGGCCCTACATGCATACCATTGTACATTCATAGAGCTCCATGTGAGTGGGAGGAACCTGGGCTAATCAGGGTCTTCCTTTGCATTGGAATTTATACATCAGTATGCATGTAGGGCCGCTTCTCACGGGCTGCGTACATATTACTGACTGAAAATGCTGCTCAGTTGTTCTTTTTCTGAAGTCACACTGAAGATAGCTTCAGGGGGTAATGTATTGAAATGCAGTATTTCATAAGAAACTGCAGGATAGATAAAGGATAGAAATGGATTGTGGCTAATGCCGTGTGTTTGCTGCTTCCCAAACCGGTGGTGGAATGTACTGGATGCAGAATACACAGGAGTGTGTGCACAAGCTCATTCTCCAAATGCATGGCCAGCGCGTGCAGAGACGGAAGGGTCTCGCTCCTACAGCCCTTTGTGCCTTAGTTTAACATGTGAGGTGGTTTGTTTGAATGCTTCTATTTCTGACAAAGGTCAACAGCTAGTGTCCAGAACTTCTGTGCTGCCTGGGGGTCATAGCCACCAAAGATGGAAGTAGATACTTCTTGCCCTTCCAGAAACCACCAGCAAATAACTTTGAAACATGTTTGGCACATGTCCTCGGAAAAAAGGCAGGAAGCATCTCTTCTGTGTCTCAATCTTCTCTCTGTTGCACTAATTGCAAAACCTCTCATCCTTGCATTTGGAGTTTCCTTCCTTCCTTCCTTCCTTCCTTCCTTCCTTCCTTCCTTCCTTCTTTCCTTCTTTCCTTCCTTTCTTCCTTCCTTATCAGGCCCATGGATTCTAATTAGGCTCACTTTATCACCACAACAACCCTGCAAGGTACGGTAGCCTGGGAGGTTGTGAATTGCCCAAGGTCACCCAAGAAGGTGCATAGCTTAACAGGTACTTTCCTCCCAGAACCAAACTCAACATTATTTTTGTTGCACCTGGTGTTTTCATTGCTGAGCTGGCAAGCGAAGCATCTTTTTCATTTTGTTGTTTGTCCTTCCTAGGAGCAGGTGGGGCTTTTGGGGGTTGGTGGGCAGGGGGGACCATAACATGGTGACTTTTGCCTGCCACTGAAATATGGGGCTGGAAGGACTAATTAGCTAATGATTGTAATTTGAGCTACAAATGTGACTGCCAAATGGGCTGGGAGTGTGCGCGTTTGCGACTCTGTATAAACCGCAGCACCAAACACCTCCCGCCCACGCATATTTAACTGACAGAGAAAAACATCTGCAACTTCAAAAAGGGGAAATTCCAGATGCAGCATTTGTGACGTAGTGAGGGGGGGGGTGTTCCTCTCTGTCAACCAGGCATCCCCTGTTCCGGATTTGACATTTGCAAATCCTGCACCCCCAGGAATAGTAAGAGAAGTAAAATCACCTGCCTCAGAGGAATCCTCTCTGGGGCGGGGGGGAATGTGGGCTCCACAGCATATTCACTCCTCACCACTTTCCGTTACAAACCGAGCTGTCACCCGTTCCATGAAATCAATCTGTGGTCTCTTGAGACATAAGCAGGATTACACAAGAATCGCTCAAAATATATATTTAACTACAATACTTTAGTGGATTACAGAGCCAAGCTGAAATGAACTAAAACATCAGATCATCTCTCTGGCTCTGTGTTGGAAATGCATGCTTTGGCCTGTAAGGTGCCGTGCAAATGTCATGCCAGCTCTCAGTTAACCATGCTTAGGAGCCTGGGAACTACGGGAGCAACTGGAATTGTGTGTGTCCTCTCCCCAGGCTTGAATACCTGTGCCTGCTCACACTGTTCCTAAACATGTTTGTACAACTGCAAAATCAAGCTGTGAACTGCATATGATTTGCTCTAAACTGGGAGCATATGCTATACAGTAGTTTGCAATCAGACCTGCAGGTTGTGAAGGGGAAGAGGGCTGAGGATCCATCAGGAGACAGTTGGCTGTTATTTTATTTGTTAGAGATGCCCCCATCACTTGGCAGCTGACAATTATAACAATTAAACTGTTAGCAGAATAAGACTATATCCTTAATCCATTTTCTAGGATGCATGAGCCTCCGTGGTCAATCCATCTACTTTTATAAAGGACAGACAGTGTATGGCCTGGATCTTTTTGGTCTCTCTCTCTCTCTCTCTCTCTCTCTCTCTCTCTCTCTCGTGTGTGTGTGTGTGTGTGAGAGAGAGAGAGAGAGAGAGAGAGAGCGCTCCAGAAGGGTAGGAATAGAGTTGCCACGTTGTATGGGAATGTAGCTGTTACCTGGAGTCCTAGGCCTCCCAGCTGGTAGCCTGAGCAGTGTACCATCTGGCTGAGATTTTAAGATTAAACCTGGAAAAACCTTTGCTACAGTCAGTGGTAAGCACGCATATCCCCCCTGCAAATTTGCATATTTTGTTGGTTTGTTTTGCTGTCTCCCCCCCCCGCCCCCCATGGCCGTTACCTACCTTGAGCTTAGTAAGATGTGGTATATGGGTCAAAAATGCAGCAAACAAAACATAAATATGTCATTGGGAACATACACTCTTTGTTTCAGAAAATAGTCACAGCTCAACATGCACATAGACCACACCCACCCACCCAGATGGATGGATTGATTCATGTGCACAGCATTTCTAGAATGACAGGCAGGCACACTGAGTCAAGACTAGTGCACATACATATATCAACACCCACGCGTTCCTACACAGAGCAGTTGTAGATGCTGACTCCCCTATCCTGCCGTGCAGTTTTATTAACAGATTGAATACAGAGATGAGCTGATCACATGCTAAACAGAAACCTAAGACTATAGAATATGCATATATAATACTAGATGGGTGCACATGCAAAACACAACACATACACCAGGAAAAAATGGAAATTGTGGCACTGCTTTTTTTTTTTTTTTAATTAAATATTTTATTAAGGATTTTCTTGTTTTACAGAAGTAAGTGTACTGCCTCGTATATATATTTTTTTCATGTAACATTTTTACAAATCCATTTCATTTGTTGAGGCATTAGGGGGGAGAAGAGAAAAAAAAAAACTGAAAAAACAAAGGGGGGTGGAGAGACAGAAGATGGATGGGGGTGGGGTCGGGTGGCGGTGTTTCTATTATGTTTAATGTATGTAGAGTTTGGTGTCAGCGTTGCTTGTGTTGTTCACTTGTGTTCCTTTCGTGGTGAGAGAGGTTGGGGTTGGCCTAGGGTGTGATTGTCTGCTTGTGATTGGCTGTGGTGATCTTTGTTTTCGTGTGTGAGTGAGGTGGGTGGGTGTTTTGGATCAGGTTAGCCATATTGATTTGTATGCTGTTGGTGGATTATTGTCATTGTCCTGTTGGGCTGTGTATGTGATAAAGGGGAGCCATACCAGGGTGAAGACGTCGTCTTCTGTTTGTCCCCGTGTCAGTTTCAGTTTATTAGTTAATTTTTCTAGTAGGGCTGTTTCCCATACTATTTGGTACCATTGGTCCATGTTTACTCCTGACAGGTCTCTCCAGTGTCTGGTTATGGTGTTTCTGGCTGCTGAAAGTAGGTGGGTTATGAGTTCTTTGTGGTGTAAATGGGCATTGTTGTCTTGGAAGATGTTTAGTAGGGCCAATTCTGGGGTGATGTCTATTACTTGCTTAGTTATTTTACATATTTCTTGTATGGCTGTTGTCCAGAATAGTTGGATTTTGGGACACTCCCACCACATGTGGAGGTATGTGCCTGTGGAGGTGCACCCTCTCCAGCATTTTGGTGAGGTTCCTGGGTGTATTAGCGCTAAATTGTGGCACTGCTGACGTTTTTCATGTTCACATGTATAAATACACTTAAAGGGACAGTGAACAGAACTGCCACCTCAAACGTATTTTCCATTCATATGTGTCAATGTGCATTTAAATAAACTTCAAATATAGAAGTGCACACATAGCTTTGACAATTAGCCAAGAGGCATTTTTAAAAAAAGATCTGTTTGCCATTTCAGCACTAATCAAGTGGGAACCCTAACAGAGATGTGCAAACACCTAACAGAGTTCAGACAAACATGACCTTTTGTGGCCAATACATTCCCTCCACCCACCTCAGCTTGCAGGCCTGGGAACTCCATTCACCTATTCCTCACCTGCCCTTGTGTGTATATGTTTTCCTCCTCCATAGCAGCAGGCAGATGCTGATAATCAAGCAGCCCTGCCCTGGCTCTGGGCTTAGATTTCTGCCAAGAAGGAAAACCCTGTTGAGGAAATAAACAAATAACAGTGATGGGTGTAACATCTGCCTCAGCCAAGGAGTGAGCAGGGCATGTGGAATGCATTAGTTTAGCCCTTTGTGGGCCAGATTTTCAAAAGCACCCAACTCCAGTTTCAGTATTGCAGTAAGGGCCAAAGAGTTCCCTACCAGTTCCTTTCTTGTGTCCTACAAACAAATTGCTAAAACTGCTGTTGGGCCTCCTCTGCACGCCCAAGCTATGGGCATATTGCACAATGCCTACAAACCTACAGGGACGCACACAGACACAGACATGAAGTGTACCACTGAATAGTATGCAAGATGGAGGTCTGTGTGTGCAAAGCTAGAGAAACAGTGCTCTTCTTGCAATCAACGAGATGTAACGAATGGAAAGGAAGAAAACCTTGTGTGGAAAAGTTGCAGCCTGTAGTTGCAACAAACCACTTGCATAACCAAGCACATAAAAAGAACCTCCAAGGCCACAATCTTCAGAGTCAGATTGTTAAGTGGGCTGCCCACAGGCACAAGGGTGGTGTGGATTAGCCCTAATTTTTAAAACACAGTGACTGCTGGACATGCTGGCAATCTGGCTTTGCGGCAAACCAACCCACATAACTCATCACTGTGCATTAATTAAAAATGGGTTGATTTAAACAGCAGCAAAGGCAGCTCAGTTGGAAACTAGTCCCCACATGTGTTCTATCAGTCAGTCTTAACATGCTGGCAAATTCAATGCACTCAAAGGAAAGAGGATGAACCAGAAAATAGTGGGAAGGCAGGGGTTTTTTTAAAACAACAACAAACTTTTTAACTGTGCAGGAGTGGACTTTGGTAATATTTCATAGTATGGCACCCTGTGCGAGGCCAAAAATTTGATGCCCCCTTTTCATTTACGGATCTTCTCAATTTTGCACCCTCTTGACTCGGCACTCTGGGGGGGCGGGTACTGCTTGTACAGCCCTATATCCAGCACTGAACTGTGCTGCTCTGCATAGAAAAGGATTCTCTCTAAACCACAAACTACTAATACACAGGTGGAACCTGTAACAAAATGTTGCAGTGTGGACTGTTCCTGTTCAGGGTGTTATTGGGGTTGTTGTTTTTATTTTGATCATATAATATATATACTGTGTGTGTGTGTGTGTGTGTGTGTGTTACCTGGAGGTCTCAGGGCAGTTCACAGAAAAGATAAACATAAAAACCACTGGTTTTTATGTTTATCTTTTCTGTGAACTGCCCTGAGACCTCCAGGTGGTAAAGGGCAGTATATTATTCATCATTATCATCATCAACTATGCTTTTTTCCAGGATATTCCAATCCATCACATACCTTTTTCTTTTTTGTCCTACCCCAACACTCTGTGACCACTGTCCATATTCAGTCACCATTTAGCTGTCTCTCTGTGTGCCTTTTGTCCTCTGGGTTCCCTCGTGCCTCTAAAGATTTTTCTGCTTCTGCCAACCTTCAGGTATCCCTGAACAATCTGTTTCCCATTAGCTCCTTCATAACTCCATAGCTGTCATAGCTCAACTTTCAGTTTGATTCTAGTATATCATAATTCAGGATACAGTTCAATAAAGCTGGAATGGCTCTAGAGCAGTTCTGATTATAAAGCTGTGTGCTGGATCTTATTGCTCTGATCACAATTCACAGGTTTCTGTTGAAATGTTGGGTATCTTCTTCTGAGCACATTCTTAGCTCTTCTGAAGTGACTGAGCTCGTATGTCCCATGTGGGCTTGGTGTGCATCTTAGGATATACCCAGAATCAAGTTTTCGACAGAAGGTGACCCCAAAGATAGAAGTTTGAAAACCGTTAATCTAAGGGAACTAGGATGAATGTTTTCATACTTTTTTTTAACGCCTTCGTCGGGAATTCTGCATGTATCCACTTATCTCACTTACCGTATCTCACTTATACCCATTGTTCTTGCTTTCTCCATGAAAACAGCATATAAGTAATCAGTAGATATGGTTGAGAGAAATGCAAAACAGCAATGCAAAACAGCAGCGGGGAGGCCTAGAGGAAACGTGGAAGAGGGAGGGAGAGATTCTTATAGGCTTTGTGGAGAAGATAGGGGGGCACTTTTCCATCCTGGTCCTAATTTCTGAGCCCGGGTCCCACCGCCTCGTTGGATGGCCAGGTCTCTATTGAGGAAGCAGCTCGTATCGTTTTTCTTTTCTTTTTGCCCGCCATTCTTCCTCCTCCTTTCACCCGCCCCTCCCCTCCACCCGGTGTTGTGTGCTTTAATGTATACAATGAAGGAAAGAAGAAGTCGAAAGAGAACTGCCTTGCGCTGATGTCAGGAGTAGGGCTGGCTCAGAGGAGGGTGTGATTGAGTTTGCTTGAGCTTCAGTCAGCCCTCTGTATTTTGTGCTGCCAACTTCCAGTGTGCTGCTGAGCCGGTCTGCAAAGCAAGGTACAGAAACCCCTCGCTTTCTTTTATTTGTCTTCTGTAGCGACGCTTTGTTGACGGAGGTGTGTGTGCGTTTTGCGCGCTGCGCGCTGTAAGGCGCGCGCTAGGATAAAGGAATCCGGCAGGATTTGGGGGGGGGGTATTTGTTGTAGAAGTTTCAGTAGATGAGATGTGCAGGGGGGCAGTTTTCAGGGCCAGCATGGTTGTGAACTGTCTGCTTTTTCGCAAGTGGACTGGACGGAAGCAGTAGGCTTAAAAACCACGAGAGCCCCGAGTTGCTTTGCTTGTCTGCGACCAGAGACAGCATTTGGGGTGGGGAAATGTGTGCAAATCGTGCGGGGGGGGGGGGGAGATCCTCACAGCCGTTGCAAACCCCACCACCACCACCAGCTTTTCAGTTCGACCGGATTTCGTTGTCATTATTTTTGTCTGTCTGCAAGAGAGCGACAGAGCGCTGCAATCTGGGAAGGGGCAAAAATAGGTTTCTTTAAAATATGTATGACTCCAAGGCGCGTCCCGGGGAAGCAGGCGGACGGCTTTCTTATTTTAGCAGCAACGAGGGGAGAGACTGAGAGAGAACTTTGTGTGCTTTCGGAGGGGAGGTGGGGCGACGGGGTTGGGGTGTGGGGGGAGAAGAGAAAAATGAATAGTGCAACTTCAATGTCTGTGGTGATTCACCTCCCTGCCATGCAGCAATGTGGCACGTCGCTGCACCAAGAAACAATGCCAGCCGCAAAGTTTTCTTTTGTATTTATTTCCCCACCCCCATCCCACAAGAGGAAGGAAACCTATTTTGGTCTAGCCTGCTGGAGGGAGGGGGGCTCTGGGGGGGGGGAAGACCGTACTTAGTACCACTTAAAACTTAAATGTTCTGCTGCCGCTGCTATCGGTTACCTCGTTCATTGAAGGCTCTCTGGTTTTATCTGACCCTGGGGAAGGCTTGCTTGGCCTCATTTCCTGTGAATAAGAGGGCGTTGATTCTTCTGATTTGCCACAGATAACTTGACATTGCATGCCTCAGTTTCGTGCCATGAGCCCTGTAAAGCGATCCCGGATTGTCATTCTGAAATGTGCCTCCTTCGCTTTCCACATAGCTTTCTTTATCTCTGCAATGCAGGAGACAGTTTGCCCCTCATTAACGGTGAGATGCCGTCTAGATGTTTTGGCAGCTTTCCTGAAGGAGGAGAGAGAAAGGAATTGGCACGTTTGGATTAAAAGCACTTGATGAATATCTCTCGAGCTTCTATTCTGGTGAAGTCCCTTCCTGCAGCTTTTGTTGCCTACTACAGTAGGGTTCGAGGATACAAAGAGTCTCCTATTTTTCTAGCAAGTAGGATTTATTTGAAAGTCAGCACTCCCAAGGTCTCCACTAGTAGGTCTTTCCTGGGCTGTTTCCTGTGAGAACGCTTTAAATAAAGATGCTGTAAATGACCGTTGCGTGTTCCCCTGAGCTACAGTCTGCTAGAGTGCTTTGTACATATTTTTGTAATTAATGGGTGAGGCTTTGATAATTATGTCCCTTATGATCAGTGTTGGAAACTGAGATATGAAAGCTAGGAGCTAAGTGGCACCTTAAACCGAGGTTATGGGCGCAACAACGGAATGTCTAGGCTTGCTTTTTTATAACAAGAATACAAAGCTGAAAATGAACAAACTGCAGCTAAAATCTTAAGTTCATTTTTCACATGGTCTAGTATCCTTCCCCTGCCCACCCCCTTAATATTCTTAAGAGGGTCTCTTCTCCAGTCTTCAGAGAGTAGCTGGAAGTGGGAAGGCAGAAAAAGGTCCTCTTTTCCTTCCACTCTGCAGTATTAATCTGAAATCTTAGGCACAGTGCTGCACACCAAGCTCAGAAGCTGCTCACACAAATGAAATTCCCTGTGGCAAAATGCACCTAGAACAATGGGAGTTTGGAACACTGCTTATGATTTCTGAAATCCATAACAAAAAAGGAACTTTATGAACATTAGATAATTTGTTGGATGTAGCATTAAAGCAGATGGTGCAGGGTTTCACAGTGGACGGAGAGTTCTGAGGTACCCCATGGGCCTGTTTAGGTTTGGATCAGCCATCTCTTTCCTCCTTCTGGCTGGAAGATGGAGCTTATTGAGAAAAACAGGTTTATGAGGGCAGGATGTGGTGGCAATGTGGCAAAGCCAAACAGGCTGTTATGTTACAGGCTAGACCTGTGGATAAGTGCAATATTATTATTTTTATTGTTATTAGCAAAGTTCAGTTTAACTTTGTGCTTTTGTTGGAAGGCAAGAGGCCAAGGTTCAAATTCTCGCTTAGAGAATTGTGTGCTTAATGTCCTTAGGCAATTCACTGTTTCGTCAAACAATCTACCTCAGTGATTTGGATAAAATTGAAAAACACTGAAAAGTGCCTTAAAATGGTAGGTAACAATTCAACTGTTAGAAACAGCTTTGAAAAATCTGATCCTTTATCTTTTGTGTAAACCAGTTAGTTGATTCTTGATCCTGTTTGTGTGTAAGACCCTGAGCAAAGGGCATTTTTCCTCCAGCAAACAAATTTAGGCCTTCCAAATTAACTAAATTATAATCTACAAAGACTGCTTGAAAGAGCCTCTCTCCCTCTCAAACTTTCTCCCAGGGGACACTTTGTTCAAAACTTTTCATCCCGACAGTTTTAAAATCGGAATAGTAATTTCCAATAAATCTCTTGTGATGTTATGAGTTTGTGTCCTGCGATTTCGGAGAATTGCCATTTTTTTTTTTTGCTAGAAAGTGTATAGGAGCTTTGAAAGTGTAAAGGAATCTCATGTGTTTCAAATGCATCTTCTGATTCTGCCGACACAGGCCTTGGACATTTGGTCAATGCATAACTTATTTTCTAAATTTTAATGCCGAATGGTTTCTGTAAAGACCTGGATTTTTGGGGAGAAAAAGAGCAGAACTGTACTTTTTAGCTCTGGATTGATTATCAGAAAAAGCTGAAATTTCTTGGGTATCTTCCAATTATTGAGGTTAGGTTGAACAGGAGGAAGATGGGCAAGTGATGACTCAAAGTGACAACAAAAAAATCCTCTTATTTTATTGTTTGTGCTGCTCAGAAATTCCTCTCTTGTGCTAGCCAAGTACTTGATATTTCAGCTATTAACACATCAGTGTTATGCCAAGAATAATATCTAGTTTGGTATAGAATGTTACAGCAGTGTTGCTCCGAGGAAATACAAAGTACTCAAAGTGAGAAAGGTGATATTTTTTATTGAACTAACATCTGGTGGTTAACTGTGCAATGCGTGTCTTTTGAGGAGCCTGTCTTACAGAGTTCAGTGGGACTTATTCCAAGGTTAAGCGTTCATAGGATTGCGGCCTACAAGTTGGCTCTTTCATATTAAGCTTGTCACATCCACAATTTCCCGGGTCTGGGGAAGCTAGTTTTTCTGTGTCCTGTCCTGTCCTGTTGACATTATCCCATTTAAGGACATTGACAAACTAGAGTTTGTCTGCAAGAGGGGGACCTGGATTTTGCGGGACTGGAAACCTATGGGGATTAGTTGAAAGTGGTGAGAAAATTTAGCTTTGAGAAGTTACATTATATGGTAGATGGGCAAAGTGTGACTGAGGCTTTAAAAGTTCATTTTCCTTAAATTTAACATTTCCTACTTCCAAGTTCAGCCTTTTTAATAGGTTCATGAGAAGCACAGGTTGTGGGGTAATTTGCCCCTTGAATAGCCTCAGCTCTCTTAATTGCTCCAGTGTCAGTTTCTGTTCCCAAAGGGGAGTGGAGAGGCTTTAATTGTTGGTATTTCCTCATTATTTTGTTTTTTTCATAGTTATTTGTAAGCATTCTCATAAGAAAAAATGAGAGGCAATCAGTAATTAAGGTTCTGCTTAATAGAGACAGAAAGGAACACTTAATAGGCTATTGATCATTGATTTCCCACCTCTTCATGTCAGGAAGCAATAAAACTGGCTGACCTTATAAGGGAGAACGTGTTAATGATTGTGGTTTATTTGTGAGGAAACATCCTCCGACAGTGGTTTCCAATTAGGGGTCCAGGGACTCCTGGGGGTCTACAGAACGCACTCAGGGGGTCCGCAGCCCAATCCCTTGCCTCCCCCCACCACTATTTTTTTGTCATTTTTTCATGGTAATACAGTGGTACCTCGGGTTAAGTACTTAATTCGTTCCGGAGGTTTGTTCTTAACCTGAAACTGTTCTTAACCTGAAGCACCACTTTAGCTAATGGGGCCTCCTGCTGCTGCCGCACCGCCGCTGCACGATTTCTGTTCTCATCCTGAAGCAAAGTTCTTAACCTGAGGTACTATTTCTAGTTTAGTGGAGTCTGTAACCTGAAGCGTATGTAACCCGAGGTACCACTGTATCACAAATTTTATGGCCTGTTTTAGCACTATGCAATTTTTCAATATATTGGCCAAAATTGGTTTTGAAATCGCACTGCAATAACGATTTTGACCTGGCAATATGCAGCAATATATTGCCCCTCATGCAAATGAGAGCAGGGCAGCCAATTTCAAGGCACCACCGATATCTCACGATTATCTCAACCGATAACGCTGCTGATCTGAGCTCCCTTCCTCATGTAGAGGAAGACCAAGGCAGCTGATAACACTACAGCCTTTCGTCATGCTGGCTGCCACCGCTGGCTGCCCCACTGATGGTGGCTTGATGTGCCCCCCCATCCCCTCCCACTCAAACCATGTGGTGGAGGTGACTCCGCTTCCTCTTCTTCCCCCACCCTCCCGATCTCAGTGGCTGCTCCATCCCCACACATGATCTCCAATTTCAGATATCATGAAATATCGGAATATCATAATGTTCAGCTGCTGATTACCACAATGTTAAAAAACAGATATTGCTGAGCCCTAGTCTGTTTTTTTTTAGTATACCTAAAATTCTTTCCTTACGAGGGGCTACCCCACATCTTGTTAAAAAAATTGCTTTGCGGAGGTAACTACCATAGAGTTACCAAAATTTTCAAAAGTAGGGGGTCTGTGGCTTGGCTTTTTGAAAAATAGGGGGTCCTCAGTCATTAGCTAATTGGGAACCACTGCCCTAGGAGGATCTTAGCCATGGGGAAAGGGCATTGCTGAATATTACTATGCTAGATTTTGCAGTTGCATGGAACTTCCATTTCTAATCCCAATCCCAGCTGTTTATGGTAAAGCAATGTCTCAGCAGCAGCAAAGGGCTGTAGTGCAGAAGGAACAATTGCCTCATTTACAGTAGTTCAGTCTTGATGACATGAACCTTGCAGCATTGTTGGAATCAGGCTGGGCTTGGCAGGCTTTAATGCATGAGGGAGGAGGAAGAAACAAGAGGAGGGGGCTGGATGGTAGGAACCTGGGTTAGAGCAGGAAGGATTCGCCCCTTCCCTGCCCCCATCCCCCAACATCAGTCACTTTGGAAGGGGGAGCCGAGATGCCAACTCTCCCTTCTGATCTTCCTTCAGAGCAGAGAGCCTCAGTGCGTGTGTGGGGAAAGGCTTTAATCAGCTGTGGAGGAAGCCTGAACAGGATGTGGCAGCGGCTGAACGGGAGGGTGCAGCCTTATCATCTAGAACCAGGTGCTGCCTTTGCACATGGCAGCAGACCCACCTGCTCCCACAATCTTTACATTCCTGTAAGGCGAGTGAGCGTGCCGCTGCCCGTCTTTAAATGCTTGGCAAGAAGAGCAGGAAAACTTGTTGGGATATTTTTGCTGCTTCTGTCTAGTTCCGAACTTCTTGTCCTGCTCTTGAACTCTGCAATTGTGACACCTGAGCACAGTGTATGCTGCTGAGCCTGTCCTGTTACTTGCCTGAATAAAGATGTTGTTGCTGTTTAGTCGTGTCCGACTCTTCGTGACCCCATGGACCAGAGCACGCCAGGCACTCCTGTCTTCCACTGCCTCCCGCAGTTTAGTCAAACTCATGCTGGTAGCTTTGAGAACACTGTCCAACCATCTCGTCCTCTGTCGTCCTCTTCTCCTTGTGCCCTCCATCTTTCACAACATCAGGGTCTTTTCCAGGGAGTCTTCTCTTCTCATAAGGTGGCCAAAGTACTGGAGCCTCAGCTTTAGGACCTGTCCTTCCAGTGAGCACTCAGGGCTGATTTCCTTCAGAATGGATAGGTTTGATCTTCTTGCAGTCCATGGGACTCTCAAGAGTCTCCTCCAGCACCATAATTCAAAAGCATCAATTCTTCAGCGATCAGCCTTCTTTATGGTCCAGCTCTCACTTCCATACATCACTACTGGGAAAACCATAGCTCTAACTATACGGACCTTTGCTGGCAAAGTGATGTCTCTGCTTTTTAAGATGCTGTCTAGGTTTGTCATTGCTTTTCTCCCAAGAAGCATGAATCTTTTAATTTTGTGACTGCTGTCACCATCTGCAGTGTGAATAAAGATTCCTTCCTTATTTAAAGGTGAGAACCCCTGTCTGTGTGTGTTGGGCATATGTGTGCTAAGCTGCTGATCTTCAACCAGGGCCGGCACACCCTGGTGAGGCAACAGCCTCAGGCAGCAGGATCCAAAGGGGCAGCAGATCCAGCCTCCAAGCAATGCACTGCCCACTACTACTACTGCAGTGTCAGTGACAGCTGCAGCATCCTCCTTGGGTGTTGGATCTGCCCCTCCTTAGCAGCCCCCCCCCCAATGTTGCCTGTACAGGAGCCTCTTGGGGAATAGGATGCACTGTCTCCTCCCAGCCCTGGGGAGGAAATGGCCGGGGCTGCCCTCTGGGGTCTGCACCCACCTGGTGTGATTCAGAGCAGTCCCCTTTCCCCTCCATTGATTTCCAATTCAGTTGTCAGGTAAGGTTGATTGGATTCCCCACTTTGTTTCCAGTGTAGATCTTTATTCCCAGGTAGTTCCTGGTGTAGATCTTCATTCACCCCTTCTTCCCTTAGGGAGGGGTGTGTGCCATTTTGTGGTTTGTCTCAAGTGTCAAAATGCCTTGGGACAGCCCTGCCTTCAACTAGCGGGTCAGAACTCACAACTGCAAAGTCACCTAAAGTGGATCGCAACAGCAGCACTACCCACTACCATACAGCTACAGTATATGTTAAAATTAAAAAAAATTAAAAAGTGAGTTTCCAAATGTGTATATAGACTAAGCTCTTGGGTTTGAAAAGTTTGAAGACCGTCATGCTAAATTACAGCTGGTGGGCCAGGCACATAAGTTGCAGTATTTGTAGAAGCCATTAACTCTCAAATGTAAACAGTTGGAATTAGTTGCTGGAGTGTTGTTGTTTTTTAATGTATTTGAGGTTGGAAATCATAATATTAGAAACTTAATGAACTTCTTTTTACTGCGTATAAGCAGTATTACAAATAAAAATACAGTAAATAGAATAAGAATATTTTGCCAATATATTGTGAACAGCAGTCACTGCAACAACATAGATTAAAAATCTGAGATTCTTGAGAGTCTGACCAGAACCTGGAAGATGCTCAAGTGCCATTCTACATAACTCATTCTTGCTCCAGACTTCAAGGACTTCCTATATCTTACTTGTCATCTCTGTGGTTCAGATAAACCTCCCTGATTGGTTTAGGGTGAAGCAGTTCATCTTCTATTTTGGTAAGACAACTGGCTCTTCCAGGAAAATGGCCTGAGCCATTACAGGTGGGGGCAATGTGTTGGTGTACCTGGGCAACTGTCTTCCCCCACTTGACAAAGATGCTGGGAGAACTGTGTGACAAAGATGCTGGGAGAACTGTGCATAGATCTACTGTGGCAGGTTGCTAGCTCAATAGGAAAGGGAAGCGGTGTTGGAGTTAGGGGTGTTTAAACTTCTCCCCTCCCTAGATTTTCCTGATTTGAAATTGCCCTCCAGGATTTATTTGTCATGCAAGGGAAAATATAGAAACATTATCAAGATACCTGCATGCTTGCCCTCGTCGTAGTTTCAGGGGATCAATATATTGAGCAAACAGCATGGTGAAATGATTTAACAGTTCTGCATTCTAGCTGCTTTTCCAATCCAATTTGCAGGTGGGGATGCACATGACTGCTGGAACTTTTTTTTTAAAAAAATGAAAAACCATGGGTGAGTTAATTGTATCTTTCTCAGCACCTTGCCTAGTGCAGCCCCACAGTGCTGAGAGCGTCTGTATATTCCTTTTGTTCAAGAGCCTAGTTACAGTGCACACAAATCTGCATATGCCAAAGTACACATTTACTCAAGAGATCAGGGGCCCGTTGTTGGGCAAATATCACAGGACTTTATAACCTCCCAATGGAGTTATTTTTAATTTAGGAAAATAAACGTACTTCCTGTTCAGAAATTAACTAGGAAAAATAAACCTGGCACTAATCCATAGGTGGCAATGGTCCTCAGGCATATGGGGGGGGCGGTAAGCATTTTTCATGCCCTAGATCTCACCACATTAGTATAGAATCTGCTATCTATTGTGCTAAGGGATTTTTCACCCTATGTATTTGCAATGAAAAGAGGTAGTGGGTAGTGATAAAGGGTGATTTAAAGAAAACCACCCTAACATTTGATTTAGATTATGGATTGCTCCTGTGTGGCATCTTGAGCATTTTAGCATGTAGGCTAATGTAATGAAATGCTAACTATATGCCATTTCTTTTGAAAAGCCTTCATGATGGAGGAAAGCTTTGAAATGTATGCCTGATTGTCCCTTCTCTCCATTCCTAATTTATATGCCTTGCCTTTCTAAAACCTTGCTATAAAATTCCACCCCAGAGGAGTTGCCAGAGCCTTTTGTAGCAGAAATGGCCATTTGGTGCTTTAAAATTCCATGTTTTTTAACAGCCTGACTCATGAAAGCTGATAAAGTTATGTAGAACTAAGAAAATACATAGAAATATGCAGACTTCTATTTTCTGAAAACGAGTGACCCAGTTTTGGAGCAGAATCACCCTACGTCATTGCCCTAGGAGTGACTGTTTCTCATAGGCACATCTAGCCTGAAGGCCTGCTTTTATACCCTATCAGTATACTGTCTTAGGTGTTGTCAGCAGTCACCGTTTTCTCAATATGTGAGCAAACGTCTGCTCTGCCTTTGAAATTGTGCAAAGTCCACACAGGCACTGTGCACAGGAAAGAGGTGTGTTTGCTTTTGAATTACGGTTGATCCTTGAGGCATGCTTACACCCTGGGTAACGGATGCCAGGTAGCTGAAGTGAGGTTTCTAATGGAAGCCATCATTGCCTGGCTGATGTTTGCAACCTGTCAGCCCTGGGATCTGACTGCTCCCAGCCCAGATACAATCACTGGTTTTGGGTAGGATTCAGCCACATCCCGACAAATTGAGGATGCACGATTATTGTTGGCTGTGAAGTCTTGCACAGCAAACCCATTTCCCAAGGAGACTGGAGTTTTTGAGGGAAAGGAAGTGATGGAAAAATGCACTGGAAAGTGTGCAAACAAATCAGAATGAATCTTAAATAAACAAGTCATCTGGAAGTGCTCTCAGAGTAGTTTGTGCAGATTCAACCTGCTTTATTTAATATCAATATTCCCCATTGTGCGACACCTGGCTTTTGAGTGTATGTATGAGGCAGGGAGAGGGAGCGAAATGGTGGAGACGGCTGCTGCATGACCTTCTTTCAGGGAATGCAAAACTGGCTGAAAATCCACAGGTGGGACAAGCAACAAGAACAACTGGAGAAGAGCAAGGCAGGAACTTGGACACCTCTTAGATGGGGGGGGGGGTGGAACAACACACCAGAGGCTGCAGTAATGCTTTTCCCTTTCCAAATTTCAGGGGGGAGGGGATAAATCACAAGTGGGCTTTGAGAATTCTCCTCTAAAAATAGTCCTCCACAGATTTCTCTTCAAACACTATTTCCTTGTAGAAATGTTAGGGGAGAAGTGCAGTTTGCCCCTTGCTGTCCTCCTGCTCCCATGTAGCACTTGTTGTCCCTGATGAACAAGCCAGTGGCAAACATCACCACTTGGACCTTTCTTTCCTCCACCTGCCTATGGCAGCTGTGTTGTTCTAACTAAACAAATAGTGAACTTGGCCAGCTGAGTGCCTCTGGTTTGGAAGTGAAACAGGGCCACCCAAAATCAAAAGTACATAGATACACAGAAGTATGTAAATCTGTACAGGACTTGTGAGCTTCCAGGATATATGGAATATTGAGGCAGAGTGGAGGTTGGGTGGAAGTAGTAAAATGGACTACTGGATGGGATCCAGGAGGATTTAAAAGCAACAACAGCAACCCTCCCCTCCTTGCACTATATTTGGATGAAAAGGAGGTGAGGGGAAAGGACATACTTTGCTATTCACACTCCTGAACCAACCACCAAAACTCATCGCCCATTCCATTCACCACAATGGGCACTTCCAGACTATTGCTATTTCTTGGTGGGATTCAGTCATAAACCAACATTCAGGTTGCACAACAGTCTCACCCCCCCCCCATCCGAAAACTGGACTTCTTGTGATAGGGAAAGTGACAGTGCTTGATGCAACATTGTCTAACCTCCCAGTAAACTAGTCAGAATGAATGCTCATTGAAGAGCCCATGTTGTCAAACTTTGCACAAACCAATAGGGATGAATGTTCTGTTAAGCAGGATATAGCCATGAAATGCTCAGATTTGAAGTTGGCAGCAGCCCTAAACCAGAATCCTCTTCTGCTCCCTTTGCCCACCACCCCACCTCACCGAGGCCTGAACCGTGCTACTAGACTTCTCTTTCAGGCTGTCTCTTATGGGGGTGCATTGCGACATTTAGCTGTGTGTCCCATTTGTCTGTCTAGCCACACAACCATATGCAGGCCTGTACCGGAAGGGGCACCTGGTGTTGTTTCCTTGTTGCAAATCGCAGCGGGGCTGCCCTGAGTGTGTGGTATGGTGAGGAAAGAGGCGCTGTGCTAGTAACAAACAGCTGTGGGAGAAGGAAAGGAGGTGGTTGAGCAGAAAATGATGTGGGGTCAGTTTAGCACAGCCTCTGCAACATGAAGCTTGAGATTGATCTGTGTTTTCCAGAAAGGGGCTGCTGATAGTAGTGTATGCGCACATCCCACTATTCACTGCTGCTGACAATAAGCAGGTTATCATACTGCTTTTTTTAAAAAAAAAATCTGTTTGGCCAGAGATGACAAAGGAGCAAGAGGAATGTGTGCATTCTTTGGGAAGCAGTGCCTCCCTTAGACCACTCACAAGTCTCTTTTTAAAAAATTGTCTGTCTCCAGGTTCTATTTATTTTATTGCAACTTCACTGGCAGTGCTAAGGCCGCAATGTGGGGGTTAGGCAAAAAAAGTGAACAACAGAACAGGCAATGAAGTGCTTCACAGATGCAAAATAGGTAAGCATCAATCTGATTTTAACCCACGTTTCTTGACCTATTGGGGGAGTTTTCAAACTCAGAGGATTAGATAGCCATTTCAGGCGCATGTTGCTGCTCCCAACACACCACCATACCCCTTTAAGGAATGGCTTGTGCGGCTAACTCAGGACTGAGGGGATGCTGGGTGGCAGCCTGACAAAGGGAAGGCATTGAAAAGAGCTCCTTTTCTTCCTAAATTTTCTTCCTTTTCTACGTGCTTGGATTGCCAACCACAGGGCCTGTCATGTGTCTCTGTGAGAGTGAAGGCACACGGAAGGATCCCACTTGATTATAAAGAGGTTTGGGAGGGAAAGTTTCTGGTCTGCAAGGGTGAAGACAATAACTGTGTAGCCTTGAAAGAGCTGGCAGGGAGCATGATTCAGTGGAAAACAAGGCAGCGGTAATGGGAACAAATAAAGCCCACAGATCCTACCTTCATATTTCACCTTTCTTGCCACTTCAAAGCCAGAAGCAAAATCTCTTTCCTTTACAGCAGGGGCAGGGAACCTCAGACCCTGCTACAGACTACACCCTCTCACAGGCCCTGCTACACGTCCCAAATATTGTTGTCTGCATGGAGTGTGTCCTATTTTTTGGGGGGTGTGTGTGTGAATGAATTCCTATGCCCCACAAATAACTCAGAGATGCATTTTAAATAAAAGCACACATTCTACTCATGTAAAAACATCAGGCAGGCCCCATAAATAAGGCCCCACAAATAACCCAGAGTTGCATTTTAAATAAAAGCACACATTCTACTCATGTAAAAACACCAGGCAGGCCCCACAAATAACCCAGAGATGCATTTTAAATAAAAGGACACATTCTATTCATGTAAAAACACACTGATTCCTGGACTGTCCATGGGCCGGATTTAGAAGGCAATTGGGCTGGATCCAGACCCCGGGCCTTAGTTTGCCTACTCATGGCCTAGAGGGAGGATAGTGTCAGTGTAGAAACTAGCCTGCTGTACGATGATGAAATTTAGATTGCTTGCTCCACCCACTTTAACCCACCCACATTTGTCTCTGGCCCTTCGCATCCCTGGTATGTGGCCCTGGGAAAGTGGCCCCTGAACTGAAAAAGGTTATTTAACTCTGCTTTACAGATATCTCCCATGCCCATTCCTTGCTTCTCACTGGTCTGTCATGATTGGACAGGAGAGGAGCGACTGTTATTAGGTCAGTCAGTTGTAAACACACACACTTAGCAATTTTGGTTCTACACATCATATGTAGACCTAAGGCCCACAAATGATGTCATGCAAGAGAATCCACAGTCACACTTAACTGTAATGTAAGCATTGCACATTATAGTTGAAATCAAGGGGGCTGGCTGAGCATCGATGCACAGACTCACTGTGGAGTCACAAGCCAGTTATTTTACTCTAAGAACAAAGGAGATGAATGCTTAGCATTGCCCCTGCCATGCTAGTTGTTTTATTTGTTTCTTATCGCTTCTTAATGCACGTCTTCTCATATTCCCTGGAAGTAGGTACATGGTGGTGCCGTGTAACCATGCATCAAATTGTTTTGAAATGACACATGAGGGTGTTGTTAAAAATGTGCGTGGGCAGAAGTACTGCATATTGGATTTGGCACTATTATTTGGGAGCTGAGTGAATAATTTATTAAGTATATTCTTGCCCACCTTTCTCTTTTAAAGAAAGCCATAAATCCTTGAGTGGGTCAAACCCTATTAACAAATTTCAATCACAAAAATGGTCTCGAAATAAAATTAAGAGCAGCGCATTTAAAAGTACATTGCATCAGCATCCTAAGTGCCTTCTGAAAAAGAAAAGGCTTTTGCTGTTCTTTGGAAAGCAGTAAAAGATTTTGCTTCGCAGGCACCCTGAGGGACAGAGTTCTGCATTGTGACATCAACAGCAGGCAAAGTCCTGTTGGTTGGAACTGCCAGCCTAATCATCGACAGTGTTGGCACGCAGAGCTGGGCTTCCCTAGGTGATCTAAGTGCAGGGCTATTGTTGGCAGTCAGTATCTTTGGGCACTTGCCAAAGCCCACACCTTAGTAGGAGGCTTGCTGCCAATTCCTAGAGCCTTGTGGGCCTCCACCTCCTCCCTTTCTGTGTTGCAGCCTCTTCACCTGCCCTCTCTAAGAAAGGAGAAGGAACAGTAACCTGTATGGGCTTTGGTTTGGTTCTCCCTCTGGAAGGTGGCTTGGGCTGGGGCCAGAGAGAAAGGGAAGCAAATGGGCAGCAACAGTGGTGGAGAAGACATGATAGATACAATTGGGGAGGGAGCCGATTGAGAGCATCCTACACAAGTCCCCCTACCCACACTGGCGGAGGAAGGGGGATACTGTGGGTGCGGCCTGCCCCAGGTGTCATCCCTGAGGGGGGGTGACATTGCCACGCTGCCCCCTTGAGATGCTCGCCGCGGGCAGCGCCCCTCTAGGATGCTAGCCCCACCCCTGCAGGCAGCTAGCCCCGCCCTCTGGGTGCCATAGCAGCTAGCTCCACCTCTTCCTACCCACACACCTGGAATTGGCATTATCTAACAGTGTGAGGAGGTTTCTCTGCAAAGATGCAGAATGGGAAAAAATTCACAGAACATTTAATGGAAAATTTACCGGTTCTTTATTCACTTGTGGAAAATTCTCAGTTTCGTAAGTTCACTTGTAACAGCAATTTTAGGCAAGCCTGGCAGTTTTCAAAGATATAAGCTTTGTTTGTTGAATACTAAGGAAAAGCGCCCAGCTTTGATTGAGTGTTCTAAGAAACGAACAAAAGAAAAATCAGCGGTCAAAATCAATGCAGTTTTGAAAGGACCAGTTTGCCATCTTGAATAAAAACGGTGTTCAGTTATATCCAAACATAGACAAAAAACCTGTTCCTTGATCTCAGGAACCATCATGCAAAATTTTGTTATGATATATCAAGTAGTGTTCAAATTAATAGAGAATGGACAAAGAGACAACTTTTCAAAAGATATAGCAGACAAGTAAAATGTCATGCTAAATAAGATCATTCTCTAGAGTATCAGAAAATTACTCTGTGCAAACTGAACATTTTCTAATCAAATTACAAATAGTGGTGTCTGTTTTCTGGGGGAGATAATCCAATTCAGAATTTTCCAGAAAACCCACATCACTGTTTGTATGAGAGTAAACATGCTCCTGTAACTAGGCAGATCCGAAGTAATTTAGGGCTTTAAAGATCAGTACCAACACCTTGGAACACTCAGAAACAAACAGATCAGCCCAGTAGTGCAGTTAGGTAATTATTTGCTTTCTAAAATAGATTTTTTTCACTAGTTTTTATAGTAACATTAACAGTACAAAATACAGTAATACAACACAGCTCAGCCATACAATTCATATCGATATCAATTATATATTTCATTAGTCCAATCATGTAGAACATGGGTAGGCAAACTAAGGCCCGGGGGCTGGATCTGGCCCAATCGCTTTCTAAATCCAGCGCGTGGACGGTCCAGGAATCAGCATGTTTTTACATGAGTAGAATGTGTCCTTTTATTTAAAATGCATCTCCGGGTTATTTGTGGGGGATAGGAATTCATTCATTTCCCCCCCCACTATTGTCTGGCCCCCCACAAGGTCTGAGGGACAGTGGACCGGCCACCTGCTGAAAAAGTTTGCTGACCGCTGATGTAGAAGAACAGAAATAAAGTGCTGATTGTGAAATAAATAAGTTACGCGTAGGTTCATGCTATATTCGAAATTGTCAGTGCTATTTTCTGGGGGTACTCAGAAGTATGCAGTTCTGGCACCTCCCCTCCGAATGTTCAAAGTATGGCATTTTCCGTAACAACTTTATTGTGAATACTGGCACCTTTTTTTTTCCTACAAAAAAATAAAGCATTGGATATGGTATACAATTTACTGCAGGAAATTCCTCTATAATGTTCCGTGTGAAAGGCTGGACTGCAGTTAACATTCTCCCTGGTGGTATATATGAAACACAGCTAGACCAGCGTTCATGGAATAGCATTTTCATTTTTTCTACAGTTAGGTAATTCTAGACTTAATGGTCTTTTACACAGCCTTTTCAGAAGGTAGCGTTTATTACTTCACTTTCAAATGTGGTAAGCCAGCCTTCCTCATTTGTCCCCCCACATCCCCATTCTGCAGAGCAGGGACCTGGCAGGGACCTGCCAAGTACTTCCCTGTCAGCTCAGCACAGTGCTGGATTTATGTATAAGCTAAACAAGCTATAGCTTAAGGCCCCACTCTCTTGGGGGCCCCCCAAAAAATTAAAGGAAAAAAACCACTGGATGTACATTTCCAAAATATAAGATAAAAAACAAATAAAATAAAACATGCAGCAACAGTGCCAAATGGCTTTAGATACCTATTAGGTCATGGGTAGGCAAACTAAGGCCCAGGGGCCAGATCCAGCCCAATCGCTTTCTAAATCTGGCTCGCGGACGGCCTGGGAATCAGCATGTTTTTACATGAGTGGAACATGAGTAGAATGAGTAGAATGTGTGTTCTCGAAGCTACCAGCATGAGTTTGACCAAACTGCGGGAGGCAGTGGAAGACAGGAGTGCCTGGCGTGCTCTGGTCCATGGGGTCACGAAGAGTCGGACACGACTAAATGACTAAACAACAACAGAATGTGTGCTTTTATTTAAAATGCATCTCTGGGTATTTGTGGGGCGTAGGAATTCATTCCCCCCCCCAAAAAAATACAGTCCGGCCCCCCACAAGGTCTGAGGGACAGTGGACTGCTGAAAAAGTTTGCTGACCCCTGTATTAGATCCATAAATCACCATATAACATATATTCAACACAAAAAAACAGCGACAATTTGTTGTTGACAAAGGACAGCTGGACATATAAAGGGCCCCATTACCTTCAGTAGCTTTGGGCCTCATCAAACCTAAATCCGACCCTGGCTCAGCAGCACCCCTGGATAAGCCAGGAAGGTCTTGTATTGGAATAATCATTTCACACACTTCTTTCCACTGCTATAGTTGCTCTCTTGATTCCTTCCCGCTCTCGCAGTTACGCTTTTCTAATATTGCTTGCAACGGTTTCCAATTACAAAAGTAAGTCTGAGTGTGGCAAACAAACACTAGCGATGCATCCTCAGGGGACAGCCCACGTAATTCAACTTGCAGAAACACGGGGGTGGGGGTGAGCAGCGTGCGATGAAAGGATCAAAGAAAAAGATGCAGTTGCAAGATAAATAAAGTGTGAGAGAGAGACTTGCTTCCGTTGCCTGAACTGCAGGCAACTGGGTCTTACCCCCAACAGGTGGTTTATTGTACCTCCTGTCAGATGCAGCAAGCCACAGATGGAAATATAACATCTTCAGAGTTATTAGGTGTGATTCTGGTTTAATCTAGGTTCATGGGATCCTTGAAGGTGGAAAAACATTGAAGTCCCCTTGAATCTGCAAAGTGGCAGATCGGTGCAAGCCCTAGGTGTTTGTTCTGCAAGAAATCTGGTTTCTAGGTGATGGAGAGGAAGGAGTGGGTGGAAGAACTCTTGCAAATGGTGCAAGCGGGGAGCAGGAACAGCCCCTCAGGCTGAGGATCCCTACATCTGAACACTAAATCGCACCTCTCGCCAATGGAAGAGCACAGAGAGTTGCAACCTAATGTTTGCCGTTTGGGGGGCGTTGAAAGTAGACGCAAAAGGAAAATCACACTAACTTACTATAGAACCAGCCTTCTCCAATATGGGGCCCTCCAGATGTGTTGGACTACAATTCTCATCGGCCCCAGGCAGCATGGCTGTACTGATGGTACCCCAAAACATGGCTGGTGAAGACTGAGCTTATGCTAGTGTCATAGTTTAGAGTTCAGTCTACTAAACTTTAGCATGTTTATGAGAATTCAATAGGACTTCTGAGTAGACGTGGCTAGGATTGTGCTTTTGATTACCTTCCTACCTCTCACTTTTACACCAACAGGTTGGACCCAGAAGGCTCACCTGCCTTTTTCCACGAGGAGCCGCACCGAAAGATCCTAGGTGCCTGGGGATTCCATTTTTCAGAAGCAGGTTAGAAGGACTTTTTCTTCCCACTGTTAACTTGATTCACATGTAGTGTTAGAAACTCATATATATAAGCTAGGCGCCAGATGACTCCTTAAATCAAGGTTACAGTCGCCAGAACGGAATGTCTAGCTGCCATTTTTGGGTAAGATGGCTTTAAAATCTTTATTTTTCAAGTGGTGGGCTGACTGATTGATTCTCAGTTAAACATCTGGCTAGTTCAGATGACAACCTTGAGCTAGGTTAAGAACTTTAAGAACTTAAAAGAAGAAAAGTCACTTGATCCGGGGCAGTCCACATATATATTGGCCTCTTCCGACCTCTTTTTCTTAGTGGGGACTGCTCCTTCTCAGGCTGCACAAAAAAAGCATTTTGGTTCCTGCAAATCCATTCCAATTGGGCAGATAAAATATAACCGGTAGAATTCTACAGCATGCAGTATTAGTGTGTGAAAACAGTCCAGATCCAATGATCCCCAGGCATGCACCTCCAGATGGTGGAGATGTCAGGCACTAGCCTAACACCCAGGCATCTTCACTTGGTCGCAAGTGGTTGATAGCCAGGTGCAAAATGCGCTTGGTGCCTGGCTAATATTGAACACTGTTCACATGTACAAGAGTTTTAACACTAATGGTATCATGAACATGAATGCATACCCATATGAGCAATGTTGAGGGAAGATGAAAGGAGCCTGAAAGGGCCAATTAACAGACATTGACAGGGAGCGAAGATTCCAGTGAGTCTATGTGGCGAAGCTGCAGCGTTTCATAACAGAAGGCACAAGGCTTAATTACTGAGATGGATGGGGATGATAGCTGGTGGGGACAGCTATGGGAATCCTACTTACAATTCAACAAACCCAGGATCAGGCACAATAGGACAGGTTGCTTGGCTAGGATCTCAGAAAATAAGATTGCTTAAAAAAAAAAATGCCTTAGAGCCCGCCCAGTGTACATTTCTCCTTGATTGTAATGCTCAGAACACCACCACAAAGGGTTAAGTCTCTTCTTTCCTTCTAAATACTAAATAAGGGTTAAACTCAGCAAACCCTCCAGATGCTTAGAGGGGAATCTAGGCAAAAGAAGAAGAAGAAAAAGCTTTCTTATAAATCTTTAGAAATGTGAGGCCTCAAGTCTGAGCAAATAAGCACACTCTTCCTTGTTTTCCTAGGTGTTTATGGGGCTGGGATAGAGAGGGAAAGCAAAACACTCACCTCACGGTTTAGTTATAGCGACAAAGTCTGCTGGTATCCCATTCAGCAGCCTGGGAAGGCTGGGCTTGAAACCAGATAGCAAGACACTGTGGCCAAATATGTTTCTTGGAGATGGTTGTAGCTAGAGAGTAACCCATCATGAGCAGAAACGGGAAATCCTAGCTTCCTCACGGTCCTTTTATTTTACTACTTTGCTGATTGCTTCCGACTTCAAAGGGTGTGTGCACGTAAATGGCCTTTTATATTTGTTGTGTTCCCATCTCAGTATTTAATTGCATCTCTGTTGTGTGTATAGAAATTGAAGGATGGATGTGTTCATATGCGGATTTTCCGTTTCAGGTGTTTAGGTTGTCTGTGGTCCTTTTTCTGTTTTTGAGTAAGTTTGGTGCCATTTGTGGTTGTTGTCTATTGAAGGAAAAAAAGCAAGTAATTAATTATTAGTATTTAATTATCAGTGTGCTTGGTGCTGCACAAATTGACAAGAGTTTCTGTCCCTAAGGAACCTACAGTCTAAAATTTGACCTAAAGGTAAGCAACAGTGGAAGTGGAGGCAGGGGAACATAATAAAGAAATATATGTATATGAGTTACACCCTTGCTGTAGGTGGGCTGTGCAGCCTTCCAGATGTTGCTGGACTCCAGATCCCATCAGCCCTAACCAGCATGGCCAATGGTCAGTGATGATGGGAGCTGTAGTTAAAAATACATCATGAGGGGCAAATGTTCCACACCCATGCTCTAGAGCATGGGGTCCAGGAGGCTGTGCCAAAGGCTGGGTTTTGAGGAGAGGTGTCAAGTAAAGTAGGAAGAGTGTTCTAGGAAGCAGCTCCAGGTATACAAGCCGCCAAGGGAGAAAATGTGAAGGTTTTTTGGTTGGTTGGTTGGTTGGTTGGTTGGTTTGAAGGACCAGGAGACTTTCACATTGTGGTGGGTGGTGGAGCTTCAGGAACCAAGTTCATGAGCAGGGAATGCAATTTTTACTCTCTCTTCTTAAAGGTTTCCTGAAATCTTAGTTTAAGCTACATGTGGGCTTTTGGGTCAAGTGAAAAATATTACACACACACACACACACACACACACACACACAGATGCCGCTGGTGCTCTCAAGGTCTTCTCCTGCTGCCCATAAAGCCTCCTAAGGTGGTGAAGCTGGCTACCTTTTTCTCCCTTGAAAAGCACATGGAACCGAAGGAGGAAGTTAGAAGACTGACTCTCTTTCCCACTTCCTCTTTCATCTCTATGCGCTTCCCAAAGCTCAGATTAATTCTACTGGAGGTGGCCAGGGCGGGTGCCAAGATTAAGGGGGAGGTTGTCAGCATTTAAAGACTCCTCTGGAGGCATTGGGCTCTACTAGCCTGTTGTACCAGTGGAAGCCAGTGCAAGGATTCCCGCTAGCACAATGCGAATTTTCACCTGTTCACCTCCTGCTTCCACCCTGCACAATCCCCAAATCTGTTCTGGAGGGATGGGGGAACACCCAGACCAGATTTTGGGTGGTGTTGGCAGAAGGAAGGAGGAGGTTCCCTTGCACAAGGAAAACCTTTCCACTGATGCAACCTTTGCCATAGCACTAGGCTGAACACAACCCATCCAGCATGAATCATTTGCGTTGCTTTTTGTGTCTTGCTTCGTCCTCATGAAGACATTAACTTGAGTGCTTTATTCATGCTTTAAAAAGAATTTTAAAAAGAATTGGCTAGGTTGCCACTACTTGAAGTAAGCATCACTTAGAGCTCAATCAGACTTTGGTGCCACATTTCTAGGTTTGCGCTTTAAAGCTCTCCCTGCAAAAGCTTGCTCTGTACCTCTAAATCAGAGTAAATGGCATCTGCAGAAAACTTGATTTGCAATTAGTTCTGATTCTGCATTAAGGAGTGGGTTTTCTTGGGGAAAGTGATGGGGCATGGTGCTTAAAAGCATGGATGTGTGCCTAGAAAGTACAGGGCAAAAGCTAAGTGTGGATGAGCCCTTAGCTGCTGATGGAAAAAAGTGTTATACAAGAGCCTAGGAGAACCCCAAGCCCTATCTGCTTTATACATTTAAAGCAGTACTCATACCACTTTAAACAGTCATGGAATCCTGGGAACTGTAATCCCCCCCCCATAATTTTAATTGTTTTTCATGTTAATGTAAGAACAACATGTAAGTACAGTACAGTGGTGCCCCGCAAGACGAATGCCTCGCAAGACGGAAAACCCGCTAGACGAAAGGGTTTTCCGTTTTTGAGTTGCTTCGCAGGACGAATTTCCCTATGGGCTTGCTTCGCAAGACGAAAATGTCTTGCGAGTCTTGAGATTTTTTTTCACTTTCCCCCCCTTTTTCTAAGCCACTAAGCCGCTAATAGCCTTTTAGCAGCTAAGCCGCTAAGCCGCTAAGCCTTTAATAGCCGCTAAACCGCTAATAGCGCTAATCCGCTAAGCCGCTAATAGGGTTGCCTCGCGGAACGGATTAATTTCGTCTTGCGAGGCACCACTGTAACTTGTCCAGTGGTAGGTACATTCTTATTAAGTTTCATATGCAGTACACAAGGAATACAGTGGTACCTTGGAAGTCAAACAGAATCCGTTCCGGAAGTCTGTTTGACTTCCAAAACAGGTCGGAAACCAAGGCGTGGCTTCACGATTGCAGCCAATTGGAAGCCATGGAAGTCACGACGGACGTTCGGGTTCCAAAGAACGTTTGCAAATTGGAACAATCACTTCTGGGTTTGCGGCGTTCGGGACCCAAAACGTTCGTCTTGCAAGTTGTTTGAGATCCAAGGTACAACTGTATGTTTATTTATGCATTATCAAGTATCCTCTCCATAGTGTTTCTTGTGTTGGGGGTATAATAAAAGTATCTTCTGTCTCATTTATAAAGGAAAAGAAAGGAAGCCAAATCTCACCAAAAGTGTCTGTCCTTTCAGTGCCTTTAATTACCCTCCTATGCCGAGTAAAGCATTCCGATAGCCACGTCCCAAATATTATTTAACCAGATTTCAATGGGGATTTGGGAACTGTAGTTTATTACGGGTGCTGGTTGTTTGTGCCATATATGACAATGTTTTCAGTGTGTTCTAGATGCCCCTGTTCCATAAAGTACCTAATATGTATATTGCATATGCGGTGGTCTTGAGTCAGAGAAGTGTTTTCTTTTGCTCTAGGCTCTAGAGATGTAAAAAGTATGCTGTTGTCACTCCCTTCAGCCATATAATTTTAAACATAGTTCCCAACTCCACCCAGCTTACAGACAGACTAGTAGTGCATTCTTGGTCTTATTTTTGGCAGACAAGGTTGTGTTGGTGGTCCATGGCTCACTGTGTTTTGGCAGGGCTGTGGTACGACTGCCTCCGTTTGGTGCTGTGTAAGGCATATTCCCCGGAAAGAGTCATCTCACCTCTCTTAGCTATCATCATAATCAGTTAACGTCCATTGCCCTTTGAACAGACAGCATGCTATGACTTTCTAGTTGAGATTGCCCAGAGCTGGACACTAGGTATATCCAGGGGTTCCCTCCCCAGCAATTTGAGGTCATTGGTGGGGGAGAGCTGGGACAGTGATCTCTGGCTCCTCTCCCTCCAGCATCTGGTTTGCATTGTGTACGCCTGGCCCCTGGAGCCAAGGGCATCTGCCATAAAGCTAAAATTAGCACAGGATGTTGATCTAGTTAGCAGGATTTGGTAACTCCAAGCTCCTGGGCTGGCTCCAGAGATGAGTCAGTTCTCATCCTCAACCCTGCTGCTCAGACCTCTGTGCACATTTGATCAGATGCTGGTCCTGCGCAGCAAGGCTCTTTGGGACCACTTTTCTTTGCTCTGGTTTCTGCATCGGTTGGTAGTGCTAAAGGAAAGTCTTGCTTCTTCCCCACATCTCAGGGGTTTCCAAACTGTGGTCCATGAATCACTAGTTGTCTGTGAGCTTCATTCAGGTGGTATGTTGATTTTTGGCTGAAGATGGGAAGTGATACATGTATTACATGAAATAGCCATATGTATTTTTCATTTCATTTTCACCTTTTTTTCCCTTCTATGGGATCGTATTACAGTTTGAGATGGAATCTAGCACAGCATCTAGCACAGCACATTACAATTGCTACAATAGGTAGTGAAATCATTAAGTGGCCCTTTAGGGCTCTTAGCAATTGTCAAGTGGTCCATCAAGGAAGAAATTTTGGGAAACACTGCTCCATCTTTCTTGCTGCTCTGTTTCACTTTGTCTGAGGAACAGCCTCTTTTCAGCATTTAGGGCTGTGCAGCAGAATAAGTCTCTTTTTGTCTCTGTTGCGCTTGTCAGCACATGTCTCTCCGGCTATTGGCAAAGCCACGGTGTCGGGCAAGGTTTTTTCAAGTCTTGCACAGTTGAGCTGGGTATGGGTGGGTGTCCTTGCCTAGTGAATCATTTCAATGTGTCCACTCATCATTGCCTCCCATTCTGAAATAGTGGAGGAATAGCAAGAGCAGGCAGACCTAGACCACCGGATATTTGAGTTGGTAGGATTATACCTACAGGCTCAAATGTTCATAGCATTATAAAAACCAATATCCTTATTTGTAGGACCTTCCACCCCCCTCTGTACTTCTTTTTTTAAACCATTGGTCCATGTTCTCTCTTACACATCTGCTCCAACCCCCTATGCTGTTTAGTGTGGCCATTAAGGGAGCTGAGATCTAGGACTTAAGTAGCTGGGAATCTGATTTCACAGATCCATATTGCAAAATCCAGGATACTTAATTTGAGTCATTTTAAAATTACTGACCATTATGCACTCCGTGTAAATTGCATTTGGGGGTTGAGTCCATCTGAACAATGATATCCATGTCTCTGAGAGATGGAATGCACTAACGTGGTTGCTGCTGAGTTGATTCCATAGAATGAAGGGGAAAGTAGCAATATATGATGGAAATATAATCAACTAGGGGCATGTCTTATGAAAACTCCTTGGTATGAATGAGAACTCGGGAACCACAATAATGACTGATTATCTTTTATTGCATAAGCTATAGTTGCTTATAAGTTGAAAGCTTTTGAACCCAAAGTAATCCCCCCCACCCATTTTTCTCTAATGTGGACTTGCATATCTATTGAGAAGATGCCAGATTTCTGTGCTTAATATCAGATAAGCTAGTGGGCCTTGTAGTTTTAAAACACCTTGCTTCAGGGAGCACCCTTGCTAGCCAAAGCTGGATGTAGGAAGCAGAGGAAGTTGGAAGGGTTTTAAAAACAGCAATGTAACTTCAGCTGAAGCAGCTTGAACCAGCATCCACCTACTGCCATGATCACCTGAAAGGTGCCAAATACATCTTTAGGCTTTGATCTGCTGTCCAGTTAAGTTTCATAATGGAGAAGGGCAGTTTAATTGCAAAATGGAAAAGGGGGTTAAAAACTATGTGGTAGTACAGTGAGGATAAATTTATCTTTTAATTTACAGGAGTGTGCAGCTGGAACTAAAACTGCCTCCACAGGAAAAAGGAGGGAGAGAAAAACCTAACAGCAGCAGGAAAAAAAAGTATATTGAGTTTGTCATTATTTCAAGTAGCAAGTTATGATTTACAGCCTTGACAGATAAATTACTTACTTACTTAAAATTAAAAAGTAGCAAATGCTGAGTGTTCATTTTCGAAATTCAGACTTCACACAAACACACACACAAACTCTTAAGAAAAAAACTGCATGGCAAGGCAGAGGCCTGTTGACTACAATAGAACTGGAAAAGCAAATCTATAATTTGAACTTGCTTCACTAAAAGACGTGCCAGAGAGGGAAAGGATCCTTCACTGCTTTGCTGGGTACAGCTTCACAAGCCGTATTGGGTTGTTTGGCTGTTCTGGATAAAGTTGCACTCCCTTTGATGGATCAGTTGTGCATTTGGGGAGTGCTCCTGGAACCATCTCTGTCACTAAAAACTCCAAGTGACCTCTGTGGCAAAGAGCACCTATGACCAGCTTTGGTTGGTATTACAGCTTGCTCTTTCCTGGATAGGGTAGCTTGGCCACTGTTGGTCATGCGTTGGTATCCGCACGCTTAGGTTTCTGTAATGTGCTATATCTGTGGCTGTCCTAGCAGCCAGCACAGAAACTGCAGCTAAGTGCAGGATCCAGCAGCTTTAGTGCTAAATGGGGCACCCAGGTATGTACATACTTCACTTGTGCTGAAGGAACTGCACTGGCTGCCTAGTGGCTACCGGACAACACTCAAAAGTGTTGTTGCGGACATATAGAAAATTCTGAACAACTTGGCTCCAGGATGCGTGGCAGACTGCTTTCCCCTATATAATCCTAGTCAATCCCTACAGTCATACAATCATAGCTTCAGAGGAGGTCCTTTCAAACTCTGCTTACAGCACTGCCAGTTCTCAAGGCTAGGTGCTTTTTCCTTCACCCGCTGCAGCTCCAGAACTCCCGCGCCTTCTTCCTAGCTCGTCATTCCTGGGCTGGGGTGATTTGCTGGCTGCACGGAAGAGAGCATCGCACTGGGAGCATGGAGTGCTCATGGGATTATTTATTGGCTGTTGGAGTGGCTTCATAGCTTAGCACTTGCTGAAGGAGATTCTGGGGCCTTCCTTAAAGAGACAGATTTCCAAGCTTATTATCTCAGTGGATCCTCCTGACCTTAAAAAGTATGAAATTCTGGCTGAGGCTCCAGCTGACTAACTCTCCTCCCAGAATGCACTTGGGGCATCCTGTGTATGGCAGTATTGTTTTAGCAGCGGGAGCCATGTTCGTTTTCAGCAGCCAAACTGCTGTTATTCAGCGCCTACAATAACCTTGGCAGATGTTGTTGTGGTTGCCGCGGAAACGTTTCCTTTTTGTCATAGCCCACGTGAAATTTATTGTTTTATTTAGGTCCTGACAAGCAGGTTGCAGTAGGGAAGGCCAGAGTGTCACCTCGCAAGGAGGGGACGTGTACTCAGAGCAGCCCAACCTCTTGTGTCTCCCACAAGCACCGGCTTTGGCCAGCTTTATGCTGTCTAGTAGTGTACCGGCCCCGTCCTCGCCCTCCTCAGAAAATACGAAATTCCTGACTAAACCATCCATTAATTCTGCAACCACAAATCCTCAGTATTTGAATGGCAAAGCCATGCCTATATTCACATGTTTTATTTAACTGGCAGACCTTATGTACACAGTTGTATAATTTTATGGTTTGAATTTTTCCGTTTTATGTTCTGCTTTATTTCCTTTTTTGTCAGAGACGGGAGAGAATTGGCAGAAAGCTGTAGGACACACAGGAACAGTTAAGAGCTGGGAAGAAGCAACAGGCTGGGCGGGAATAAGGAGCTTGTGGGCCTGTCTCCCCAAGCCATCTTTGCTCATCCCTCTCTCCTCCTAGTGTAAATCAGTCTTTCAAAGTGTGCCCAGAGCTGTTACAGTAGCTCTTGGTATATGTCGGTGTTGCTGTTGCAAGTGCCTCCAGGATAAACTACCTAGGCTGTGGCAAAAAACACACACAGCCATCCCAGACTCATAAGAAACCCAGAGCACTTTTTAAAGCAGAACTGTCTTTCAAGGCCTTCCTCCCTGCACAAGGCAGGGCAGTTGTGGCTTAACAAGAGCAGTGCCACAATCAGTGTCTCACAGCAGTCTAAATGGTTGGGGCAGTCCAGAGTCTCAACAGAGGGGCAACATTAGAGGAAAGGTCCAGTGACTAGCTAGGTGGCAGGGCGGCACAAGTCAGGGAATCCTAGAATCTTAGAATTGTAGAATTGGAAGAGACCCTGAGGGTCATCTAGTTCAACCTCCTGCAATGCAGGAATCTCAGCTAGATCATACGTGACAGATGACCATCTAACTTCTTTTTAAAAACCTCCAAGGAAGGAGAGTCCGCCACCTCTCGTGGGAGTCTGCCAGAAAGTTCTTCCTGAGCTCCTTTCAAAACCATTGGTTCGGGTCCCACCCTCCAGAGCGGATGAAAACACAAGCTTGCTCCATTCTGGTACAGAGATGTTGTTCGTGCAACCATATGTTACTGGGGCAAAGATGTTGTGCCTGGAACAGAAGGCTTTTAAACTCGAACCTTCACATTGCTTGCAGGTTTGGTCTACTCTTAAGGAGTGGCTTACTCACCAGTGTTTATTTACTCTCAAAGAGCCTTTGTTCTTCAGATGGGCACTTTGGCATTTGGCAGTCAACTGAGCCTGCCCCTTTAGGACTCAATGGCAGCTTGGCGTCTGCCTGATTCCAAGATAGGGCTACCTTTGCCACGGGAAGAAGGTTATATCGCCATTTTTCCTGAGGACCCGGGACCTTCCTAGTCTCCCTCGCAGTCTCTTCTCACAGAGTAGTTTAGTCTGGGGCGCCCCAAAGAGAATTCCTCCAGCAGGGGTATGGCACCTATGAGACCCTGATCTCCATTACTGGTATTTGACATGAGAAATTTGAGGTGCATATCCGCCAAATACAGTTCCCCTATATAACCCTTGAAAGGGGTGGATGTTAGAAAGTTCATTTTTCTTAGACCCATGTCTAGTCAAGTCGCATCACCTTCTATTCTTTGGCACTAGAGTGAACTAGTTGCTTCCTTTGGACTGAGATTTTTGGCTCCCTCATCTCAGAGTTGACAGTGCCATGGCACAAGTAATGGGGGAAGTTGCTCCTGGTGCCCTAATGTAGCAAGGATGAAGAACCTAGGATCCAATGCTTCCCTCCTGGACTTTCTATCTGGCCCTCAGAATTCTTCCCAGGCCACACCCCTCTCTGGTGAGCTGCACATATCCTAAGTGCTTTCGCCTGACCAGAATGTGTCCTTTCACTCTGATAATGCCTTTTGCTTACCCGGATGGGGGATAGAGAGGTGAGTGTGGAGAAACTAACCTCTAGTACAAAGGTAGACATCTATATTTGTTGCTCTGCCTATTTTTTGCCCAGTGCTTTATCTGGAAAAAGTTCATCTGCCATCACCCTGTCCTGCAGAAAGGACTATCTGTTCACATGGCTTTAGCGGTTATTTCTTGAAGCAAGGTATGATGACAGTGTGTTTCAGTTCTCCAAGTGATAAGTGTATCATTTCCTAAAAACTTTCCCTGCAAAGGAGGCAGGGGTGCCAACTGGAATAAAACATTGTGGGGGCCCAGGTATGCCCCACCCTGCATAACTGATCACATGACATGGTGCACGCACACCATTTGAATGGCAATGTCCATCAACTTTGGAGGCGAGCCTCCAGCCCCCTCAAAAATGTTATTGCAAGGGCCGAAGCCCCTATGGCCCCTCGGAGTTGGCTCCTATGAAAGAAGGTATGGGGTGGGAAAATCAACGCAAGTCACTCTCAGTTTCTTGGGCCTGCACAGATTTTGCCCTGATTTGGTCTCTTCTGAGCTGGCTGCTGAATCTGTCTGTTTAAACCTTTTTTTACACAAATACTCCATGCCTTTCAGTTCTCTTTCCTACAAGTTCAGCTTTCAAAAAGCTGCCCTCAGTGCCCCACATTATTTGGGAAGTGCAAGAGACTGTGAAGAGCTGTTTCTGCGTGTTTATTACACATATAGACCACCTTTTCTCCCAAGGAGCTCATGGCTCTCCTCCCGCCCCATTTCATCCTCACAGCAACCCTGTGTGGTAGGTTAGGCTGAGAGATGGTGACTGGCCCCAGGTCGCCTAGTGAGCTTCATGGCTGAGTAGGGATCCGAACCCTGGTCTCCCAGGTCATAGTCCAACACTCTAACCATTACACCACACTGGGAGTGCTAGGGTTGGCAGGCACAGAAAGAGAAGGAGTTCTTGTGTCTTTAAATAACTTGAGTATGTGGGAGAAACTGCAAGTGCTAGCAACGACCTTCTCCATCCCACCCTCTTCACCTGTGATTCCAGCATACCCTCAAATTTCTTGGGAGTCGCATACCATACCCCCATACCCTCCATCATTTCTCCAGTGAAAATAGGGATGTGCTAAGAATAGGGATGTGCTAAGAATAGTGGAGGGACGCGGGTGGCGCTGTGGGTTAAACCACTGAGCCTAGGACTTGCCGATCAGAAGGTTGGCGGTTCAAATCCCCACGGCGGGGTGAGCTCCCGTTGCTCGGTCCCTGCTCCTGCCAACCTAGCAGTTTGAAAGCACGTCAAAGTGCAAGTAGATAAATAGCTACCGGTCCGGCAGGAAGGTAAACGGCGTTTCCGTGCGCTTCTCTGGTTCGCCAGAAGCGGCTTAGTCATGCTGGCCACATGACCCGGAAGCTGTATGCTGGCTCCCTCGGCCAATAAAGCGAGATGAGTGCTGCAACCCCAGAGTCGGTCACAACTGGACATAGTGGAGAATAGGGACACTTGGAGGGTCTGTTCCAGGGCCCTGTCCTGTTATCCCTGTGCTGCTGATGAATATCATGAAAACTAGCATCAGGAGAGAAGGGGTTTGAGGCAGTGAAGGAGCAAACCTGGGGATCAGAGAAAGATCTGGAAAAGCTGTGGCTGAGAAATGCAGCCAGAGAGGGAAGGGTGGAGAGGAGGGAAAGTGGGGATGTGCGTGGGCCTTAAAAAATGGCTCTTAAGAGTCAGAGTGGGCCCTTCCTGTCCTTAATCCCTTAACAGTGGTAATTGCAATTAGCCCTATTAGCACTAATGGGTCTGAGTACAGGGCTTTTCTCTCCATGCCCAGCAGAGAGAGTGGAGTGCTCTTGAGCATTGCAAAGTAAGGCAGAGGGATCTGCCTGAGCAGGAATTAATGATTCTCATGGGAGGTTCCTGCCTGCAGGGTGGTAAATAGCAGATGGACCAAGTGCGGGAATGAAACTGGAAAAAATCTTGACAGCAGAAAGTGTTGGCTCTTAAACCAAAGGAGAGGGGCTTGGATAGCAAGAGAGGGAAACTGAGGCATAGGAAGGAGTATTGATGCAACAGGTTAGCAAACATAAATATCTGCATTGCAACTGGCAGTGCTCACTCTAGATCAGGTATAAAGCACCTTCCTTTGTTAAGTCTTCTGTTCCAGGCACAACATTTTTCCACCACTAATGTCCCGTTGCTGGAACACCTTTGCACTAGTTATATACAGAGTCTAAAATTATTCATTGCTTGTTCTGCTCTATGCTTGTAGGTTAGGTAAGTATTATTATCCTCATACTGCAGACCAGAGGCTGAAAGAAAAAAGCCTCATCAAATCGTGCAGAAGCAGAAGGCAATACAGTATTTGAATCGAGGGATTTCCTGGTTCACAGCCTCATTGCTCCTAGAAAGTCTAGAGTTTGGTACTGGGATATATTTTCCCCTGAAGCCTTTGGCAAAAACCTATTATTAGCACAAACAATTTTGTACACCAAAAACCTTGCTGTAACTAAGCCTAAGTATGTATATCTGAAATAATTGAAACAAAATAATAATAAAAATCCTTCCAGTAGCACCTTAGAGACCAACTAAGTTTGTTACTGGTATGAGCTTTTGTGTGCATGCACACTTCTTCAGGTCTGAAAAAGCTCATACCAATAACAAACTTAGTTGGTCTCTAGGTGCTACTGGAAGGAATTTTTTTTTTGGTTCAACTACGGCAGACCATCATGGCTGCCTACCTGTAACTTGAAATAATTGTTTAGTCTTTCCCTGTTTCTGTTCTACTTCAGTGTCTCCCTTGTGTTGATACATAGATTTTAAGCCCCTTAGGGCTAGGTGCTGTTCCCTTGCAGTTTGTAAAGTGTTGTGTGTATGAAAGGTGTCTTCTTGTTCTTGCTGTTTACAAACTGGCTACATTTGAATGAATTTGCTTAAGTTACATAGTGAACCCAGGTTGGGCAATTTTAGAATATACTGGGCGCTCCATCTACTCCTCTCTCCCTTTCTTTGAACTACGTAGCAGAAGTTGCCCATGTATTTAAAATCCAGAAACAACCCAGAAAACTATATAACATTAATTAAATGTGCACACCTAGATGAACTTGGATAAATGCCCACCCAGAGAGAGCTTTTGCTTGGTTCTGCGCCACCCTTCTCCTAAAGTGTGTGGCAGATTCCGAAAGAACTTCAAAATGGCTTGTTTGGCTCATGAAAGAAAGATCTGAGAAGGGTTACAATGACGGGAAAGCATAAGAATCATACATAGCTTAGGCAAGGCTAAATCGTCGTTAAAGCTTTTAAGTAATCTCAGGGGTCTCCACTAAAACTCAGTTTTTATTTTTGCACAACTTATTGATCTGTGGAACTCACTGCCATGGGATTTGGTGAAGGCCTGCAGCATAAATGGGCTTTTTTAAAAAAGAGGGTTCTAACTATATTTAATGAAGGCTAAAGGTATCAGGGAAGGTAGCTTTCTGCTCAGGTCCTCTTTAAGCACGAAGTTGCTGGAAGCTGTGATTGATGAACTGGAACATAATTATTGAGCATCTCTCCTGAAGCATCCCAAATAGGCTACTGTTGGCGACGACTAAGGCTGGACCTTAATTGATACTTTCCGAGTGTTGCTTTCAGCTTCCCAAACTCCCCTTGATGAAGTGAGCCTCCGCAGTGTGCCAGCCTGGCTGGCTCCCTTCAGATCCCCCGCCCTTGCACTCGCTTGCCAGGATCGCATCCCTGTGAAATGTGTGGAGCTCCCAGCAATAACGCACGAAACCTTGGCACGGTGACTCTTCTCCTTTAAATATTAATGGGGCTGGCACCATCTGCGGCAAAAGGGTATAAATTTGCCTAACTGTTTCTCTCCACACTGCCTTTTCCCTCTGCCTTCTTGTTTGGATGGTCTTGCTACCACCAGCATCCCACCATTGCCTCGCCTCTGGGCAGCTCTGGTGGAGTCCTCCTCCCCTCCTCCTCCTCCCGTGCCCCCGCCCTGTGGGTCTGTGGCTATGGGCTTGCTCTGGGGTAAGAGGTGCAGCAAGTGCCCTGCCAACTGCTCCCCTACTTATTCAGGTAACGGGGGACTGTCCCTTTAAGAGGCTGCATCATGCAAGCATGTCAGGATTTAAAAGGGCTGCTGTGCAAGGTGTTTATGCACTTGGGCTGTAGACCGCCCTCCTCATCCACTTCTCTGCTCCAGCCAGGATCCCAACTGAATCGGGAGCAGACTGTGCTGCTCCTCCAGGGGTTAAACCTGCCGGTGGTACTTCTCCCTTTCTCCCTCCCTCCCTCTCTCAGAGGCTGTGCAGCTGGAATCTCGCCTGCTCTGTGGCTGGGTGTGCTGTGGCGAAATTCCCAGTCGCTGCTCTGGAAACCAATTGTGCCAGAGAAGAATGTGCCGGCTCAGCTAATCAGCCAGGAGAGTGTGAGAGGAAGAAGAAGAAGGAGAGAGAGAGAGAGAGAGAGAGAGAGAGAGAGAGAGAAGACCTGTGCCCAAAGCATCGGTCTGTACCGCTCTGCCTAACAAGATCTCCTTGACTCTCCCCTGTTCTTTGCAGGCGTAAAGTGGAGCAAGGACAGCAGCATGTCCGACAGCAAGGAATGGGCCACGCTCAGCCCAGAGGAGTTCACCCAGCTGCAGAAGTACATCGACTGTGAGTCTTTTCCCTTCTCCCATCTATCTCTCTGGGCTGGCCCCACCAGGCTGGGACCTATTGGGGAAGGACTGTGACAACAGGAAAGGTTGAAAGGGACTCCCCATCCTAAAGCATCAGGGAGTCATGTGGGACATTGACATGCCAAAATCTGGGTTTGCTTTGATGGAGCTGGGGCGGTGGCAGGCGGGGAGAGGGGGGGGGAAGGTGGAAGGAACTGTCTCTCTATGCCAATCTGGAGGGGGCTGAGTGTAACTGAAAGGTCTGTTCACTCTGTAGCTGTCCCCGTAATATCATCTTGGAATGTCAGAGTCAGAAATCCTGATTTGACGGCTACAGAGAAAACAGTATGGTCTGTGAGAGTTTAGCTGGGGGACGGCTTGCAGCTTGTGGGAGTACCTTGGCTTGCAAAGAGCAAGGTAGTTTTAGATCCCTGTTTTCCCGCATTGAAATTATTGGCCTACCCACCCACCCCAAACAGTGCTGGACAAACGTGGAAGTTGAATGCCAAAATTCCTAATGCCCTGGGTTCACAAGCGTTGAAAGCCAGGAGATATTTGGGCCAGAACTGCTGCCTTTTTGCAGCCCACTGGTAACCCACGTTCCTTTCAAACATAGGGCAGAGTCCTACAACCCCTGGGCACGGCATGTATCATGTTTCCTACACTGTATAATTTCCCTCTGTTCAATCTGTTTTCTTTGCCCTGCAGACAGCAGCAAGAAGGTGCAGGACGTGCTGCAGGAATTTTATGGAGACGGTAAATTGTCTGAGCACCTTCAAGGAGATGTGAGTATACCCTTCTTCCCTTGTGCCCGTTCATCTCTTGCCTTGCAAAATTTGAACATTTTTTTGGGGGGGGGTCACTCATTCCAAGAAAAGAATTTACCCCCAAAGTTCATGTAGGCAAGGTGACCTTGCAAAGCAATATGCCATCCCTTTGAACCTCTCATGTCCCAGCTGAGGCATACCTGGAGGTTGGCAAAACCAGCCCCCACCAGGATGCAGGCACAGGAGGGGCGCAAAATTCACCTATCTATGGAGTATAGGATGTATATGTGTGTGGCAATACATCACCACTGTCGTAGCAAGATCAAACGTGGGAGAATCTTCGTCCTTTTCACACCATGACACAAAAGCATTTTTTTCCGGGAGGTGGGACGATAGAGCTCCTTGCTAGGGATGCTAATTTTTAACCTGTTCTTACAGATAGGTTGATCCTAAAGTTCCATAGAGATTCACTCTCCTGTCATTTAAGACCACTAGATCTAATCCTGCCATCTGGATTAGCAGAGAGCAAATATTTGCTGCTTTGAATGCAATAGCCTTTTAGGTACTTGTGCTATCATGATGTCCCGCATCTTTGGACTAAACTTAGCTCATTCCTTCAGCCTTTCCTCATAGGACTTGTTCTCCATACAGTTGACCACCTTCGCTACCCTTATCTGAACTTGCTCCAATTTGTCTACATTCTTAGTAAAGAATTGGACACAGTACTCCAAGCAAAACCAAAAATGAAAACAAATTCCTTCTTGTGACTTGGAAACAACAGTTCTGTCAGTGCAGCCCAGAGTCGCATTAGCCTATTTTGCAGCTGCCTCACGTTGCTGCCTGATGTTCAGCTCATGTCTGACTATAATCTCAAGATCTCTTTCGCATGTACTGCTGTTGAGCCAGGCACCCCTCAACCCTGTACTTGTAGTTTGTTTCCTATTTGCATTCCTATTTACATTTGCATTTAGTTTGTTTCCTGTTTGCATTTGTTCCTGTTTAATTTGTCTGTGTCATCCCAGTTTTTCTCTTTGTATCTTCTGAGATGTTAACTGTCCCTTTCAGTTTTGTATCATCCTCTTAACTGATAAAGAGTCCCTTCACTGTGTCACTGATAAAAAATGTTGAAACGTGTCAGGCTTGGATTCCTGCTGCATCCCACTTGTGGCATCCCTCCAGTTTGGTGAGGAACCATGGATAGCGTGGTTTTCCAAACAGTTGTGGATCCACCTGGCAGTATTATCACCTAACTCACATTTAACCAGTTTGCTCACCAAAATATAATAAGGGACTTTGTCAAATGCTTTACCGAAATCAAGATTCATTCCATCCACAGCATTTACACAATCTGCTGAGTCTCTACTTCTGCCTTCCTTCCTATAATCAAACAACCCAAGGCTCCTCTGTGGATTATCGTGAACCTGCCCTATGCATCGCAAGTCTTCCCTGTTGCTTGACCATTGTCTCTTACTCAGCCTATGTGATGACTTCTCCCCTTCCTGTGTCTGCTAATCCAATAGCTGCCATGCAGTGGAGCGAATGGAGAGGAGATTATTTTATTTTATTTTTATAATGTTTATTAAATTTTCTGTTTTACAGTTTCACATACTCATTTTACATCCTTAAAACATCAATGACTTCCCTTCTTCTCTTTCCATGGTTCATTTTACATGTCTTAAATCCCTGCATATTTTACAAAAACTGTCCCAATCAGTTTCCCATTATAGAGATTATTTATTCACTCCCGTTAAATCAGGGACAAAACAATTGAGGTTCTCCATTCTCCCTTACCATGCAAGACCACTAACGTAGCACTGACATTGCTCAGATCAGTACTCTGTTCATTTTCTATTACAACTGAAAGGATGGGTTTCCTCACATTCCTCCTCTTTTTCTTCTGTCGCTTTGTTCTTCTACTGATGCCGTTGCCAGACGATAGACTTTGAGGGCTTCAAGCTCTTCCTGAAAACCTACTTGGAAGCAGAGGAGATCTCAGATGAACTTTGCAGCCATCTCTTCATGTCTTTCCAGACTACGGCAGGACAGGCCACAGGAGAGCCAGGGGTGCAACCAAGTAAGGAGACTTCCAGCAGAAAGACTGCTATATTGTCTTGCTTTTGTTCAGGGGGTGCGTGGGATCTGCACATCCTCTGGTGGTGAAAAAACAGCATTCCAAAATGCTTAAAAAGTAGGGACAGATGCTCTGCTAAGCATCTTTTTTGGGTGGAGGTTTGACTTAGCATCTGATTTATTTATATCCTGTCTTTTAGGACAAATGTCCTCTCAAGGTGGCATACACAAATCATAACACTTACTTGAAAACTGTTTTTTTTTTAAAAAAAATAAACTCCTTAGAGTGAGCCCCAAAAGAACAATAAACAGAGATATACAGCAGGTGATGACAATGAATGAAATGTAGCCTGAAATAAAAATGTCTTGAGAGTTGTTGTTTTTTAATACAGTACATAAATGTGAATGCAGTGAAATATCTAGCAGCCCCTAGGGTGGAGAATTATTGACAGATCTCTTGCCCCTAAAGCCTTTCCTCTCTCTCCCTCCCCCCTCCTCGCTTTGCAGCCAGTGGCTTTGTTTGCGTCAATGATGTCTCTTGTTACTTCTCTCTGCTGGAAGGTGGAAGGCCAGAAGACAAGCTGGAATGTGAGTAACTGAGAAAGGATCAAGAGAAGGATGTGGCAGCTGAGGACCCCAGTTCTTAGCCTCAGATATTGGGGTGGGTGGGTTTGGGGTAAACAAACACTGGTGAAAATCTGTCCCTGGCGGTTCTTGAGGGGGGGGAAGGCTTGGTGAAGGGTTGGAAGGGAATGGGGTCTTTATGGAAGGTGTCTGAACCAGAAGGGAGATGGCAGAGGTTTTTTTCCTTTGATCTTGAAGCTTCTAGTTCTGATCTTATTTCTCCTCCCACAGTCACCTTCAAGCTCTATGACAAAGATGGGAATGGCCTGCTCGACAGTTCAGTGAGTAGCATGAGATCTTCAGGAGCTAACTTTGGGCTTGTTGGCATTGGATATCCTCTCCCCATTCATTTCCTCTTTTTCCCCATTCAGGCATTACAGGCTACACACCCAGCAACACGCATCTCCACCCACAAAGCTTTTGAAAATTTGTGCTTTTAGTAGCTGGGATGACCCAAGCTATTTCAGTGGCACCCACACACACGCTAATTGACATGAGCCCAGACAGACTTCTACAGGGAAGTTCTCTCGCACAAGCTTCGTTTTAGTGAGGCTTGCTCAGGAGAACATCCTGGTACATTGTTCCCTGTTGTTCTGTCTCTCACACTCCTGCCTTTGATGGTGCCCAAAATACGTTGCCTTCCTTCCCTCATTTGTGGGTGCTCATTTCCCCCTCATAGCTTATCTCTGGTTTGCACTTATGTGGACTTTTCCCTCCACGCTCCCAGGAGGTCTGTATCTTGTTGCCTTGGCACAGAAGCATTGCTGTTTGTTTTCCAGCATTCCACCTTTTCTGCTTTCTGTGGGAGACCTCCACATTACCGCCAAGTTTGCAGCCTAGAGGGGCCCCATCCTGGCTATGATTCCAGCCCTTCTGGGTTTCTGCTATTTCATGGATGCCATATTTGGAAGAGGAAATTTGGGAGCAAAAGGGAGCAAATCTTTTTTTCATATTTTCTTTGCAATGCAGTGTGGTGGATGTGCCCTCCTGGCCCAGTCCAACTAATGTCAGAGACCAGAGCCACACCATATGCACGCTCCTATGCCTTTAACAGCTGCATGAAAGGAAGAAAATCAGCAAGTCAAGTTTGCTGCATCTCCTGCTAGAACAAAGATAGCCATCCTATTTTGAGCAAGCTGAGATACGATGCTGTCTTTGGCTTCTCCCAATCTGTGATACCTCTTATCAACTGGTGTTTCTTGACTCCTGACTTTATCTCTCTAAATGCGCCCCAGTCTCTAACGTGCCTGGCCTTTTTTTATGTAAGCACCTTCCTTCACCTTTAATGCAGGCCTTAAACTATGTTCTTATGTAGGAGGTGGACCGCATAATCACACAGATGATGCGTGTGGCTGAATATCTGGACTGGGACGTCACTGAGCTTAAGCCAGTAAGTGCAGAATACCCATACCTGATTTTCACTAGGCATATTTCTGTTCCATCACACACAACCCACACATACTCACCTATGCTGGGAGATGCTGGCTCTTGCAGTGTTTCCCAAACATGGGTCTCCAGCTATTTTTTGGACTATAATTCCCACCATCCCTGACCACTGGTCTTGCTAGCTGGGGATGATGGGAGTTGTAGTCCAAAAACAACTGGAGACCCAGGTTTGGGAAACACTGCGAATTTTGCCGTCTCTTAGAATCTGAGGTTAATGGAGCACACAGGGAAGCTGGATAAGGTGTTGTCTTCAGCACAACACCAGCAAGGGGATGGAGCTCAGGCTGCGTAGTTATGGAGTAAAGTGTGTATTTAGTTGGAAGAGAAGACTTCTGATGGTTAAATGAGCCAGGGCAGGCTAATGAGGTTCATATATGAAGTCTAGATGGGAGTGTCCTCATAGAGTGACCTCTCCTTTCTGCTGGCTGGTTGTTGCTTTTTTGCAGGGGACAGTGTGGTGAAGAATACAAGCTCTTGTTTCCCCGCCCCCCTTCTCTCCAAATAATCTTTGCAGTTACAAAGCTTTTGGGGTTTAAGAAAGGAGGATGGAGGATGGATGCTGGGGGTGGATGTAAATTGCCATATGCTGCAAATAACATTGGATTCTTGGATGCACATTTTGGGAAGAATTGCTTTGTCTGCTAGATGTGCCTCATAAAAAATGATCTGGGGACCAAGGCATGGTGCGCATGTCGACCTGTGTCGAACGGACTTCAGCAAGCCCTCCCATGCCCTCTTCTTCTCCCATCTCTCATCGGCACAGATCCTGCAGGAGATGATGCGAGAGATTGACTACGACGGCAGTGGCACAGTGTCTCTATCTGAGTGGCTCCGTGGCGGCGCCACCACCGTCCCCCTCCTGGTGCTACTTGGACTGGAGGCTGTAAGTGCACAGAGGGGCAAGGGAGAAGGATGGGGAAGGGAGATGGGGGCTGAGATAATAAGACAGGCAGACACACCTCTGCCCATCTGAGCCAGACTAAGGTGCTGTGGTCTGGGACAGGGGGGCATTCTGTGATCTCCTGTACAGGAAGCAGGAATGGTTTCTAACCACATGTTAATATTACCTGGGGCTTCTTTGGAAACGAGCTTCAAGCTGCCACCCTGTTTGATGGATAAGCCGCAAGCTGGCTTTATTAAAACTGGAGCAAAAGCAAAACTGCTTTTCCACTGTGTGGATTTGAAGTGGTTGCTGCACTGTTGGATTCCAACTCCCATCAGCCTCCAGCTAGCATGGCCAGTGTTTAAGGGGGGATGGGAGTTGCAGTCCAGCAACCCCTGACACACCACAGAATAGCCACCCCTGCTCCATGTGGTGCTTTTCTCCATCATGGGGGCTTCTTGGAGGAGAGTCCTCCCTTCCTAAAATATTTATTAAAAATGGATATTTTTACTCTTGTATTAGTTCATTCCAAGGGGCCGAAGTTATAGGTCCATACATGCACATTTTGAAGGTCATATTATCCCTCCCACCCCAAACATATGCCAACCTTTGTCCAAAATTCTGACCCGCCTAGAACCCATTCCCTCCCACACCTCCCGTGAGCCCTGACATCTCTCTTCCCTTCCCATTCACAAAACAATCACACGCAGCAACAAAAACCAACTTCTGCCCTCACTGCCTCCTTTCCTTCGTTGCTGCAGACCATGAAGGATGATGGGCAGCACCTCTGGCGCCTGAAGCACTTCAACCGGCCCGTTTACTGCAACGTGTGTGAGACGCTTCTGCTGGGGCTGCGCAAGCAGGGGCTGCGCTGCACTTGTGAGTGGCTCCCTTTGTCTTTGGGGTGAAGGTGGTCATCTCCTCCTTTCATCCAGTATGGGCTTCTCTAGTTTGTGCCCCCCCCTGCTGTGGAATGAGTGCCCTGCGAATGTTGCGCTTGTGAACAAGGGGACCTGGGGTGGAGAACAGGAGGAGGGAGAGTCCTCCAAATGCTGCCATATTTGAGGCATCTTCAGGAAGAACTAACAAAAAAATGAGCTTCCAGCAGCGTGGCCTGTACCACCGAGCAGAGGGCGGAGGGGTGTTTTAATTTTCCCTATTGGGTGAAACTGACTAGATCAGAAATTTCTTGTGGCCTCTGGAGATGCAACAGGATTGCCCTTGAAAGCCATGCGCACCAGCACCTTTGCTCTGGAAGCCCCTGCAATTCCGTTCTTCTCCCAACATCTTTGCAGGCACTTCCTCTCCTATTAAAACAACAGCAGCAGCAATCCAACAACTTTTCTAGAAGCCTGCCTTTTAAAATAAAATAAAGCTGGGATTTCCATGAGCTGCCCAATAGTTGCTTGCTGCTTTTAAAAATCTGCAAGCTCCTTTAAAGCATGGTTTGCAATGTGGCATGTACATGGGGTGAGGGGGTTTACTATTAAATGAGCGTTTCTCATAACTAATTTTGTCACAAACAGTATCCAGCAGGGGCGAATAATGCATTGCCCTTGGAGAGATTTGCATGATGCCCAGGCATGGAGCGCTGCAGTTTCGGTAGTCGGAAAACGCGACATCCGTTCAACAATTGGTTGTGCTCTGTGTGAAACAAAAACTTATTGGATCCCTTGGCCTCTCATGCTCTCCTCTTGGAGAGGTGTTCTCGGTGGCTCTGTGCTTGCAGGATGCAGATCGAAGGGTCAGGAAGCAGGGAGAGTGGAAGGAAATGAGAGGCCCGAATCTGGGCGGCATTAGCTGGTGATGGGGTGGGGATTTCATGGGGCAGTCTGTAACTGGCGTTGCATATTCAGTCCCTAGTTGCTCGCATGTCAACAAATCCATCCTCCTTCCTTTTACCCACAGTTTGCAAGTACACAGTGCATGAGCGCTGTGCCCGCAAAGCCCCACTGAGCTGTATCAGCACCTATGCCAAGAGCCGTCGTGACACCAGTGTGAGTACAGTGGGCAAAGGAGGGGAGGGCATTGCATCCATAAAGCAGCCTTTGGCTCATCTGGCTGCATTATTACCTAGGGTTTCTTTCAGGCTTCCCCTGTCTCTGCTTCCTCTCTTCCCCTGCCATGTATCCGCAGCCTCCCTCCTTTCTGTCATGATCTCCTGTCCAAGCAAGGGAACAGATTGTCTCCTTCTATAGTTCCCTCCACTGACTCTCATGCCTTCCCTTTAGGAACTCTCTGGATCCATTTTTTCTAAGGATTTGTGGGGTGCTCCCCCACTCTTCCTCTCCTGGATGTGGAATTGTCTTCTCCTGTCCCCAGACCACATCTCTAGGAATTATTTCTTCCCTTCAGATCTCTTAATTCATTCATGACCTCCACATCTCCTTGGCAGCGTCACCGCACCTCACAGTTCCAAAATCATTAGCCAAGTAAATAGCGAATGCCCAGCTAATTATAAACACTGTAGTTCTTTGCTCCTGCCCAGTTTAATTACATCAGTCCTCTTAACCATCAGGAAATAGCATGCAAGAGCAGGGAGAGGATGTCCTGGACAAAGGACTCTAGAGCTCTGGCTCCCATTCTCCCCTTCCTGTTCCAATCTTTTTAGATCTATCTTCTCTCCAGGGAGTCAGGGCTAGAACTTGAGAGCTGTGGGTTCTGGTTCTGCTGATCTAGCCCGGTGGTCCCCGTCCCTCCACTTTCATGCGCCCATCGCTCTTTCCACTTGCAGGCACAAGCCCACATCTGGGTAAGAGGCGGCTGTGACGGCAGCAAGTGCGACCGGTGTCAGAAGAAGATCAAGAGTTTTCAGAGCCTGACGGGAATGCACTGTGCCTGGTGCCATCAGAAGGCGAGTTCATACCCCCCAGTTTTCCCTGATTGGAGGCATAGGTGCCATAAGTCAGGAAAGGCTCTTCATTAAGGGCCTGCTTCTCAGTTATCTGTCTGCTTGCATTTCAAACTCCAGCTTTCCCTTCCCTCATTTGGGAGATCATGATGCATCTCCATATTCTCTGTGGAGAGCCCTCTCATTGCTTCGTTAGTTGCGGTGCAGGGTGGTGGGAGAAGCAGCAGCAGCCGGGATGCAACTAATGGTCCCATCCCATGTGCCAGAATGGCTGTGAGAAGCGAGACTGTGTCTGATCACAGAGTGGCCCCTTCCAGGTGTTCCTGTTACCTTGTAGGAAGGAGTCCTCCATTGCAGTCCGGCTTGCCAAGCATCGGAACACGGGAAGCTGCCATGTATTGAGTCAGACCATTCGTCAGTTTTAACTCAGTGTTGCCTAAACACAGTTAGGCAGTAGCTCTGCAGGGCTTTTGGCAAGGGGCATTCCCAGCCCTACCTGGAGAGGCTGTGGGGATTGAACCTGCAGGTGCTCTACAACTAAGCTAAGACTGTTCCCTGCATAAGCACAGCAAGATCTGCAAAGGGCAGCAGAGGATTGGTGGAGTAGAGGACTTGTTGGGAGGAGGAGCATTTCTCGAGGGAGCCTGTGAAAAGGTGGGAGGTGAAAGCAACAACGGAGGTGAAGGACTGTCCTGTGGCCTAATAAAGCCTGACTGGTTTATGCCTTCCTGGCATAGCGTGCCATGTTATATGTATAGATATTCTGCTAAGTGGTTTTTGTGTGTGTTTTATATGTAGGCAGAACTCTCATTTCATCAGTTAAAAGCAATCATCATATTTGTCTTGCTTCATGGTTCAGAGAGCAAAATCACAAATGCTGTTCTTGAACTGGTGTTCTAGGTAAAAGGAAGAGATTGCATTCGAGGCTTTTGCATTTTGCAGGTCGGAACTCAGAATAAACTTTTGTGTGTGTGTGTGTGTAAAATCTCTCTCTCTAGATCCATGACGAGTGCATGTCTCTCATGCCTTCAGCTTGTGATTGCGGGGTCCTCAGAGATCATATCCTGCCACCTTCAGCAATCTACCCTGTTGTGCTGGTGAGTGGCTTATTGAAACACATGGTTTATACACAAAATGTTTGCACACGTGTACACCCCCCCACAACGCCTATGCGCAGAATAATAGAGTTGGAATCACAGCTGTCAAGGTGGACACAAATGACAGGAAAGAGAGTTCTCTTCTGAAGCCCATTGATGCAGTCTGCTCACTATTGCTTTTAAAAGGTTTGGAGGCAGTGCGAGGGAGCAGTCACTGCCCATAATGTACGTTGTTTCCTGTGTCCTACCATAGTATCTGATCAAGCAGTTTCATAAGTTCTCATTCTGCTTCCAGCTAAAGCACTAAAGCACACCCTTAGAAATCATTGCGGCTGCAATAGATTGTGTTTATATCTGGGTGCAAGTCCTATTGTTGAGAATGCCCATTCTGCATACAGCATTTCTTCTTCAGCCCCTAAGCACTGAAGTAATTTTGGAACTATTTTTTTTAAGGTTTTTAAATATGTATATTTCTATGTATGCTTAGTATGTGAAAGGGTACCCAATCACAGGGGCGGGGTACAAATAAATAACAACAACAATAATAGTAATAAGTAGTAGTAGTATTACGTAAAGGTGTGGGGTTCAGAGAAAACATTAACTCTGCCCCTCTGCAATGCTCTGTGTATTTAGGATGATTTTTAAAGTTTGCCTCAGGAGTGAAATTGACTAGACCAAAAGCTGCTGTTGATATGGTCCAGTTTAAGACAAGATGGCATAATTTCAGCACTGAAGTAAAGTGCATATCACCACATTTCTGGCACATGCATATAATCCTCAGAATCTGCTTTTGCTCTGGAGATAGTACAGGAGAATGCACACAGGGAGCACATTAAGTAGGTGTTGAAGGAAGAGGAGGAGCAAGCTGCAGGTCTTAATGTACCCATCCACTTGCTTGCTTGCTTGCTTGCTTGCTTGTGCTGAGCCTTCCTCCAGCATTGGACCCCAATGGTTTTCATCCCAGCAACAGCCTTAGAGCTGTTGTGGTGCTACTTCCCCTGCTGATTCTTGCCCCTTTCTGTGTCCCAGGAGCGACAGAACAGTCAGAAGAACGGAGTCTGTGGGACCCCTTCAGAAGAGCCAGCTCAGCCCTTCACCACCCCTGAGGGACAGGCACTGCGGGTGAGCCTGGGGAAACTGGAAGGGGGGTGTTGCCAGGTCCCCACTTACTGTTGATACCCTGTTGGCGCTGAGGTCCTGTGCTAGTCTGAGCAATGCCTTCCGCATTCATGTTAGTTACAAATAACCCAGGAAGTTGGCAGCAGAGGGAGGTTAGTTAATACTTAAAACATCCCTTGCCCTCGAGCTGAAGCACATTGAAGTCCCTCTCATGCTGTTTGTGCCATGTGTGAAATTTGGTAATACCAGTGAGAGAATATACAGTGGTACCTCGGGTTAAGTACTTAATTTGTTCCAGAGGTCCGTTCTTAACCTGAAACTGTTCTTAACCTGAAGCACCACTTTAGCTAATGGGGCCTCCCGCTGCTGCCGCGCTGCCGGAGCACAATTTCTGTTCTCATCCTGAAGCAAAGTTCTTAACCTAAGGTACTATTTCTGGGTTAGCGGAGTCTGTAACCTGAAGCGTATGTAACCTGAGGTACCGCTGTAATCTGTTCTCCCCCCACATAAACTGTACAAGTTCCAATTTCTGCTATGATTCTTTGTACCTTGTTATAACCTATCCACAAAATATTTTGAGTACAGCAAATCCTCTCTTATTTGTCTATAATCATCATTAATTTGGGTTAGCGGAGTTTGTAACCTGAAGCGTCTGTAACCCGAGGTACCACTGTACTGAATATTCGGTCCGGTCAGTGCAGGGTTTTAGGGTTTGATTTTTTTAACACAGCTTAAGCTCAAACTGCTTTTGAACCATGCATGGAGGTCACCCACTCAAATCCTCAGCAGCTGCTGTTTGCTGAAGCAGAAGACTTGCTGGGTCAGAGGGCTCAATTGCATTGTAACCCTAAACTAGTTCTGACTGCTGTGGCTTTCCTCCAGGGACTCTGGGTATGATTGCTTAGTGCAGGGTGCTGCAGAATAATTGCGAACGATCCCTAGACCCTTCAGGATTATAAAACACAAAAAACAAAACCACCCCAATATATTAGGGGATAGGAAGAACAACTATGACAGTTTAAGCTGGTTTAAAATTGCCATGTGTGTACAGGCCCACGGTGAACCCAAGAGCTGTATGTATGGCTCTCCATAGACCTCTCTGGAAACCACGCTCATAGCAAAGGGAAGAGGTGGGTGGTTAGGGTGATTTCAACTGTAAAGCTAAAGGACCCCTGACAGTTAAGTCCAGTTGTGACCTACTCTGGGGTTGCGGCGCTCATCTCATTTTACTGGCCAAGGGAGCTGACGTTTGTCCGCAGACAGTTTTTCTGGGTCATGTGGCCAGCATGACTAAGCCACTTCTGGCAAAACCAGAGCATCACATGGAAACACTGTTTACCTTCCCACTGGAGCGGTACCTATTTATCTACTTGCACTGGTGTGCTTTCGAACTGCTAGGTTGGCAGGAGCTGGGACCGAGCAATGGGAGATCACCCCGTCATGGGGATTTGAACTGCTGACCTTCTGATCGGCAGGCCCTAGGCTCAGTGGTTTAGACCACAGCGCCACCCACATCCCATCAATTTCAGCTGTACCCAGCCACATCTACATGCCTGTTTCCCAATCCCTTCCTGTGTTGCTGAACCTACAGTGCTGTTTGCTTGTTAGCAGGAGTGGAAAAGCGAATTTGATCATTGGCCAAGCTGCTCTCCAAAAACCCTTTCCATCCGTCTTTCCGCAGATCATCCCGGTGCCTGACACTCACCCCTTGCTTGTCTTTGTCAATCCCAAGAGTGGTGGGAAGCAGGGAGAGAGGTGAGAGGGGAATGGGGTCTGAAGCATAAAGGTGGTGGGGCAGGGGAGGTTAGAATCATAGAACTGTAGAGCTGGAATGGGATTCCAAGGACCATCAAGTCCAACCCCCTGCAATACAGGAATCCTGCCCACAGCCATCCCTGGGTGGACTCGAACCACCAACCTTCTGATTAAGAGCCAGATGCACTGACACATTGTACCACATCATTCTTTTTTCTAGGATGTGTGTCTTACGGTCCATATCAGTTTTGCTTTTGGGTGGTTAGATGCAGTTTATTTTTTATGAGTTTTTTGTCTGAGGTTCTATAGACAATCCCAGCAGAATATATCTCTTACAACATGGAAACTCCCCCGCCCACTTCTAATTGCCAGAAAAACTCTGGGTAATCACTTATACAATTCGCATTTGGCAAGGCTGCCAGGAGCTTGTTAAAATTGCTTGGGGCTCCAGATCTGATCAGTGGGACACTAGCTGACCATCCCTTAATCTACGAGACCCCATCATTTGCAAACATGTCCCACAAACTTGGTTTCTCCCGCAAAGCATATTACGAACTTGACCAAGGTGGTTTCTGAATGGCTATCTTTCCCCCCATCTTATTGGCAGGGTACTGCGGAAATTTCAGTACCTCCTCAATCCACGGCAGGTCTACAATTTATTGAAGGGGGGCCCCGGACCTGGGTGAGTTGCTGTGACCTTCAGTGCATGTCAATTGTGTCTTCCTGTTGTGACAGTAGATGCCCATGTTTCACATCTCTTGAAGGATAAAGCAGGTTGCTGGTGGGAAATGGTGTGTGTGTGTGTGTGTGTGAACGAGCACAGCTGGAGGAATTTTGTGCTCTATAGGTGGCTTGTGATCAGGACTGAGAGGCAGCTATGGAACCTGTGGCTAAAACTTAATTGTATGCACCTTTCTCGTTCCAGGCTGAACTTCTTCCGGGATGTGCCAGATTTCCGTATCCTGGTTTGCGGTGGTGACGGCACAGTCGGATGGATCTTGGATGCCATTGGTAGGTCTTTGAGACACTTTAAAGGTTTTCCTTTTCCACAGTGTGGTGTGAATAAAGAGCCAATCCAAAACCTCCGTTTTTGTGTCAACACAATAACTGCTAGTTGCTTTAAAAGGGCCAATGATGTACCCATCATCCTAACACCTGGGGTTGTCTGCTAGCGTCGCTAATGTTGCCACTCCATGTTATAAAGAAAAGACCGGTTTTCATTCTCTTTTTAGACAAAGCCAACCTACCAAGTCGGCCTCCTGTGGCTGTGTTGCCCCTGGGAACTGGCAATGATCTGGCCCGCTGCCTTCGCTGGGGAGGAGGTGAGTAACACCAGTTGGTTTCCATCTCATGCTGCTAATCACCTGGAATCAGACCAGGTGACCCACTAGAGACTATACTGTTTCCTTGTCCCAGCTAAGACCATTTAGCCATGTAGGTTTCTCCCACAGCCCTGAATTTGACCAGTGGGTCCATTAATAACAGCAAGGAAGGTGCCCTGATGTCAGGCAGGTTAGCTGAACAAGTGAGTGTACAGAGTCTCCTGATGTTTCTCCTGGGGTTTTAGACCCTGGGTATGAATCTTGTGCTGTCCAATTTCTCTTACGTTCCCTTTCTTTCTTTCTTTCTTTCTTTCTCCCTCTCTGTCTCCCTCTCCCCCTCCCCCTCCCCCTCTCTCTTTGTCTCTTTCAAAAGCAAAACCTCCGCCTCTGCAGTTTTGTGTTGAAAACATTCAGTACATAGCTGATATAGCAATAACTCATAAACAGTAATGTGATAGCATATAGTTCTTCCCCTGGGGCTAGGACAACCTGGGTTCAGATTCCTGCCCGGCCACAAAGTCATTTGCGTTGTCTACCTCACATGGTTGTTGTGAGGATCACCCCATGTACCTTACCCTGAACTCCAGCATATGACTGGAAAGCTAAGCACAGCAGCATGTATAAAATAAAGCTGCATTTTATAAAAAGCCTCTGACAGATCTTGGCTCCATAACAAAAGTGCTTTCTGTTGTGGCTTAATCTTTCCCTTAAATAGTAGCAACCCAAACATTCTAGCATGGGAATTAGTCCTAGTACTGGAGAAAGGAAAGCACTGGAAAAGCAGCTTGAGGTTGCCTGGTTTCGTGCTCCTCTCATCTTGATTTGATTACTAGACTAAGACTGTCTGGCCAAGGTGGGGGAGTGGAGCTTATTACCAGAGTTCACACTTCCAACATTTTAAAAATCACAAGCCTACTCCCTCCCTCCTCAGTCTCTAATGCATAAATTTCTGCCCAGGTTATGACGGCGAGAACCTAGTGAAGATCCTTAAAGACATTGAGGCAAGCAGCATCCTGCAGATGGATCGCTGGTCAGTCCAGGTGACGCCCGACAACCCTGATGAGAAAGGGGACCCCGTCCCCTACGAGATCATCAACAACTATTTCTCCATTGGGGTAGTAAGTATGAAAGGGGCAAGTGAAAATCCCAAGGAGCGGCACTGAAGGACAGCCCTCCTCTTCAAGCCTGTGGAGGGTGCATATTCTCTCTCTACTACGGGAGGTTTTGCGGTCTTCTGAACTGTTGCTATACTGGTGCCACTGAAATCAGTGGCAGGAGACTGCAGAGAAGGGGGCAGGAGGTTTCAAGCAAGAGGGATACAGGACATAGCAGAAAGTTGAGAAGGACTGGAAGCGGGGGATGGAGAGGGGACTCTGGGGAGCTGAGAGGTGGCAGGCGGTGGGAGGGTACTTTGGAAGAAGCTGTGTGGGACATCTCCTCCCATCACAATGTTCCCTCTCCACCTCCATGACACCCCCTCTTATTTCTGACTCTGTCTTTCTCACCCACCCTTTCTCCAGGATGCCTCCATTGCCCACCGATTCCATGTCATGAGGGAGAAATACCCGGAGAAATTTAACAGCAGGTTAGCACAGTACAGTTGGGGAGCACCTTCCCTTGGGTGCTGTATCTACCCAGAATCCTCTGCTCCAGAATCATGGCTGTCTTCCCCTGTGTAGCCAGTCCGATCTGGCACTTGAGTCTCCTTATTCATGCATAGGAACCTCTGCCTGTGGGGAGGAAGGGGCTTTTTGGTCCCTGGCCTCCTTGGCACACTGTCGGTGCTTTTCTGTCTCTCCCTGGGAAGCATCTGTGGGTGGTATGGGGCTGCCATGTGGCCGAGAAAGCAGTTGGTTCTAAGGAGAAGGTGGTTTGGGCCATGGAGTAGTTGGGTAGTAAAAGAGGATGCTCTTCAGAGGGGGCAGTCTAGGCTGGCAACATTGGTGACCTTTGGTAACATGGTGCCCTGAGCAAGGCCAAAATTTGGCAGCCCCAAATGGATCTTCTCAGTTATGGATCTTCTCAGTTTTGCTCCCATGCGGTGGAACCGCCTGCACCGCCCTAAATCTGATGCTGCTGGCAAGTCCTGCAGGTGGATGTGTTTGGCTGAGGCCTTCCTGGGAGAAACTGAACCCAGCCACATGCTTTTCGTTTTTGTGTTTCGCACCCCCTTTTCCCCTGAACCAGGATGAAGAACAAGCTCTGGTATTTTGAGTTTGCTACATCGGAGACCATCTTTGCCACATGCAAAAAGCTCAAGGAGTGCCTGTCTGTCGAGGTGAGGTTCCCCCTTGTGGCGCTCAAGTCGAACAGCTGTGCTGCAACTGTGAAAGATGAGAGTTGCCTTTTCTGTCTTTTGCAATGATCTCTGCTGCAGATTACTGGTGAATCAGAGCAAACGTCAGTCCGCAAAAAAAAACAACGATCGATGTTTGTTATGATTTGGCAGTAAGCCACAAGTTTTCCCAGGTAAACCTCTCAGACTTGTGTCTAGAAATCATGGAACAAAGGGGAGTGTGGATGAACCCTAAGGTTAAGTCAGACTCCAAGAGATACTTGGTATTCTTGTGAACACCAGGACTTAGGAACAACGTTGTCTCTGAGCATGGGTGCACTCGTCATTGAGTTGCCAGAAGCAGCTTGGGACCTGCTACACATTTGACATTAGGACTTCTGCATTGGACGAGAGGGACTGCCAAGCAGGCTTGAGCTACAGCACTTTTCATTTTAAAAATAAGCACCACCACTTCTCCCTCTGTCACCTTTCCATGGGCCTTTCAAGAATTCGTCTTGATTTGCTCACTTAGAGGTTATGCACTACTTACCAAGCATTTGTTCTGATTTGTTTGATTGGTCATGATCCCACACTTTTTGGTGCATTTACCAGCCATGTTTTGGTGTATTTTCTAATAACAAAAAGTCCTTTTTAAAAAAAGAAAGGCGTTTTGTTGCACCAGATCACTTTAATTCCTTTTCATTGTGCAAACCTCAATTTATGATATGTGACTGAATTTCTGCTGGAAAATACTGACAGTCTGGAAGTGACCCATGGAAAAAAACTACTCCTCTCTTGATAGCTTCATGTTGTTGTTGTTGTTGTTTTTTCTCTCTACCCTATTAACTGCTGGTCAAGGCTGGATCTAGAACTTAACCCTCACCTCAGTGCTGTGGGGTGGCATTTAAAGGGACATTGCTTGAACAATTTGTAGGTTGGGGCAGCTGGCCAAAATGTTTTAAACAGTTTTAATTTTGGTTCCTCTGTTTTCTTTTCATTGGGTTGGGGTAGGTGGTTGTTTTAATTTTGGTATAACTGTAAAATTATTAGTTTCTATTGATTTATTGGTTTATTTATAGTCGGTATAAGACATTCTTTTAAAAATATTTTATTTATTTATTTATGTTTTTATATATGCTGTAAGCCACCCAGAGTGGCTGGAGAAACCCAGCCGGATGTGTGGTATATTATTATTATTAATAATAATAGTAATAAAAAAGTCAGTTATCTCTCTTGATGAGAGATGGTAAGCAAGAGAGAGGAAATTTTAAATATGATGTGGCGCCCTTCTATATTGAATTCATTTTATTTTATAGGGGTTGTGTCATATGATTTATGATTCATGTTTTCAGTTTTTTTCAGTTGGTTTTACCAACTGCTTTGATAATTCTATGATATTTTTATAAAAAATAAAATGAAGAATAGATATAAATAAATATATTTATAAATATCTATACAAGTTTCTCTAGGTGGTAAATTAGTTATTGGATTATGATATTTATAATATTGGTATTTGTAGCTGTGTCCCTCTCTCTTTCTCTCTCTCTCTCTCTCTCTCTCACACACACACACACACACACACACACACACACATATATATGAGAAATTATATGAATGTATATGCATTTGTTATGTTTTTGCAGTTACTGCATCCTTTGCATCAAATAATAAAGAACACACACACACACACACACACGCGATCTATATCTATATCTATATCTATTTCTATGAGTGATGCTAACTCCCCCCCCCCCATTCCTTTCCCCACCCCAAGTGCTGTGGGCAGTCTATTGACCTCAGCGGAGCACTTTCTGGAGTAGCAGTCCTCAACATTCCCAGCATGCACGGTGGCTCCAACCTCTGGGGTGAGACCAAAAGACCTTTGGGGGAGGCGGCGGCACGAAGCACAGCAGGGGGTGCCGCACAGCCCCAGGTCATCAGTGATGCCGAAACTCTGAAGAACTGTGTACAAGGTGAGCTGAGGAAGAAGGGCAGCAGCGGGGCTCAGGTGGGTTGGGCTACTTTAGGCAGCAGCGGATGTGGAAAGTGAGAGCAGATGTGAATTTTTGTGACCGTGAACGAGGAATGGAGTGATGCTCCACAGGTGGCAGGCAGGCTTGTAATATTGTGGACACTCCTGAGAACATTGCACAGGTAGGGTTTGGCTAGGGAAAGCAGTTGTAAGTCCAGCTCCGAGGGCCTTCTGGCGGCCCCCCCCCCCCGGAAGAAGCGAAGTTACAGGGAACCAGGCAGAAGGCCTTCTTGGTAGTGGCACCCACCCTGTGGAATGCCCTCCCACCAGATGTCAAGGAAGCAAAGAAACACACAACTTTTAAAAGACAACTGAAGGCTGCCCTGTTTCGGGAAGTAGTAGTAGCAGTAGAAGTAATAATAATAAATTTATTATTTATACCCTGCCCATCTGGCCGGGCCTCCCCAGCCACCCTGGGCAGCTCCCAACAGAATAGTAAAAACACAATAAATCATCAAACATTAAAAACTTCCTTAAACTGGGTTGCCTTCAGATGTCTTCTAAAAGTCAGATAGTTGTTTATTTCCTTGACATCCACAGAATGGGTGCCACTACCAAGAAGGCCCTCTGCCTGGTTCCTTGTAACTTCACTTCTTGCAGGGAGGGAACCACCAGAAGGTCCTCAGAGCTGGACCTCAGTGTCCGGGCTGAATGATGGGGATGGAGACCCTCCTTCAGGTATACTGGACCGAGGCCATTTGGGGCTTTAAAGATCAGCACCAACACTTTGAATTGTGCTTGGAAACGTACTGGGAGTCAATGTAGGTCTTTCAAGACTGGTGTTATGTGGTCTCGGTGGCCACTCCGTATTTAATGTTTGATGTCTTAGCTTTTTATATGCGCTGGAAGCTGCCCAAAGTGGCTGGGTGAAACCCAGCCAGAAGGGCGGGGTATAAATAATAAAGTTGTTGTTGTTGTCGTAAGTAGATATGGGCAAAACTTCCAATATTCTCCTCTTCTCCTCCTCCCCCTTGCTATTTCTCACCTAGACCTAAGTGACCGGCGGATGGAGGTGGTGGGCCTGGAAGGCGTCTTAGAGATGGGACAGATTTACACGGGACTGAAGAGCGCGGGCAAACGCCTGGCCAAGTGCTCCGAGATCACGCTGCGGTGAGTTAGGCGGTTGGTCTGCGACGGGCTTCTCCTCCTTCTCTTGCAGTTGCCATTGTGGCCCTCACATGTCCTAAGGGAAAGAAAGATGCCGGGTTGCTGGGCAACTTCCTTCCGCCCTTCCCAAAGGGTACCAGATACATGGTCACTGGCAGAGTGAGCGATAACGAGCAAAAGGGGTGTCCACGGCTTAATTAGTGCCAGGATTCAGCCCAAGGACTTGGCTCCGGAGCATGTGAAGTAACGATGGTGGCCCTTTTGTGCGCAGAATGAAATTCTATCAGCAATTATTTAAGCCCTTCACTCAAGATGCATTCCTAGGCTGAGCCTGCAGCACTATACAAGCAACTCCTGCTTTAGGTGCGACCAAGCACAGGTGAACAGCGCTGAACCTGGATGTCATAAAGACATCACTAAAAGGGCAGAATGGGGACGAGGCAGAGCGCTTGGTTTTTCCAGCGGGTCTCTGATTTCATGCAAGCGCACCGTGACCTAGAACTCAACCCCCACGTGAATAGGAGGTTGCCTGTAGTGTTTCATAGGGTATGGTATAGTGTGAGGGTGATCTTAGGCAAACCACTGTCTCTCAACCTCAGCCCCACATCTGCAATATGGTCATAATAGTACTGGACTACCTTACAGGGCTGTGATAACGATTACTCCAATAATGCACGTGAAGGGCTTTGAACGGAAATGAACGGTTTTATTCCTTCTTATTCCTGACGCCCGGGCCGAGTGTTATTGCTTATGCTGCCAAAATGGCATCACACACATACACACACACACACACACACACACACACTAAGGAGGGAGAGAGCTTTTAAGATTTGTAGAAGTATGCAAAATATTTAGGGGGGAAACCTGAGCATGCTTGGTGGGAGAAATCATAAAACTGAGAGGGTGGCGGAATAGAGTGGAGTGAATTTTGAAAGAGGGCATCACTGATTGATTAAATCAGTGAACAGGAACACTGGGCAGCTCAGTTGGTTAGAGCATGGTGCCCATAATGCCAAGGTTGCAGGTTCGATCCCTGTATGGGACAGCTGCATATTCCTGCATTGCTGGGGGTTGGACTGGATGATCCTCAGGGGTCCCTTCCAACTCGAGTTTATAACAGGACAGGGCTGCCTACTGCAACATATTGTTGCAAAGCCCACTTGTAAATTCTTAGTAGTATAGGCTGGCTGAAGCAGAAAATCCATTAAGAGAAGCAGCCACTCACCTGCAGAAGTCTGTGTCTCATGTTTCCATGTTAGCATCTGCTCACCATTCCCTCTCTGTGTGCTTTTGCAGAACTTTCAAGCATCTCCCCATGCAGATTGATGGAGAGCCCTGGATGCAAGCCCCATGCACGGTAAGCACCTAGTACCTGGCTGGGGAACTGGATTCCCCACCCCCATGGACCACATTTGTCCAGTGGAAGAGGCTGTTCACCTGTCAGTCACCTGATGCAAGCATGATGTTAGGAGAAGCATTTCCCTTTGCCATCTGATTGAAGTCAAGCTGCGCTGCTAAGATGGATGCCTCTAGCCAGTCCCACAGATCAGCTCATTGGCTCTGATTGCAACCCTTGCTTTTGGCAGGGATCAGCTGCACTCAGGAGTTCCAATCGCAATGGCACCAAATTTTTACAAGCCCCACTCACCAAGGGCTATTTGCGAGCACCCTTTAAGGCTACCAATTGTTCCTTTACCTGCCCACGCCTGACATCACAGGTGGGCATGCTTTGGGGGAAACAGCTTTGTGGGTCGAATCAGGACCCCTTTCTGAAGCTGCCCAGTCAGGAAGCTGCTTCTCACCTCACCGATACAGATCGCGCCAGCGTAAGGCAAATCCCAAAGCTGCTGTACATTAGTTCCTGAGATGCGGAGCCTGTTGGGGTATGGGACCTGAGATGCTTTGTACTTCTTTCACTGATATGGATGCTATGTTTTGCTGGGTCGAAAAAGGGACGCAGCCATTGCCTTGCTCTACCATTGCAGGGGCACTATGGCATGTTAATAGAGTCCTTCTTAAGTGTTGCCACACCCTGTTTTCCTGTGTTTCCAGATCAAAATAACCCACAAGAACCAAGCCCCAATGCTCATCGCTCCACCTCCCCGATCCTCCAGCTTTTTCGGCTTGAAGAAGGGACCACAGGAGCCCTAAAAGAAAAAGCGCTTCTGGGTCTATCAGAAGCCACGGTGATGCAGCTGGAGGCCTGTTGTCGGGATGCCCAATGCTCTTGCACCATGGGGGGAAGTCCTGCTCTCTATCACCACTACCAAACACAAACAATTGAACAAGGTTTCTTGCTGCCTGGTACGTGGCAAAGCGGGTGGACAGCTGCAGCCACAGCGCCTTTGCTTCTGCCACACAGATCGACGTTGCCAATTCCTTGAACCGGGGTGGGAGAGCCGTTGCAATACCCCTGCCATCGGGTGTTGTCCCTTGTGGGCTGCCTGCCTGTGCCGGTGCGCCCTTACCCCAAATTGTGTGGGTGCCAAATCCTCCTTCACTGACCACTCAAAAGGCCCTGTAAATTGTCTGCTCTTGCCCTTCCGGTTCTGTTCCTTGTAGGTTGTTACCCCTTGCACTCGAGGTTACTACTGAAAGACTGTGGCGGCACCGGCTCGCCTTTCCCGCTCCTCCCCTCCGTCCCCCTTTTATTTATTGCAACTCCATTCCAAGTCCTCCACTTAGCGTTCTCAGAAGTGCCTCAGCGTAGTAATAAAGAGTTGGGCTTGGATGGTGGTGGTTGTCCTGTTGTTGTAGCTGGTTTCTTTGGTTACGGGCAGACATGAAAGCCTGGGACATCGTGGGGCCACCAAATTTAAAATAGCTCTGTGTTGGCTATTTCCCAAAAGATGAGATGTGCCGTGGCTTACTTTTGAGGTTTGGGAAAGGGGGGGTGGTGGAGTATGTGTGTTTGCGCACATGTGAAAGTACCCGAAAGCGATGTTACTGCTTCTGTGGTACCAACCCGGATCATGCAATGGTAGCTTTTAAAAACCTGTTGGGAAGAAAGGACGGAAAACTGGGCTCTGTTAGGAATGTGGCTCTTAGAAGACCTGCTGCTCCTTCTCTCTCGCTTGTTAGGAAGACCTGCTGCTCCTCCTCTGTCTCCTAAGAGTCAGTGGAGTGGTGAAATTAACTAGGTGGCATTTGCTAGCACTTCTCGAACATACTAGCCTGTTGTTGGGCTTTTCTTTTTCTTTGCTAAATGGATAGAAGAGGACAAGTATGGATGTGCAGCCGTTCTTTCGCATAACAGGAACAAGCAGCCCTGCCTCTTCTGTCAGCCAGGAAGCCCCACAGCACACTCTGCAGAACGATTCCCCCATAAATCTGAGATCCCATCGCCCTTCTTTGTCTTGGGCCTCATCCTGGCATTGCTCTGCCACATGCTTTCACCCTAGTCTGTGCTGCAGATCTTCCTATCTTGCTCATTCCACAGCAGCCTGTTCTCACTCTCTTATCTCCTTCAGGGCAGAAACCTCTCTTTGGGAGAGCTGTACTTTATAAAACCTGTTCCTCGAGAGCCAGGCCTTCCTACTCTCCAGCTTCTCTAACTGCCCTGACAAGCTGCTGCTGCTTCTGCTTCCTTCCCATTGCTCTAGTGTACCCTGTGGCCACCAGTGACAGCTATGGTATGCTCACCAGGTACATGACATGTACAGCATCGTGCAAGGGAATGTGGTTAACTAGGAGCCCATCTATGCAGAGGGACCATATCACTTCAGGCAGTAAATGAGGTGTTGTTTTTGCAGCCTCTCCTTACTTAAAAGGCTTGCAGCATATACAAAACTGGCACACAATGAAGAAAGCTATTTTAAATCTTCTTTGATACATTAGTTTGCTGTGTAGATACAGGGAAAGGTGAGAGAGCGAGAGAGAGAGCACGATATCTGGTTTTCAACATTGCAGTATACTGGTATATCACAATGTCTGAAATCAGGGTGAAATAAGGGTATGACTTCATGGGTTTTTCCCCACATTGTGTTTTTTGCACAGCACACACACATACCATGACTCACAATATATATTGCCAGGTTAAAAATTATGTAACTAATATCACAATATGGACTTGAAACCAGTTTGGATGATATATCACCCAGCCCTATACCTCATTCAACTTAGCGTGCAAGAGTGGCTTCACAGCCGGCATATTGGTAGACATTAGGGGCAGCTGGTGCTTGGGGCAGGTGCTGGAGGGGCAGATCAGAATGTGGAGAAGGTCTAGGAAAGTAAGCGATTTAGCACCTCTGCAGGGTCTTGTGTCTTCCCTCCCACCCAGGCAGGCACTGAGATGGCACCATCAAGGAGTCTGAGTGTTTACTTAGCGGGTAATTTTTAAAAAAGAACAAGAATGCTGGGCGGGGTCAGTTTAGGGTGGAAGAACTGCAGAGGAGGACACTATCTCCTTTCGCAGGGATGGCTCCACAAGGCATCTGGTTCAGTAGTTAGCAAGGCTTCAGTTGGCTTCCTTGGCCTTCGTCTCCATCTTTAGATCACGTTGCCACTCAGCAGTGGGCTGCTTTCCCCACTGGCCCCCTGCCCAAAAGCCTGGCGTAGGAAGAGGCGTACAGTGGTACGGTCAGGTAACCAGCTGCTGGGAGAGGTGCTGGCTGATGTCGCAGCACGGAGGGGTGTGTATTTCATATGCCTGTAGTGGAAGAAAACGGTGACAGTAAAATATTTAGTGAGCCACAGTTTTCTAGCTTGGTTCGTTCAGTGTTTCGAACAGAAATAATAAGGCTTTTAAGGCTTCTTCGTTCAGCAAAGCAGGTGGATTTTGGCCACGTAGGCTTGATCTACATGCCATCCTTGTCTCTGCTCAGAAGACTTTGGGCAATGGAGAGCTCCATGCTACTGAGTTGGCCATTCAAAGTGGTTAGTTTGAGGTTGGGATAGATTGCCAAGGATGGAGGAGATGGAAGACAAAGTACTGCGGGGAGCAATGACAGGTGAACTGTGGTAGAAATGGTTTGTGTGCAGAAGAAAGAAGAAAACTGACTTAGTTGAAGCCTTGGAGAGTAGACTGACTATCTGCCCACAAGCTTTGAATGCAATGAACGTTCACTTTGGGGAGCTTTCCCATTCCACTGGCATGCTTTGCTATTTGCTAGAGCAGAATGGTTTACAAGTTCTACAACCAACAGGGCTACTTTGGCTGGGTTTGGTCAGCTTGCCTCGCCTTTGCACTGTAGTTTCCCCAAATATGAGGTGGAAGAAGTCGTGTTAAAGAGGCATCTTGCCTGGAAAAGCTCATGTGTTGCATGGAGGCTCTGGCGCTTCCAGTTAGAGGAGCAGGAATGGGCCATGTTGGGCTCCAGCTCCTATCAGCCTCCATCAAGCACGGCCAGTGGTCAAAGGTGAGTGGAGTCATAGTCCAGCAACAATCCAGAACGTCACAGATCTCCCACCCCTGAGTCAAAAGCACAGGAAGCAGGGCTGGGGAAATCTTCTGCCTGCAATCTTGAAGGGCTACTGGCCATCACTGCTGGCCTAGATTGGACTACAATTCCCATCATCCCTGCTAGTTAGGGATGATGGGAGTTGTAGCCCCAAAACAGCTGGAGACCCAAGTTTGGGAAATTCTGGCCTAGGTGGACTCGTGGGCTAGTTCAATATAAGTCAGCTGTAAATGTTCGAGAGACCAGCCACCTCCCTGTGTTAGGTCCCACCCAAATGCCATAAGGCAGACACAGCCAATATAGTGGCTTCAATATGTAGTTGGACTACAACTCCCATTGCCCCTGACTAGCTGAGGATGCTGGGTGGAGTGCAAGAACATCTGAAGGGCACCACCTTGGCTAACCCCCTGCAGGAAGGATTTGATTGCTGTTAGGGGGCCGCCAGATTTACAGGCCTCTGGATCCTTCCCAGCTACAGAGATGTGGTTATTAGGGCAGGCCTTGGCAAAATGCCTCCGTTCTCGGCGGAGAGGCTTTAACCAGCCCTACAACATTCCACTAGCTTCTGGACCGACACACTTTCTTGTTCCTCAACTGACTATAGGCTCCCATGCGGCTCAACAAAGGCTCACCTGTAGGTATAGGCAACAGCCCCTAAGGCAGCAGCGACCAGCACCACTCCAACAACTAGTGCAATTTGGGCTGAGCCTGAAGTTCTTGCGGCTGGAGAAGATAAGAGAAATTAATGTCTGCCTATTCAGCGAGAGAAAGAGAGGAGCGCACCATCTCTCCTTGGGGAACATGGATCAACCCTCAGGCTAGTCTCAGAAGGCATCTCTGCAGCTGCTCTGATAATGCATGCCATCAAAGAGCACGAAACACAGGGAGGCCACCCTCCTCCCCCTGGCCCATCCTTGCCTTTCCAGGATGCTGAGAGCAAGGATAGGCACACCATCGCTGATACTACAGGGAGAAACTGATGGGAGAGTTGTCTTCCTCTGCAAACCCCCCAAGAAGTCCTTCTAAGCGTCAGGAGCAGAGAGAGCTCTTTGCCTCCCTGAGGTTTGGTCCTTACCCTGGATGCTGACTTGGGTGCTGGCCACAGCCAGGCTGTTGGCATCAGCCAGGGAGATGTTGACGCAGTAGATGCCAGACTGGTTGAAGGCCTGGCGCAGAACCAGCAGGCAGTCGGGGCTGGGCTGGGCCGGGATGCACACAGTCTCCTGGGCTGTCAAGCAATCAGGGTCCGAGATGGTTGTGCAGACTTGCTCAGGGAGGCTGCAAGCAGGACAAGGCTATTTCGTTCAGGTGTTGGGAGCCAGTCCTCTCTCCCTCCCATGACCACAGCATTCTCTGGGTCAATGCTCTCCCTTTCTAGTATTGATGCCGCTTCACTGTGGCTACCCTCCCTCTCCCAGCTTCCCAAGGGACTGTCAAGTGTGTTCCAACAAGTCACACACACAAACAGCAAACACGCATGCTGCTCAGAGCTCCTTTGGCCCTGTTCCTAACTTCCTTTCATTCTCCTCTAGTCCAGGGCTCCCTCCCAATGCCATTTCAATTGCGCGTTCACAGTGATGCATGCATGTGATGGTGTTGACATGCTCCTGCTTTAAACACTACAAAAACCTGGGGGTTAGACATGCTGCTTTGCTTCCAAGTGGTCCATGCCCCTTAACATCCTGCAGAGATGCTATAACACTTCATACCACAAATGCTCTGGCATTTTCCTTACAATTTTCCTGTGCCACAGCATGGGACCGTCCCTCCAGGTAGCACTTTACAACTTCACTGGGGAAGCATCACCAAACAACAAATAAAGTGAAATGGTCTGTGGGGCAGTCCGGTATAATTCCACCGTTCATGTACTATTATTGCATCAATGACATTTTGCAGAATAACTGTCCCCCCCCAAAAAACACCTATCTTGAAACAGCCCAACTCTACTAGCCCTTCAGTTTCACTAGCCCACTAGTGCTTCAGCCCATCATTTTTCAGCGGGAAAATGGAAGACCTTGGAGCCAGACCAAAAGAGGCCACTCCTACTTATGCAACCTACCTTCCTTGGCACGTCACTGTGAGATCTACCGTGTTCTCAGCAATGGCTGACACCAGTGGCACCACCTCCACAATTTCAACACCTTCAATGCCCTCTGCAATAAAGGAGAACAAGGATGTGCCTCTTTCTTGTTCTTCCTCTCGCCCGCCTTTCATTCCCTAGTTGTGGCTGGGGTCCACCCCAACTCTGCTTGCAGAGAATCAACACTAGAAGCAAGGGAAGCTTGGGAGATCTTCTGAAGGTGAGTTGAAAACTTGGGACGCCCAAAAGGAGAGGCACCAAACTCAGCTGCACAGGGGAGATGGATCTGCCTACCAGCAGAGTTGGGTACATTTTGAGATTATTAGTTTTTAGAATCAGAATGGGAATTATTTACACCCAGCCTCACATCTTTGTTCTTGCATCTAGTCACAAAGATTGCCACTTGATCAGCCTCCATCCTCTTCTGGTGAGATCAATGCTCTGTCACACTCCTTTGGCGGCTGTGAGACTGAAGGTTTTGGTACTTGCAAATTGGTCTTAATTTGGAAACTAGAAGCCTCTTCATTTAAATTAGGGGTGAGTAATCCCAAGTATTTTTGGAATCACAGCTCCCATCTGCAGGGTCAATGGCCGCAGATTATGAGAGCTGTAGTTCAACAATATCTGGAAGGGTAAAGGTAAAGGGACCCCTGACCATTAGGTCCAGTCGTGGCCAACTCTGGGGTTGCGGTGCTCATCTTGCTTTATTGGCCGAGGGAGCTGGTGTACAGCTTCCTGGTCATGTGGCCAGCATGACTAAGCCGCTTCTGGCAAACCAGAGCAGCGCATGGAAACGCCATTTACCTTCCTGGCAGAGCAGTACCTATTTATCTACTTGCACTTTGATGTGCTTTCAAACTGCTAGGTTGGCAGGAGCAGGGACCGAGTAACGGGAGCTCACCCCGTTGCAGGGATTCGAACCGCTGACCTGATCGGCAAGTCCTAGGCTCTGTCATTCCTGTTTTAGGCTCCACTGAGCACCATCTCCTTCCCTTAATATTGCCCAACGTGAGCAACAGAGTTTAGTGGTCATCCTTGCGCACATCTTTCTCTCTCTCTCTCTCTCTCTCACACACACACACACACACACACACACACACACACTGTCCCCAGGACTCACGGACAATGTCCAGGTTAGTTTCAAAGGTCCCATAGCGGTAGAGGAGGCAGCCAGCAGGTGCCTGGCGTTTCACCAAGACCTGGACCACTTCAGTCGCCACCGTTCCAGCGTCTGGGACGACGGACACAGTCAGGTCGATGGTTGCTGCATCTTCAGCGGCATCTGTTGGGAGAACAAGGCCAAAGGAACAATAACGCCTCCTTTCCTTTCCCCCACTTTCTTCCCCCACCCCACAAAGCCTCGTGCTGCATGCGTCTCAAAAGCAGAGATCGCAGAAGGATAATAGCCGCAGACGGTGGCTGAGCAAGCTATGTTAAAAGACACAAAGTGGTTCTTCCTCTCTGTTGAGAGGATCCGAGAAGGCTGCAAGGAAGTTTGTAGGTTGTGCTGGGTAGGATGGACGAGCGGGTTCAAGGAGGACAATCTGCAAGGGAAGCTGGGTGCAGGATGAGCACCAGGAACATGAGAGCTGATCAGAATGGCAGGTGAGGCGTCCATGGGGAGAGGAGTGCCACCCTCTCGAATGCTCGGTCCGAAATCACAACTCTGCAAGGAGCTGAATCAGATGGGGGAAGTTTGGCAAGGGGCTCCAGTGTATCCACATCTTCAACAGAAAGGATGGACTTGACCTTCATGCGAATGACCTCAAATTGCTTCCTTCGCTGCCCATCTCCCATCCCTGAGCCCCAATTGGGATTCCCTCTGCCTTCAGCAAGGTCAACACGGCAAGCTATCCTCCGTTTGAGGGAAAGGGTAAAGACGGCCATGGTGAATAAGCATGGCTGGGTGTTTCGGGGTCCCATGCTGAATCTCAAGCAAGGCAAGGAATCTCCTGCTAGACCTACCTGCCACTGATGGAGAGAGCGGGGTGTCGGCCACACTAAGGAGTGTTGTCGATGCCCCAGGAAGCTCGGCTGTAGATGCTGCTGGAGACAAAACCGCGGGTGCCAGAGTGCCTGGATCACCTTCAGGTGCCGCTGTGGAGGGAGAATCGGGTGCCACAGTGCCTGGCAGAGATGCAGCCACTGCGGTGGACACAGATGCAGAAGCTGTGGTGGCTGGGAGGGATGCTGCCGCTGCCGTGGCAACAGTTGCAGGGTCCGCAATGTCTGTAGCGTCTTCAGCTGGGGCGACGGAGGCATCGTTCACAGGCTCCACGGACGCTACAGCTAAATCTGCCCCTTCGGGCACAGCACTGACTTCTGTGACAGTGCCTACAGTAGCTGCAGTGGCCACAGAACTAGTCTCGGGTTGCTGCTGAGTCGTCCCGGAGGCTGGGGCTGCACATGAGGAGAGAATGAGACTTAATACAGAAAATGTTCTAAGCATGCAGTTTTGCAAGAGTGTAGACCAGGGATCAGCAACCTTTTTCAGCTGTGGGCTGGTCTACCGTCCCTCAGACCATGTGGTGGGCCAGACTATATATTGGGGGGGGGGGGGGATGAACAAATTCCTATGCCCCACAAATAACCCAGAGATGCATTTTAAATAAAAGCACACATTCTACTCGTGTAAAAACACACTGATTCCTGGCTGGATTGAGAAGATGATTGGGCCGCATCCGGCCCACGGGCTTTAGGTTGCCTACCCCTGGTGTAAACAAACTGCTTTCAGTAGCTGGTTCAAACAAAGACCACATGGGTCAGCAACAGGTTTAACAACACTTTTATGCGGCTATCTAAGTGAGGCCTTGGGATAGCTCAGAAAATATGCCAGATCAAGGAAATGTAAACCTTGCTGCTCTCTTGTGCAAAGAACACCCCTTTAGCCTTGGTATACGCTGGCCATTGATGGACAGGCCAGCTGTTCTGAGCATCTGGGATGTGAGTAACACCCATCTGTCAGATTGAGGTCTAGGGATGGTTTTGTCTGGGAGCTTTTGCACGCCTGGGGCAAGAGCGGAAGCAGTTTCTGGGGTTCAAGAGGTGGAATGAATACACTGGGTCTATCTCGAAGCACCCCGACTCCTGCTGTGGAATGGCATACTCTTCATATATTGTGAACCATTTAGATCAGGCTTCCTCAAACTCGGCCCTCCAGGTGTTTTGAGACTACAGTTCCCATCATCCCTGACCACTGGTCCTGCTAGCTAGGGATCATGGGAGTTGTAGGCCAAAAAAACATCTGGAGGGCCGAGGTTGAGGAAGCCTGATTTAGATATTACCACCCTAGAATTAGTCAAAGTGAAAGGCAAGTAATCCTAAGTGTGAAAGTTGTGGACTCAGCACGACAGTGATGTAGGTGGAAGACCTGCCTTGACTCTCAAGACAGGAATACGCAATGTCCTGGTGAGGATTTGCCAGCCAGGACTGGGGAATCTGTGTCCTTCAGAGGTTGTTGGAATCCAAAGCTTTAGCAATCATGGCCAATTGTCATGGGTGATGGGATCCGTAGTCCAACAAGATTTGGAAGGCCAGAGGTAAACCTCCCCTCCTTCAGGGCAAATCTAGGCATTGACTACTAAGCCTACTGAGCGTCACTGTCACCCAACATGAACTGAGAATGAGCCCCAGAACATACCCTGTGAAGATTAATAATGTCTCTTTCAGGGACAGCTCTCCATCATTACTGACCCTCTGGTAACCTTCAGAGGCCCCTACATTCCTCAGAACACAGGGTGAAAGCCTCTGTGTTACACAGCCTCTGAATACACTGCCGTGCCCCTCTAGTTCTTATAGAGAACTAGTCCTTCCCACCCACAAAAAAACTGCAAATCTTTGAAAGCAAAATAAATCGCACCAGGCACTCAAAAGATACATATCCAGATTTGTTTTTGAGATGCACAGTTTGCTCTCAGCACAGAGTCTGAGTTGGCTTATTTGTACGCAAGTGGAGCTCACCTGCGTTGCTTACTAGACGGGTTACAAGACCATATAACACCGGTCCTGAAAGACCTACATTGGCTCCCAGTACGTATCCGAGCACAATTCAAAGTGTTGGTGCTGACTTTTAAAGCCCTAAACGGCCTCGGCCCAGTGTACCTGAAGGAGTGTCTCCACCCCCATCGTTCAGCCCGGACACTGAGGTCCAGCTCCAAGGAGGGCCTTCTGGCGGTTCCCTCATTGAGAGAGGTGAGGTTACAGGGAACCAGGCAGAGGGTCTTCTAGGTGGTGGCACCTGCCCTGTGGAACTCCCTCCCACCAGGTGTTGAGGAAATAAACAACTATCTGACTTTTAGTCTGAAGACTGCCCTGTTTAAGGAAGTTTTTAATGTTTGATGTTGTATCGTGTTTTTAATATTCTGTTGGGAGCCACCCAGGAAGGCTGGGGAGGCCCAGCCAGATGGGCGGGGTATAAGTAATAAATTATTATTGTTATACAATGGTACCTCGGGCTAAGTACTTAATTCGTTCCGGAGGTCTGTTCTTAACCTGAAACTGTTCTTAACCTGAAGCACCACTTTAGCTAATGAGGCCTCCTGCTGTTGCCGCGCTGCCGGAGCACGATTTCTGTTCTCATCCTGAAGCAAAGTACTTAACCTGAGGTATTATTCTGGGTTAGCGGAGTCTGTAACCTGAAGTGAATGTAACCTGAAGCGTATGTAACCCGAGGTACCACTGTAGTTAGTAAAGGAGAAGCACCAGTACTTACCTGAGGTTGGGACACCCGCGGATCCTGACCCGGTTATGCTGCTGACAGTGGGCAAGACCGCGGTGCCTTGGGCCGTCGTGCCACTCGGCACCGTGGTACCACTCGGGTCTGCCGTGGGGGCGACGGATGGCTCCTCCGTGGTGCTGCTTCCGCAATCGGCCAAGGGGATGGCGGCCTGGAGGATGACGCGAGGGCTGAAGGTGCCGGCGGCAAGGTAGGTGTGGGTCACCATGGCAGCCCGGGATATCAGAGTCCCGCTCTGGTCGCCGAAATCCCAGGAATAGGAGATGTCGGCGTCGCGCAGGTATTGGCTGGGGTCGTGGAGGCGCACGCCAAATGCGATGGCCCGGTTGCGCACAAAGCGCCCGTCGGTCCCGTCGACATCCAGCACTTGTGCAATGTCCACGTTGAACGGGATCTGGTCTGGGAAGCAGAGCAGAGAGTCAGCTACGGGCATGGAAGTAAGGCAAGAGAGGGCAGCAGGTGGAGAACTAACAACGTATGACCCCCCCCCACCTGCCCACGAATCACACTTGGTCTGCCCCGTGCTTGCTTAACCAGCCTCTCCTGCTGGTCCTCAGTGGCTCCTGAGCTTTCAACCTGCCCTACAGCCAGTGTTTCCATCACGAGAGCAACTCAGCCCTCCTAGTTTTTGTGATGCACCCATTAGCTACTGTTTTAGATGGGTTTGTAGGGAGGTAAAGGGACCCCTGACCATTAGGTCCAGTCGTGGCCGACTCTGGGGTTGCGGCGCTCATCTCGCTTTATTGGCCGAGGGAGCTGGCGTACAGCTTCCGGGTCATGTGGCCAGCATGACTAAGCCGCTTCTGGCGAATCAGAGCAGCGCACGGAAACGCCGTTTACCTTCCCGCCGGAGCGGTACCTATTTATCTACTTGCACTTTGACATGCTTTCGAACTGCTAGGTTGGCAGGAGCAGGGACCGAGCAACGGGAGCTCACCCCATCACGGGGATTCAAACCGCCGACATTCTGATCGGCAAGTCCTAGGCTCTGTGGTTTAACCCACAGCGCCACCCGCATCCCTTGTAGGGAGGTAAGATTTGCCAATTATTTTTTTATTGATTTTCTGCAACTTTCTGCCCCACCCCCCAATATTTCTTCTTTTTCTTCCCTCTCTTGCTGCTCCAAGTATCTTACCCACCTTTCATTTCAAAATTCACTACAGTGGTACATCAGGTTAAGTACTTAATTTGTTCCGGAGGTCCGTTCTTAACCTGAAACTGTTCTCAACGTGAAGCACCACTTTAGCTAATGGGGCCTCCTGCTGCTGCCACGCCGCTGGAGCACGATTTCTGTTCTCATCCTGAAGCATCCTGTTCTCATTCTTAACACAAGGTACTATTTCTGGGTTAGCGGAGTCTGTAACCTGAAGCGTATGTAACCTGAGGTACCACTGTAATCTGTTCTCCCCACACATAAACTGTACAAGTTCCAATTTCTGCTATGATTCTTGTCCCTTGTTATAACCTATCCACAAAATATTCAAGTACAGCAAATCCTCTCTGAACTGTCTATAATCATCATTAATCCATTTTAAAACCATTTCCCTTCGATACCTCTGGGGCAACACTCTACCTGAAAAAAACACACAGATCTATCTCCTTTTTTTTTTTTTTTAACTGTTATCTCTCCTGCAGGGAGGTAAGATTTGTTGGAGTCCAGGGGTTGAGCTTGTGAACTGCATTAAGGGCCCCTTACTTTCCTACTGCCTCCATGATTCAAACACTGCTTCCCCACCCACAGCAAAAGAGCCCGCTCACCCAGACCTACCAGTGATGCTGAACTCTGAAGAGGTGCTACCGATAGGGATGAATTTCTCACGTCCCCGGTAGTGATAGACTTCCACTTCCATGGTGTAGGAGCCCAGGGGTACATCGGCTGTCTCAACAGTCAGCAGGGACGAGGGGCCATCCACCACCTGCCAATACCGCCCTGCAACCAACAGGGTAGTGATATACTAGCAAAGTCACACACAAAAATGGCCCCAAAGGCAACCGCTCCACAATAAAGAGCATAAACAAGAAAACAAATAAATTGCAGAAGTAGTCTTTTCCTTTACAGTCACTCATGTAGTTTGTAGAAGCAGCATCGACTCTCGAGTCAACACTAAGGTAAAGGTAAAGGGACCCCTGACCCTTAGGTCCAGTCGTGACCGACTCTGGGGTTGCGGCGCTCATCTCGCTTTATTGGCCGAGGGAGCCGGGGTACAGCTTCCAGGTCTTGTGGCCAGCATGACTAAGCCGCTTCTTGCGAACCAGTGCAGTGCACGGAAACACCGTTTCCATTCCCGCCGGAGCGGTACCTATTTATCTACTTGCACTTTGACGTGCTTTCGAACTGCTAGGTGGGCAGGAGCAGGGACCGAACAACAGGAGCTCATCCCGTTGCGGGGATTCGAACCGCCGACCTTCTGATCGGCAAGCCCTAGGCTTCGTGGTTTAACCCACAGCGCCACCCGCGTCCCTTTGAGTCAACACTGTTCCGGTGCAATTAGCGTTTCTTCTCACCCAGGGGCTTAATCATTGAGTTGTACAGTGAGGTCTAAGCAGTATACAATCAGAAAAGTGGGGGAATCTGTCCATATACGCAAATTTCCCAAGGGAAGAACAGAAAGAGACTCTCCAGCCTTCTGTCTGTTAGCCTTCCTATAGGAAAGGGAACACGATTATAATGGGCAAAGGGGTGCAGGATGCGACGACCCCACAAGGGAGGCGGCTGCAATGAGGAAATTTGTCCTGGTGCAGTTTGAAATGCAGTGATGCTGAACCCTGCAGTATTTTAAGTTCTGATGACCCAGACAGTCACCTATCGAAAGACTCTCCAACTTACACTGAAAGAGGGGCCATAGCTCAGTGGGTCTCCTAACAACTCTCAGCACCCTTAACAAACTACGCTTCCCAGAATTCTTAGGGGGGAAGCCATTTAAAGTGGTATTGTCATGCTTTAAAGCTATAGCCCAGATGGGGCCCAATGGACAGCAAGGACAATGGTGAGAGGCGACGGGAGTTGCAATTCCAGCAACGTCTGCAGGGCACCATGTTGGCTATCCCTGCGCTAAGAGATGGCCCCGGGACTTGCGTGTGCGAGGAAGCCATCCCTTATCAGCCAGGAAGCAGACGCTTACCCCACGCCTGCCAGACGTAGACGAACTTGCCACGCTTGCGGCGGTCGCTCTGGGAGAAGGGCTGCCCGTCAGGGAAGAAGCAGTCCGAGTTGTCAGTCTCCTGATTGGGGAAAACAGGTTCTCCTTGCGTCACACGGGTACCTGCAAGGCAAGGATAGGAAACAAGACCTTGGGGCCCTGGGTGCAGGAGCACCCACAAAATTCCCCATGAAAGGGCTGGGCACCCACAAATTTTGGTGCACACTGCCTCGGCCCAGCAAAATAAATCGCACCAGGCACTCAAAAGATACATATCCAGATTTGTTTTTGAGATGCAGTTTGCTCTCAGCGAAGAGCCTGAGTTGGTTTATTTGTACGCAAGGGGAGCTCGCCTGCGTTGCTTACTAGACGGGTTACAAGACCGTATAACACCAGTCCTGAAAGACCTACATTGGCTCCCAGTATGTTTCCAAGCACAATTCAAAGTGTTGGTGCTGACCTTGAAAGCCCTAAACGGCCTTGGCCCAGTATACTTGAAGGAGCGTCTCCACCCCCATCGTTCAGCCCAGACACTGAGGTTCAGCTCTGAGGGCCTTCTGGTGGTTCCCTCACCGTGAGAAGTGAAGTTACAGGGAACCAGGCAGAGGGCCTTCTCGGTAGTGGCGCCCGCCCTGTGGAATGCCCTTCCATCAGATGCCGAGGAAATAAACAACTATCTGACTTGTAGAAGACATCTGAAGGCAGCCCTGTTTAGGGAAGTTTTTCATGTTTGATGTTTTATCGTGTTTTTAATATTCTGTTGGGAGCTGCCCAGAGTGGCTGGGTAGAGAGATATATATATATAATGGCACCCACAGTCCCGGGCGCCCACGGTTGTGGGGCCAAGCCAGAACTCCTGAAAGGAAAGGTGAGAGGGAGGAAGAGAGGCATCGGTGCCTCTGCAGGGGCTTCAGCTCACCATTTATGGTGCAGTTCTGGGTCCACACGATGCTTCCGTTTGGTAGAACCGTCTGGTTGCCAGGGAAGCGCAGGGCAATGCTGAACGTGGCTTTGGCACCTGTTATAGTTGGGGCATCGTTGCTGATGTCAAACGTCACATCGCCTCCTGGATGGGGGAAGGGAAAAGAAAGGGGTCAATGTCCCTCAGAACTCTTGGGGTTGAGGCCCAGAAGAAGTCTCAATCTGTAGGGTTTCTTTCTCATGGGCAACTGGAAGGCCTATGTCCTCGGTTCAGAGTTAGTCCTCACCTCTCCAGCAGTTCCTCTGCCTGGCGTCTCCCGGCCTCCACTGTGGGTAAAGTCTAGAGTTCCAAGTCTTGTAGGAAGAGTGCTTCTGGCTCCAGTTTTGTCCCCACCTGTTGCTCCTGTTCCTGACCCCGGCCCCTAAAAGAAAGAGAAGAGCAGGGGGGTCAAGCTGTTTTCTGGCGCGTGGTCTCCAACACGTCGCTTACGAAAAGGGGCGCTCTTGGGAAGCATGCAAAGGGTTGGGAGTTAAATGGCAATAGAATGCAAAATTTACATTCCGTAACAACTCAGTTAAAACTTAAATGTTTGCAGAGGGATGCACACCAGCAGCAGTACTGTGGTACCTCTGGTTAAGTACTTAATTCGTTCTGGAGGTCTGTTCTTAACCTGAAACTGTTCTTAACTTGAAGCACCACTTTAGCTAATGGGGCCTCTTGCTGCCGCCATGCCACCGGAGCACGATTTCTGTTCTCATCCTGAATCAAAGTTCTTAACCTGAAGCACTATTTCTGGGTTAGCGGAGTCTGTAACCTAAAGCATATGTAACCTGAAGTACCACTGTAATTGCCGACTACAGAATCATAGCATGGGTGAATAAAATGTCAATGCCACAGAAGCTGAAACATATGCAGGACGAGAGCACTGATCATTCACTGCAATGGTTTTGACTGGGCTCTGCAGACACCCTTTTTATTATACATTCATTTTTGCTCTTGATTGTGGCATTTAGGTGGTTTATACATGAGCCCACCTTCAATACTGTTTGCTAGTTATAGGTAGGTAGCCGTGTTGGTCTGCCGTAGTCTAAACAAAATAAAGAAATTCCTCCCAGCAGCACCTTAGATAAAGGTAAAGGGACCCCTGACCATTAGGTCCAGTCGTGGCCGACTCTGGGGTTGCGGCGCTCATCTCGCTTTATTGGCCAAGGGAGCCGGCATACAACTTCTGGGTCATGTAGCCAGCATGACTAAGCCGCTTCTGGCGAACCAGAGCAGCACACGGAAACGCCATTTACCTTCCTGCCGGAGCGGTAGCTATTTACCTACTTGCACTTTGACGTGCTTTTGAACTGCTAGGTTGGCAGGAGCAGGGGCAGAGCAATGGGAGCTCACCCCGTCGCGGGGATTCGAACCGCCGACCTTCCGATCGGGAAGTCCTAGGCTCTGTGGTTTAATTCACAGCGCCACCCGCGTCCCTAGAGACCAACTAAGTTTGTTATTGGTAGGAGCTTTTGTGTGCATGCGTACTTGGTATTGGTATGAGCTTGCACACGAAAGCTCAAACCGATAACAAACTTACCGTAGTTGGTCTCTAAGGTGCTACTGGACGGAATTTTTAAAATTTTGTTTCAAATACTGTTTGCGTCTGCAAAGGATTTGGGGGCAGATATACAACTTCATTTCCAGTTAGCGCATGTCTTGTATTTTCCTGCTGAATGCCTGTAATAGTTCATACTGCCAATGTTCCGAATTTAATGTTTGTCCTGCTTTTGTCGTGCTATGGTGCAAGAGTGTCCTCCCTCTGGATGGCAATTATGCAATAACATGGGGGGGGGGAACCCCCAGTACCCACTGCTTCAGGCAGCTGTCTGCTTAATGGCAGAGCCAGCCCCGGTTACCAGCTGAAGATTATTAAAGTCCAGAGTACAACATTACCTAACAACACCCCCAATTCATTGTTCCAAGCCAGGATTTTAGAGCACATGAAGAATTGCGGCCCAGTCAATCCCAGGTCTTTGACTGCACTGAGGGATGAGTGGGTCTGACTGGATTAATCGCTGAGACCCACAGCATTAAAGCTCACCAGTCTGTGCTCACCAGTCTGAAAATCTTCCGGCTTGGGGGTCTTCTCTTTCCAAGGATCCCAGTATAACAGAAAGGTAGAAAGTCCTCTAAAGGGCTGCTGGCAGCTGTCCTCCTCCTCTCCCAGCATCTTATGGCAGATGCTCAAGAGCAATATTGTTATTATTATTAAAAATTGTATACCACCCTATACCCACAGGTCTCATGGCGGTTAACAGGATAAAATCACAATCACAAAATACTTAATCAAAACAAAAACAATCCAATTAACCTCCCTCCCTCCAAACATTTTAAAAGGGCATTGGATGTCAATATTTAAACATCCTTAAAATATCAAAGACTCCCCTTCTTCTCTTTCCATGGTTCATTTTGCATATCATAAATCCCTGCATAGTTTACATAAACTAAACCATTCAGTATTCCATTATTACATCCATCAAAACTTATTTACACTGTTGAATTTGTCTTAATGCCGCCAACGTTTTCAAGTATACACAGTTTCCCCTCCATATATTCAATAAACATTTTCCAGTCTTCTCTAAATGTATGTTCTTCTTGTTCTCTTATTCTTTGTTGTTGTTGTTTAGTCGTGTCCGACTCTTCGTGACTCCATGGACCACAGCACGCCAGGCACTCCTGTCTTCCACTGCCTCCCGCAGTTTGGTCAAACTCATGCTGGTAGCTTCGAGAACACTGTCCAACCATCTCGTCCTCTGTCGTCCCCTTCTCCTTGTGCCCTCCATCTTTCCCAACAACAGGGTCTTTTCCAGGGAGTCTTCTCTTCTCATGAGGTGGCCAAAATACTGGAGCCTCAGCTTAAGGACCTGTCCTTCCAGTGAGAACTCAGGGCTGATTTCCTTAAGAATGGATAGGTTTGATCTTCTTGCAGTCCATGGGACTCTCAAGAGTCTCCCCCAACACCATAATTCAAAGGCATCAATTCTTTGGCGATCAGCCTTCTTTATGGTCCAGCTCTCACTTCCATAGCTTTAACTGTACAGACCTTTGTTGGCAAGGTGATGTCTCTGCTTTTCTAGCATTCTCTTATTATAGTATGTCATTCTAGTATATGTTAAGTCCGCAAGCTGCGCATATTCCATCAGCATTTCAAGCACACTCACAAAACGCCTTTCCGCATGGGCACTGCAAGTTGCAATGGAATTGCTAGCAGGTGCAAAAGGCAATTGCATTTCCCTCAAGGTAAAATGTTAAAGACTGAGCAGTTCCCTCTACTATGGAAGCCTGGATGGGGGTGGGGGACAGGAAGAGAAGTTTGCATTCTTCACAACCACTAATGGCTGAAAGTTCTTTCGGCTGTAGAGCAATCAAATGTCGGCTGCTCTTCCCCTGCCCCACAGGGGATCCTCATCAGATACACGGATGCTCCCTAACCTCTCATTACTTCTCCGTCATCTTTCGGTGACCTAAAATCTAAGTCTTAAATGGTAAGCTTCCACGACACTTCCATAATCTGCACAGCACATAGCAATTCCATGGAATTTTAAAAATTGGGTGATCATACTGGATACTCCTTACTCTTTCAGTGCACTTAATTTATGTGCGCATCTGGGATTCGCTTTACGGCATTCGCAATACAGCAATTGCGCCTTTTCCTGCTGACTGTCCATTGGTGCAGTATGGAGACTGCCTGCTCAGTGTTTGTTCAGCCGACCACCCAACCAAGCCCTGTCCGGGGTGTTCCATTCCATCACTGAGCATGACTCCCTCCCCTCTAGAGGCAATTTTTATTAATTATTTTCCCCTCAAGCCTGTGGGTACTTCTCTCTTTTGGATAGATGCTGCCATTTTGGTGCCGTGAGAACTGGCACTCCCCTCTGAACGTGGGAATTAGAGGGAATATTGGCGACAACATAATACTACAGCTTCATAGAAAAAGGAATTGCGCTGGCTAATTGATACACAGGTGATCCTTAAGGCCAAATAAATTGGCTAAGGTGTATAAAGATTGTGTCAGGCAAGTGTTGGAAATGTAAACATACTGAAGGGTCTTTTTTCCCCATTTGAGATGGACATTTGCAAAAGCTAAGGGGGTTGCGAAATGATACGTAACGAAATGAAGAAAATGATAAAATTGGCTCCCCCCCCAAAAAAAAAACCCTGAAGCTTTCCTTTTAGGGATAATAGGAACGGATGTCCAAAAGAAGACAATTAAATTACAGTGGTGCCTCAGGTTAAGTACTTAATTCGTTCCGGAGGTCCGTACTTAACCTGAAACTGTTCTTAACCTGAATCACCACTTTAGCTAATGGGGCCTCCTGCTGCTGTCGTGCCGCCAGAGCACGATTTCTGTTCTCATCCTGAAGCAAAGTTCTTAACCTGAGGTACTATTTCTGGGTTAGCGGAGTCTGTAACCTGAAGCGTATGTAACCCGAGGTACCACTGTATTTATGTGCGCAACAACAATAACAGCCAGAATCCTATTTACACAGAAATGGGAGGAAGGAAGAAGTTCCAACCAAGGAAGAATGGATCTTAAAGCTAAAGGACTACACGGAAACGGTAAAATCGACAGCGAGATCAAAACGATGAACTTTTTATGGAAGAGTGGAGACCTGTTTTGGACTATCTGAGGAAGTATTAGAGTCCAAGGAAGTCGTGACTGAGCCGGATTCGAACTCTAAGCAGCGGAAGGGAAAAGACAGCAATTGCAACTGAGGAAATAAGTACGAGATCTAAATATGTTACACAATGAAAAGGGTGGGAACCAAAACATCATGGGGGGTAAAGGGTGGGAAGTCTAAACTGTTCAGGGAAATTTGTATTGAAGTTGATTTCTTAAAATTCAGTTCAATATTTAAAAAAGGTAAGCGTGGCATTTCTCAGTCCGGCCGCTCTGTGATATTTTCAAATCTCTCAGCTGCTAATGCATCTGGACAACACAGCTTGCTACCCCTTCCCAAATCTAAATGGATATTCATCTTTACAGTGTACCTCAGGTTAAGTACTTAATTCGTTCCAGAGGTCTGTTCTTAACCTGAAACTGTTCTTAACCTGAAGCACCACTTTAGCTAATGGGGCCTCCCGCTGCTGGAGCACGATTTCTGTTCTCATCCTGAAGCAAAGTTCTTAACCTGAAGCACTATTTCTGGGTTAGTGGAGTCTGTGACCTGAAGTGTATGTAACCTGAAGTGTATGTAACCTGAGGTACCACTGTACTTTCTGCCAGGCCCCGGGAACAAACGACAACCTCCCCACATTATGCAAGCAAACCACTCTTTGCCAGCTTTGTTTTATGTGTGAGCTTCCGGCGGGAGGTTGCCGATCCAGACTCTTGTAGCCTGTGCCTTGTCGACCCATCGTTCAGCTACAGCGCCCTGCCCTCAGCTGAGAGTCACATGAAAGAGCTTGGGCACAGCCTGCCAGGCCCCATGTGATGGGAGCCCCACGGCACTGTGAGGGCTGAGCCATCACATGCCGCCTGCACCCGCAGCAGAGGAGTAAAGTCCTGGGCTCCTTGCCATGAAAAGAAATGGGGGGGGAGAGAGGCTGCAAAGGGCGGCAAGCTGGAAGGAGAATTCACTCCTTGAAACACAACTAGATGCAGATGCGATCAGAGAGGAGGGTGCGTCAGGCATCTCATGCACATGACTTCCCTGAGGATCATGGGAATTGTAGTTTACCTCTCGGAGAGCTACAATTCCCGGCGCCGTTAACAAATGATGGTTCCCAGGATCTTAAGTTAGAAAATAGTGGTTGGATTATACGATACGATACGATATCTTTATTGTCATTGTCCCATGCAGAACAATGAAATTGAAAAACTACATAAAACATTCAAAAACCCCTAAAAACTCTGAAACCCCATTTTAACTATACTATACTATACTATACTATACTATACTATACTATACTATACTATACTATACTAACCCCTTATGCTGCGTTTAGAACCAGAATTGCATTTGCGTAGAAACTGTTTCTCCTGGCCTTTATAACCCTATAACTTCTTCCAGAAGGCAGAAGCTGAAAGAGATCATTTCCGGGGTGCGTACTATCCTGTGCTATCTTTGCCGCTTTCTTATGGCACCTGACAGCATAGATTTGATCTAAGGTGGGAAGAATGCACCCAGTTATTCTTTCTGCCAGCCACCCCATCTGGCCCCATAGCCTTCCTCGTGTTTACCTCCTTTAATATTCGCCTCACTTCTCCCTCTTCCACCCTGGCAGCATTACCTGTAGGTAGTGACGCCAATAGCTCTGGCATCCTTGTTGGAGTCACTGTCATTCCGGATAGTCTTGGGTTTTAAGTTACACAGCCTGCTCTTCCCTTGTTGAAACTTTCGTTTCCAGTCTCCAAGTGGAGAAGGAATTGGGGAGAAAAACTTGCTGCCAAAAAACCCCCCATTCAAATACAGCCTAGAAATATTTCAAGCTGTCCAATGAGTAGATCAGCCTCCCGGGCCATCTAGGCTCCATGCTAACTACACTGGTTGGCAGCTTATTCCCCGAGCTTCATGCAGGAGTCTTCCCCAGTCCTACCTGAAGATGTTGGGACATGAAGCCAGGAGCTTTTGCATGGGATGAACTCTCTCTCCTCCTCGTCGGAGCCACATCCAGTGAATGCCAGGCCGCCCCGATTCTGGGCTTAGTCTTATGGTCTAAGGACCCTCATACCTACGGGACCGCCTCTCCCGGTATGAACCTTAAGGTCCATAAATAGCAACACCCTAGAGGTCCCGGACCCTAAGGAAGTTAGATTAGCCTCAACCAGAGCCAGGGCCTTCTCAACACTGGCTCCGCCCTGGTAGAACGCTCTCTCTCACGAGACCAGGGGGCTGCAGGATCTGATTTCTTTCCGCAGGGCCTGTAAGACAGAGTTGTTCCGCCTGGCCTTTGGCTTGGAAACAACTTGATCCCCTCCCCGTCCTTCCTTTTCCCTTTCTCCTTCTGTGATGGAACTCCTATTTGGGGACTTCCCTGGCTTTTTTTTGGCCCACGTAGGACCAGTCTGAATAGTTGGCCTTGGTGAAGATTTGACGTTTTCATCCCCAAAAAGTTTTTGATTTGATTTTCTGTTTAAATGAGGCTGCATTTTAATGTTGTATTTTAATCTTGTTTTTAAGTTGTATCTTAATCAATCGTTTTATATCTGGTGTTATGGGCTTGGCTGGGGAGGGCAGAGTATAAATATAATAATAATAATAATAATAATAATAATAATAATAATAATTGTCCATCTATTCCTTCATCCAGTTGTCAGTGGTTAGGGCAGCCCCTGACATTTTACAATGCTGTATTATTTCCCACTCTGCCAGTGTGTAACAATAAAGACATCTCTCCTTCATAGCTGGAGGCTGGGGTGTAACAATTAAGGCCAATTTGGGCATTTCCAACTACTTTTCTTCTGAGACTTCCCACAAAGCATTCTGGAGCAAACTATCTATCCCCTACAACATCAGCTCTCACTTTAGAAAGCGATACTGGAGATAAAGCCTGGGCAGACCAAAATGGTGTTAGGGACCACTGTGGGGAGAGGGAGACTTAATCCACAGGATTGTGTCTGTTCGTACTCTCTGTTTCCTCTAGTTTGCTATAAGCAAAAAAAACCCAGCAAGGACAGGTGCAACAGCCTAGGATTAGCATGACATAAGCGGTTGCACTGGTGCACAATCTGGATTCTGTGGCTCAACTGCGCATCATGCGCACAGCCTGCGCTTAACCGTTCTGATGCGGATGGCTCTGATTTTATCGCACACGGTTGCACTAAACTGACCAGAGATTGCGATTTTGTACCGGCGCAACGTGCTGTGTTGCAAAAATGGATGTGTGTGTGTACGAGAGAGCGAGAGAGAAGAACCTTTGAGATCTTTAATCTGGCCAAAGAATGTACGGCCATGCCCAGTGGCTGGGAGTTTCAAGCCGGCCGAATTTCACCTACAAAGTCTTCTCCCTCCTTAATGCAATTAGACCAGCTCCTAATGCGATCTGACTTCCAGCGCAGAGAGTCTCCATCGTTAAGTCTTCTCTGCGTATCGAGCACAAATACACATTCCACATCCCAGACAGCCAGCAGCACCACAAGAGGATTAGAGGGGCGCGGGGTGGGTCTGGACCTCCCCGGCACAAATCCAGATCACCACGAGGTTTGGCTTTGCGGCTGTGTGTGTGTGTGCATATTCCTGCCTCTGCCGTAACCCATTAAGTCAATGAATACAATTAATGCCATTTCATAAGGCAGAGTGGTATCACTATTTTTTCTCTCCACACACTGGGATGGGTGGGGGCCAAAACAGCCCCCCAGAGAAGGGCTAATCCTCACGTGCCACCCGATTATGCCAGAAATGAGCCAACATTCAAAACTAGAGCCACACAAATTCAAAAGGCTTTTCTTTTTCAGGTCTGCATTCTTTTCTCCCATGGTTACCCTGAGAATTAATTCTGTATTCCAGGTTAGAGGGGCCTGCTAGAGCCCAGATTTGGATCACACATGCTCTGTAAATCTATCTATCTATCTATCTATCTATCTATCTATCTATCTATCTGTCTGTCTATATTAGTGATGTATGGAAGTGAGAGCTGGACCATAAAGAAGGCTGATCGCTGAAGAATTGATGCTTTTGAATTATGGTGCTGGAGGAGACTCTTGAGAGTCCCATGGACTGCAAGAAGATCAAACCTATCCATTCTGAAGGAAATCAGCCCTGGAATGACAGATCGTGAAGCTGAGGCTCCAATACTTTGGCCACCTCATGAGAAGAGAAGACTCCCTGGAAAAGACCCTGATGCTGGGAAAGATGGAGGGCACAAGGAGAAGGGGACGACAGAGGACAAGATGGTTGGACAGTGTTCTTGAAGCTACCAGCATGAGTTTGGCCAAACTGTGGGAGGCAGTGGAAGACAGGAGTACCTGGCGTGCTCTGGTCCATGGGGTCACGAAGAGCCGGACACGACTAAACGACTAAACAACAACATATATATATATTCATGCAGCTGCTACCTGCATGAAAGTTGTTGCATCTAGTTTGGCTTGCAGCTCCAGAAAGTTGTCTTGATCTTGGAGGTAAAATTACAGTAGTTGTTCCTAGGCAGACCCATGGCACACATTTATAGCACATCCAATACACGTGACTTCCCCGTCACAAGGGATCCTGGGAACTGTAGTTCCACCCGCAGAGAGTTACAATTCCCAGCACCCTTAGCACATGACTGTTCTCAGGGTTCTTTGCAGGGATGCCATGTGCTTTTAAAGGGGTGTTGAATACGCTTTAAATGTGGGGTGCCCAAAATAAATAAATGGTTTATTTCAAAGGGCGAGAGGTTCAGTCGCTCAGCTAAACACCTGACTTTTCGATAAACATTTGTGGGCACTGAAATTGTTTCTGTAAAAGGACCCACAGCTCTGACTCAGTGGAAACTGGCTTTTGAACAAGCTTCTCTCAGAGACTTCCCAATCCAATTTTAAAACGTGCAAAAGACTTTTAGGCTTGCGTTCCTTCAGAGAACCTTGCACAGAAGTAAAATAATGGAGACACACACACAAATGCATTGGCATTTATGGCATTACAAAGCAGATCTGAGTCCCCCTTGCGCTGTTTGAGTCACATTTGATTGCTGTAAGAAGGAATTTGGCATGTAGGCTTTTATTTTGTGTTCGGAGCTGATTTAAAACGAAGCTTACTTAAGCCTCACAAATGCCCTTTGCTGGGGATCTTTTGCCTAATTTTTCTCCCAGTCTTATTGCAGTGCAATGGGAATCAAAATACGTGCTTGCATAAAAAATCAACGCAGATGCAAAAGAATAATGATTTGAGGAGCAGGGAAAAGCAGTTGCGACGTGACAGCAAATAGAACACAAAGCAAAACGAATAAGGTATTGAGAGGTGTATAATTCACGTGCTGCAACGTACAACCGAGTTTCACGCTCCTTTGATCCTTATGCTGTATAGTTTCCTTTGCATATTCTCTCCTATGCTGCTTACGTGTGTTATGATATTATAAACGTTAATCACTCGGCAGGCAGGTTGGGCTACAAAGACGAATCCATCAATTAACAGCTTAGAGCCAAGTGGCTGCTTTGCTTCTTGTGCTTGTACAGGATGAAAATAAGAAATGTAGCCTCTGTAGCCTTGTAATAGCAGTGTGGGAGCAGGCACTGTCCTCCACGCAGATGTGCTCATGGGACACATACCTGGGCTAGAGTTAGGACTCTTCAGTTTCCGGGTCCAATATTTAACCAGACGGATTCTGCAAAATCAATTCCAGCACTCAAGAACCCCTCCATGTGATAGAGGTCAGTCTAGCTGATGAAACAGCCAGTAAAATAAATGGTTATCATTCGCCGTATAAGGAAAAACTGGACTGTACTTACTGTGTTGAGCCGTAGCTACGGCCAGAAGGGCCCCAATCACAACCCACAGGTACCAAGTCCGTGGCATCTTAGCTCTTCGAGTTCTTTGTAGCCTCCTGAGCTTCTAGAGGCGAAGGAGTGGAGTAGAGAGCTGGGGGCATATAAGAAAGGGAGCTCATTTGCATACACCCTCCCCTCCTCTGGGCGCGAAGGGCATCACTTTCTCTCCTCGCCTGCCCCCCTCCCCTTTCTAATAGCGGGGAGCCATGGGATGTGTGTGACCTAAGTCACAAGTTTGCAGGGTGAACACAATGGGCCCCCCTTATGAGATTCCTTTGCTGGAAGTTCAGGGGAGGGGGTGGGCAAGGCTGAAACACTAGGGCTCCTTCAGGAGGGGGCGAGGGATGGAAGTGTAATGAGAGAGAGAAGACAAGAGAGAGTGAAATTGCCAGTTACGCAACTTCATTAAAGGGTACCGGGGGTGAGATTACAGGGCACCTTCAGCTGCCTGGTGAACCCATTCGCCTCTGGGTCAAGAATAAGCGCAATGTTTGGTGGGCTCCGAAGGCCCAGAGCATGGGTAGGCAAACTAAGGCCCAGGGGCCGGATCCGGCCCAATCACCCTCTCAATCCGGCCCATGGACAGTCCGGGAATCAGCGTGTTTTTACATGAGAAGAATGTCTCCTTTTACTTAAAACACATCTCTGGGTTATTTGTGGGGCCTGTTTGGTGTTTTTATATGAGTAGAATGTGTGCTTTTATTTAAAATGCATCTCTGGGTTATTTGTGGGGCATAGGAATTTGTTCATTTCCCCCCGCAAAATATAGTCTGGCCCCCCACAAGGTCTGAGGGACAGTGGACCGGCCCCCTGCTGAAAAAGTTTGCTGACCCCTGGCCCAGAGAAAGAAAAGCATACAAGTGATAACAAGCCATAGTGACAGGATAGCGAGGTGAACTGGACAGAAGCTTGGCTCTGTTTCCTGCTGAGAACAGAAAGCTTGCAAGGGTGTTTGTACCAGTTGCACATTCTCTATCTAACCTACCTCACAGGGTTTTTGTGAAAACAAATGGGACAACTGCTCCCAATCGACAGTGCTTGGAATTCTTTGGTGGAAGGGCAGGGTACCAATTTACTATGCAATTCTGTCATGGGAAAGACTTGGTATCTGAATTTGCTTGCTTTTCTCATCCCTCACTATTCTCTTTTCCTTTTGTATAGTTTCTATTAGATTGTGAGCCTGTGGGACTGGACTGTCCTAAATGCTAATCTGCACAGCACATTTTTTGTGCTGTATAAGTGATAAAATAACAATAAGCAAATGAAGTCACCCATTTCACAGGGGCTGCATATTTCCCTTTAGTTTATGAAATGCAATCTGCTCCTCCTGATATTTTTTTAATTGATAAGAATCTCCCTTAGATTTGAGAATGTTCCTGCTGGCAGGGGTCCTCATGACACAGCTGTGTACCATTCTAACTTCTTTAATTTAATCCTGCACCATTAAAATAAATAAATAGCATGTTTAATTTCTCTCTCCCAAGTTTCATGTGAAACTTCTGAACTGCAACTCACTGAGAAGTATGCTTCTGTTCATATGGATCTGAATAGCGGCAATGATTTCCTGTGCTAATTTACTGAGCAATGCTAAAATGTTTGTTATTGCCAATTACTGCATTGCAAAAGGTCACTGTGCTTATTCTGTACATGCATATTGTGTACCGCTTGCGGTTCGTTGTCCATGCTTTCCCCCCTTTTACATTCATGTATGTTGTTGTTTAGTCGTTTAGTCGTGTCCGACTCTGGGGAAAAAGCCCCGCATATAGTTTTAGAGTGCACAGTTAAACTATGGAATTCAATTCCAACCAAAGGCTGGTTGGCTTCAAAAGGGGCTGAGAACACTTCATGGAGAATAAGACTATAAATTGCTACTTGGCATGATGGCTGTACGCTGCCTCCTGTACGTGGGAGCCTGCAATACTTCTGAATATAATAATAATAATAATAATAATAATAATGAATAATAATAATAATATCAGTTGCTGGAGACCCCGGCTCTCCTGTCCTGCTTGCAGTTTTCCCCACGGACTTCTAGGTAGCCACTGTCAGAACAAGATATTGGACTAGTTGGCCACTGGCCTGATCCATGAGGCTATCCTTATGTTTTTGGGGGTTTTTGTCACAACAAACCCTGGGATTTCACTATGTAAATAGCTCCCCCTCCGTATAGTCAAGTGGAAGATTAAACGCACTCTGCAGCGCATGTTTACTCAGAAATCCCTTTGTGAAGGTTCCAGAGCGTTCAAAGGATTCTTCCTGCCCCCCTCTTTCAAAATGGTTTCAGAATCCAAAGGCAGTGCCATGGACATAGCCAGGATTTATGTTAATAGGGGGGTGGGCAGGACACCCACCTGTCAACATCCTCTGTCTAGCAGATTCGGAATGAAATGTCTCCGCAAGTGGTGAGAAAAAAAATCTGTCGAAATCTTTCTACAATTTCTGCTTTTAGTTAAGTATTTGTTATTTACTGTCTACACCCCTTAGCGGCCATGGGCAGTGCTGCCATAAGAGGAAGCTCAAATACTTAACTTTTAATATTTTAATAATAAATATTTTAACGTTCCAATATTTTAATGTTGTATTTTAATCTTATTTTTAAGTTGCATTCATTCAACTTGTTTTTATTATTGCTTGTTAGCCGCCCTTAGTCCGGCCTTGGCTGGGGAGGGCGGGGTATAAATAAAAATTATTATTATTATTATTATTAATAATAATAATAATATTACGGCGGGGTGGGCAAAAAACGGGCTTTAAGCTGCATCTCTGTGTTGACAGCCACACAGACGTTAGCAGGATTCCCCCCAGAACCCACCTTTTAGGATACCGCACCTTTCCCTCTCTTTCTCGAAACTACTACTAGCCCTTTTAGGAAAAACTCCCGCCAAGCCAGACACCCGCGTGCTCCGCCGAGGGCGCCAGAGCCAATCGGAGGAGAGGGTGGGCGTGGCGAATGGAACGCGGGAAGCAGACTGGGAGGCGGAGGAGGAGCCGTGGAACGGGAAGCGCTCGCATTGTTGCCAAGTTGCTCGGCTTCGCGCGCGGGAAAGAGAACGCAGGAGCGCGGCCAACCGCCGGGGAAAAAGGATACACAACGTTCCATTTTGCGCGGCGTCGAACGCGCGGGGAGGTTGCAGCCTTCTCCAACTGATCAGGGAAGTGCCCCGCCTGGATCTCGCTAACTACTTGCCCCTTCCTTCCTTCCTTCTTTCTTTCCTTCCTTCCTGCCTGCCCCGATCTCTCTGCGCTCTACGGAGAGGCAAGCTGGGATCCACCCCAGCCAAACCCTCCTCCCATGGAGAACTTCCAGAAGGTGGAGAAGATCGGCGAGGGCACCTACGGCGTGGTCTACAAAGCGAAGAACAAAGTCACCGGGGAGGTGGTGGCGCTTAAGAAAATCCGCCTGGACACGTGAGTGCAAATAATTCCTCGCCAGACACCCCCACCCACTCCAAAAAAAACCCCAAAACAAAACCCAATTTCTAAGAAAGAAACTCTGGGTGGCCTGGCGAGCAAAAAATAAAAAATCCCCTTCGCTGCTGCTTGAAGGCGCTGGAAAGAATCTGCAGACGAATCTGCTCCTCTCTTTGCTTTAGGAGGAAGAGGAGGAGGAGCCGGGATTTTCTCTTTTGAATGGGTGGGTTCGCGGCCCTCCCTCCTTCCTGTAACTTCGCGGACGGAGAACAGAACTTCCCTTGTGCGCCGATTCGGTATATATTTAGGGCCGACCTACGCGAGGCGGAGCGGGAGAGAGCCGTTCTCCTCCCCTCCCCTCCCGCTCTCTTGGCCTCACTTTCGGGGGGGGGGCTCGTAGTACCTACTCTAATGTTGGGGGGGGGGTTGCCCTCAAGTCGTGGTTTTGCTTGGCTGCAATGCCCAGTTACTCCGGTTCAGGGTGCTGGACTTATTTTGAGTACACAATTTTCCCTCCCTCTCTCTCTCTCTCTCTCAAGTTTCATATGAAACTTCTGAATTGCAACTTATTGAAAAGTACGATTCTGTTCATACGGATCTGAATGACCCCCTTGCGGCGTTAATTTTCTGAGCGATGCTAAAATGTTCGTTATGGCCAGTTACTGCATTGCAAAAGGCCACCGGGCTTATTTTGCACACATTTTAAGTTCTAATCGAATTGTCGGGATGGGACCCTCCATAGGCGTAGCCAAGGGGGAAGGCAGCTGCCCCCCCCCATAATCCTCCAAAATTATTGAAAAGCTTTAAAAATACAGTACCAAATTAACTGAGCTCCGGCCTCCCAGCAGAAGCCTGCCCCCAGTAATTGTGCTCTATTTGGTGGGATTTTTTTTTACCTATGATCAACACTTTTTGGGTGATCTCCCCCCAAAAAGCTCAACAACTTTTTGCTCCCCCCCCCAAAGAAAAATCCTGGCTGGCTATGCCCGTGGGATCCTCAGGGTGATTTATACACACCATAAATTTAAAGAATATTCAACGCATATATGATTTCCCTAAAGAACAGTAGGAACTGTAGTTTCCCCTCCACTGGCATGCAGTTTCCAGCACCTTTAGCAAACTATAGTTCTCAGGATTCTTTGGGAAACGTCATGCACCTTAAATGTATAGTGTGTGTCTTCTTGACGGGGAAGGGAGCCCCTCATTTTGTATCTAGATTTTTTTCCTAGTGGCGCTGGGGCCTCATCTTGATTGTGCTGCTTTTGAAATGGGCAGTCCAGGAGAATCTGGGCTGGAAGAGAACCCTGAATTTTCCCTGAATGCTGTTTGCTGGGAGTCGCAAGCGCAGTGGGAAGGTTGTAGTCGGGCCTTGCTTACAGGCTTCCCATAGGCCACTGTGAGGACAAAGATGGGTCTTTGACCCGATCAAGCAGGACTTTTCTCCTGTTCTCATACTCTTAATCAGTGGTTGGGATTAATTCTTCCAGGCTGGAGAGGAGAGTGTCTCTGAGCATGGGCAAAGTGATGTATTTTCTGTGACCACAGCCTATCCTCATTAATGTTAGAAATTCAGATATGTAAGCTAGGTGCTAAATGGCTCCTTAAAGCAGGGTTGCAGTTGCCAACACAGAATGCCTAGTTGCCATTTCCGGGGCCAGGCGGCTCGAAAGTCGTATTTTTCAGTATAGGAGTTTTTGGTTCCTGAAATTCATTCTGATTGTGCAGATGAAATATAACAGATAGAATTCTACAGGGTGTGTTGCCAGTGTGGGAAAACCATCAAGATCCAAGGATCACCAGGCACGCACCTCCAGATGGTGGAGATGTCGGGCGTCATCCTGACACCCAGGCATCTTCACATGGTTTCAAGTGGCTGATAGCCAGGTGCAAAATGCTCTTGGCACCAGGCAAATTTTGAACACTAATCCTCCTATATCTTAAGGCAGGCAATAGGTTCTAGGTTCAGGATGTGCTGCTGGCAAAATATGACTTTACATGAGTGGCAAAACCCTACTCCCTTCCCCACTATTGTGGGTTTAATGTAAACTGAGCAGTCTTGCTAAAGGTAACGGGACCCCTGAGCATTAGGTCCAGTTGTGGCCGACTCTGGTGTTGCGGCGCTCATCTCGCTTTATTGGCCGAGGGAGCCGGCGTACAGCTTCTGGGTCATGTGGCCAGCATGACTAAGCCGCTTCTGGCGAACTAGAGCAGCGCACAGAAATGCCGCTTACCTTCCTGCCGGAGCGGTACCTATTTATCTACTTGCACTTTGACGTGCTTTCGAACTGCTAGGTTGGCAGGAGCTGGGACCGAGCAACGGGAGCTCACCCCGTCGCAGGGATTCAAACCGCCGACCTTCTGATCGGCAAGTCCTAGACTCTGTGGTTTAACCCACAGCGCCACCCGCGTCCCTGAGCAGTCTTGCTACTCTGTGTTTATACAATGCCCAATGTACTGGATTGGAATGAATTACCCTAGATCTACAATCCTATAGCCACCCTTGAGCTATTTCTGTTGAACTCAATGGGACATCCTCTCGAGTAGTCACGTTTAGGATTGTGCTGTAGGGTCACCTTTTTGTATTACCGTTACTTGGGGGTTTAAAACATAGTGAATGTTGACTGTGACACATTTATATCCCAACCTTACTCTGAAGAAGCCCCACGTTGACATACTTGTTTCTTCTTCCTAATTAATTCTCACGACAACTTTTCAGAAGATTAGGCTCGTCGCCCAGTGAACTTAGCTGAATTCATGCTCTGGATTTTCCCAGCCCTTGCCCAACAGCCTACTGACTGTTTAATAATGCTAAGGCCAACAGGTGGTGGTGGGGAAACAAGCCCTAAGTTGTTCTTGGAAAAATATGGCCTGAAGTTCCTGGAATCAATGGCAAACTGATGTAAATAGCTATGTGGACAGCTAACTGCAATGGTTAATTTTAAAAAAATGAGTGCAGGCTTCCCATGTGCCTAGCATTGACTGTGGTTTGACATTTTTAGAGGCACATTGTGTTATGCCTGATGTTCACCTTGCATTCACGGTAGGTTTAGACACTGAGCCATGGGTCTGGCTGAGTTGCTATTGGAGCTCATTTTGGCCCCTATGAAATTCACCCGGCAAAGCTAACAGCAAACCATAGTTTAAAGAAATACTTCATACTGGTACACACAACTCAAATGTCCCCTGTTTTGCACGTCGCTTCCTAGAGCACAGAAGCAAGCCGAGGAAGGAAGCAGCCGGCTTTTAGCATTGTGTGAATCAGTGTGTATGCGCACTGCGTTTCTTCCAAATAAGCCGTGGCTGGGAGCTAGGGTTTGTTCTTGGTCTCTTGCTTAGGGTTTGTTTCCCTGCTCTAGAAAGGGAGAAGGCCAGTCCCTATGGCTTATGAGCAGCATTGCAGCCAAGTATGATCCCTGGCAGTTGAATTGTTGATCCCGAAAGAGGTTGACCTAATGAAATAGATCAACTTGACTTGCGCTGCGTTCCTTTCCCTTTGGTATAGTAGGCCAGAAGAAATGATTATTTTATTGGCGTTGCTAATAGATTAATTAGATGCATTAATTGCATATTTGAAAATGTGCTGCTTGAGCTGTGCCTTTGGAAAGAGTTTCCCAGTGCTTGAGGGCACTGTTAACAGTATAATGAGCATATATTTTTTATTTTAGACATTGATGGGGATACTGTAATTACTTGGTAAACTGAGGCTGTGTGCCATAGACAGAACACTGTGCATATTATTATCCCCCACCCCTGTCCCTACTTTTAAGGTATTTCTCTCCCCAAAGAGAACATGGGATGTGTGCAGTTGCTGCCTTTTTTTCAGCATTCTGATCTCATAATAATAATAATATTAATAATAATTTATTATTTATACCCCGCCCATCTGGCTGAGTTTCCCCAGCCACTCTGGGCGGCTTCCAATCGAGTGTTAAAAACAATACAGCATTAAATATTAAAAACTTCCCTAAACGGGGCTGCCTTCAGATGTCTTCTAAAAGTCTGGTAGTTGTTGTTCTCTTTGACATCTGGTGGGAGGGCGTTCCACAGGGCGGGCGCCACTACCGAGAAGGCCCTCTGCCTGGTTCCCTGTAACCTCACTTCTCGCAATGAGGGAACCGCCAGAAGGCCCTCGGTGCTGGGCCTCAGTGTCTGGGCTGAACGATGGGGGTGGAAACGCTCCTTCAGGTATACAGGACCGAGGCCGTTTAGGGCTTTAAAGGTCAGCACCCTTTCCAAACCCCTGCCTCATGGTTTTCAGGGACAGGAAAATGCTGTTTGAACATAGCATTCTCTTGGCTGTCCATTTGGACCTAGCAGCGGTCTGCATTGATAACATACGTGCAAATTACCTGCAGTTCGTGGCATGCCCACCTGCCATGCACATGTGAAATCAGGTGCTGGGCAGGTGAAAATGCAGCTGCCAGTTCAGAATTGGGAGCCTTAAAGCACACTCCTGATTGTGCATCAGCAAGGGAGGCTGGCTGTCGCTGCCAGTTATCTGAGTGGTGGTGAGGGCAAACCAAGCGAGATTGTCTGTGCTATGGGGTTCCCCATACAACACTAGGTGGAGGTTGAAACCTGTGCCTGTTTAGCCTGCTGGCAATATTCAGAGTTCTGTACCCCTGTTCTAACATGGTGGCAGTTTGCCTGCCCTGCTTTTAACTTATTTAGGGCAATCCCCCCCCCCCCTTTCAAACTCTTCTATACTACAATCGTACCTTGGAAGAATCCGTTCCAGGAGTTCATTTGACTTCCAAAACATTCAAAAACCAAATTGCAGCTTCTGATTGGCTGCAGAAAGTTCCTGCAGCCAATCAGAAGCTCGGACGTTCAGGTCCCAAAAATAGTTCGCGAGTGGAACATTCACTTCCAGGTTTGCGACGTCCGGGAGCCAAAATGTTCGGGAACTAAGCTGTTCAAAAACCAAGGTATTTGGCAAAGTGAGTTAGTCTGGGTACGTAGCACCACCATCAAAAACAGTTCAGCCGGTGGCATCGCTGCACATTCCAGGAACTGATTTTATATGATTTAAGGTTAATCAGCTAGGCTAGATACAGGGGAAGGCCCAGTGCAATGTTGTTTGGGCTTCAGTGTGCAAACTGATTAGACCGCATGCCTTTGCTGAATAAACGTCCACAGTGGAAAATCCTTTCTCCCACAAGTGCCCAGTTTTGGTGCCCAGTTTGCCACATTGAGGGAGCATCTTATTATGTCGGATCAGTGGGTCATGGACACGGCTACTTCCGCTCTGTAGCACCCTCTCTGCCCTTCTCACCTTGTTTCCCCTCTTTGTTCGCAGGGAGACTGAAGGCGTCCCGAGTACAGCAATCCGGGAGATTTCCCTGCTAAAGGAGCTGAACCACCCCAACATTGTCAAGTAAGTATGTGGAAGGAAGTTGGCTGAGATCTGTGCTTTGGGAAGGAGTGAGTAGAATGTCTTCCGTTCCAGTCAATTTATTAAGGGTACAACACTCCTTGGGACGCGGGTGGCGCTGTGGGTTAAACCACAGAGCCTAGGACTTGCTGATCAGAAGGTTGGCGGTTCAAATCCCCGCAACGGGGTGAGCTCCCGTTGCTTGGTCCCTGCTCCTGCCAACCTAGCAGTTCGAAAGCATGTCAAAGTGCAAGTAGGTAAATAGGTACCACTCCGGCAAGAAGGTAAACGGCATTTCCGTGCGCTGCTCTGGTTCGCCAGAAGTGGCTTAGTCATGCTGGCCACATGACCCGGAAGCTGTAGCCCGGCTCCCTCGGCCAATAAAGCGAGATGAGGGCCGCAACACCAGAGTCGGTCACGACTGGACCTAATGGTCAGGGGTCCCTTTACCTTACAACACTCCTTGGAGGTGCCATCCTAACTGCCCATTCTATCCAGTATCTGGTAGCAACTATCAGAGGATGCTTCAAAGAAGATTACATAATAGTCAAACTGCACAGAGCTACCACTCCCCAGTGTTTCTGTTTCTATAAATCTTTGAGGCGCGCAGCCTGGGAGTCATTCTGGACTCACAGCTGTCCATGGAGGCACAGGTCAGTTCTATGTCCAGGGCAGCTGTCTGCCAGCTCCATCTGGTACGCAGGCCGAGACCCCACCTGCCCGCAGACTGTCTTGCCAGAGTGGTGCATGCCCTGGTTATCTCCCGCTTGGACTACTGCAATGTGTTCCACGTGGGGCTAACTTTGAAGGTGACCCGGAAATTGCAACTAATCCAGAATGCGGCAGATAGACTGGTGACGGAGTGGCCGCCGAGACCACATAACACTGGTCCTGAAAGACCTCCATTGGCTCCCAGGACGTTTCCGAGCCCAATTCAAAGTGTTGGTACTGACCTTTAAAGCCCTAAAAGACCTCGGCCCTGAAGGAACGTCTCCACCCCCCATCATTCAGTCCAGACACTGAGGTCCAGTGCCGAGGGCCTTCTGGCGGTTCCCTCCCTGCAAGAAGTGAGGTTACAGGGAACCAGGCAGAGGGCCATCTCAGTAGTGGCACCTGTCCTGTGGAACGCCCTCCCATCAGATGTCAGGGAAATAAACAACTATCTGACTTTTAGAAGACATCTGAAGGCAACCCTGTTTAGGGAAGTTTTTAATGTTTGATTGTGTTTTTAATATTCTGTTGGGAGCTGCCCAGCGTGGCTGGGAAAACCCAGCCAGATGGTGGGCGGAGTATAACTAATAAATTATTATTATTATTATTATTATTATTACTATTATTATTATTAAGGTTTAAGGGTGTTGCATTATTCCTGGCCAGAAAAATGCCTTCTCATTACTGCTTCCTTATCAGATTCCTTATTTCTTCCTTCCCTGACTCTCCAGGTTGCTGGATGTGATCCACACCGAGAACAAGCTCTACCTGGTCTTTGAGTTCCTACACCAGGACCTCAAGAAGTTCATGGATTCTTCGTCCGCCATCAGTGGCGTAGAGTTGCCCCTTACCAAGGTGACTAGGAGGAGGGCAGGGCTGCTAGGCTATGAAACACGTAGGCACACACACAGTGAATACACTGGCGACGTTGGTTTTCGCTAATACCCAGATTAGTGCAGAAGCGCCGATGTTGCGCTCCTGCACTCGCAGGTTCGCCCTGTTCCTTTTCTGAGGGCGGCTTTGTGTCTGCGGTGGAATGTGTGCACAAGGCCAGCGTTGAAGTGAATGAGGAAACTCCCGGCATGTTCAGGGAGTCCTGTATGTGCATGCATAGAAGGAATGCACCAGTGTGGAGAAAGGCTAGATCTTGGATCTCTCTAGAGTTGGGTAACATCTTCATATAAAGGTAAAGGGACCCCTGACCATTAGGTCCAGTCATGACCGACTCTGGGGTTGCGGCGCTCATCTCGCTTTATTGGCCGAGGGAGCTGGCGTACAGCTTCTGGGTCATGTGGCCAGCATGACTAAGCCACTTCTGGTGAAACCAGAGCAGCACACGGAAACACCATTTACCTTCCCGCCGGAGCGGTACCTATTTATCTACTTGCACTTTGACATGCTTTCGAACTGCTAGGTTGGCAGGAGCAGGGACTGAGCAACGGGAGCTCACTGTGTCGCGGGGATTTGAACCGCCGACCTTCTGACTGGCAAGTCCTAGGCTCTGTGGTTTAACCCACAGTGCCACCCGCGTCCCTAACATCTTCATATAGAAATGGGTAAAATAAAGGTGAAGGAACCCTGGATGGTTAAGTCCAGTCAAAGGCGACTATGGGGTTGCAGGGCTCATCTCGCTTTCAGGCCGAGGGAGCCTGTGTTTGTCTGCACACAGCTTTCTGGGTCATGTGGGCAGCATAACTAAGCCGCTTCTGGTGCAAAGGGACACCGTGACGGAAACCAGAGCGCATGGAAACACCATTTACCTTCCCATCGCAGCAGTACCTATTTATCTACTTGCACTTTTTGGCGTGCTTTCGAACTGCTGGGTTGATAACAGCTGGGACAGAGCAATGGGAGCAGAGGGCTTTCTTGGTAGTGGCGCCCACCCTGTGGAACACCCTCCCTTCAGATGTGAAGGAAATAAGCAACTATCCTATCTTTAAAAGACATCTGAAGGCAGCCCTGTTTAGGGAAGTTTTTAATATTTAATGCTGTATTGTTTTTAACACTCGATTGGAAGCCGCCCAGAGTGGCTGGGGAAACTCAGCCAGATGGGCGGGGTATAAATAATAAATGAGGAGGAGGAGGATGGGGATTCGAACCGCCGACCTTCTGATCGGCAAGCCCCAGAGGCTCAGTGGTTTAGAGCACAGCGCCACCTGTGATAGACATGGGTACAGATTGTATGGTTTAATGTTGTTTTCACACTTTATCCTTCGGTGATGTGTTTTTAAAATGACAAAAAAACTCCCAACTTGGCTTATAATAAAAGAAGGGCTGTGGCACACAATCTGCCCACGGGGGTGGGGGCAGGACTTTGTGTGGTCCCCCCTGGTTTGTCCTTGGTTTGCGTAGAGCAGAGGTCAGCAACTTTTTCAGCAGGGGGCCGGTCCACTGTCCCTCAGACCTTATGGTGAGCCGTACTATGTTTTGAAAAAAGAAAAGAAAAAAGAACGAATTCCTATTCCCCACAAATAACCCAGAGATGCATTTTAAATAAAAGGACACATTCTACTCATGTGGAAACATGCTGATTCCAGGACCTTCCGCAGGTCGGATTTAGAAGGCGATTGGGCCGGATCTGGCCCCTGGGCCTTAGTTTGCCTACCCATAGCGTGGGCTCTACATACTTCAACAGGCAGGCAGGGATTCTGTGGAGGAGTAATTTGCTCTTCTCCATGCATTCACGGTAATTGCAAATGCACTAGGATCCATGTGAGCCCCAAGGCCAGTTGGGAAGGGAAATGTTCTGTTGGGTCTTATTGCAGTCCTTTCTCCTGGGCTGCACTGGGCTGTAAATCCTTAGCCGCCAGGTCTGAGACAAAAAGTGGCAGTAAGGATCACCTGTGTTGCGAACAGAAAAACCTGGCAACCTAAAAGTACAGTGGTACCTCAGGTTAAGAACTTAATTTGTTCCGGAGGTCCGTGCTTAACCTGAAACTGTTCTTAAACTGAAGCACCATTTTAGCTAATGGGGCCTCCTGCTGCCACTGCGCCGCCGGAGCACAATTTCTGTTCTCATCCTGAAGCAAAGTTCTTAACCTGAAGCACTATTTCTGGGTTAGCGGAGTCTGTAACCTGAAGCATATGTAACCTGAAGCGTACGTAACCTGAGGTACCACTGTCAGGCTGATAATTTGATTGCAACACTTCATACAGCTACTAAATTGTATCTTCATTCAGAGTCAAGTGGCCTACAATATATACAAGGTAACGCCAACTAATGTGACTTCAGCGAATTTCCCAGAGTAGGGGATTTTTTGGATGGTGTATCAAACGGAGAATAATTCAAGCTTGAGGCAACATGCCTTCCAAAATAAGTGTAAAGTCCCCAACCACAGCACAGATGCGCCTGGTTATATACACGACTTATTCATATATTTAGCGGTGAATAGGCTGAAAGAAGTTGGTGCTCCAGTGGCAAACTTAACACAGACAAATCCAATCCCTTTTCCCTACTTTAAACTTTCTAGGCGTGGCCAGTTCAGGTGACTCAGCAGCAGAGATGTCCCCTCCCGTCATTAAAATTCATTTCCAAAATGCCGAGATCAAATGAATTTTAATGACGGGAGAGGATTTAGGTCATCTCTGCTTGAGCTGTTGACTCAGCTTAAGTGGCGACACCTCGTAGGTTCAAGTAGCAGGAAGGAACTTTGGATGGGTTCCCAGCATTTTAAGCTCTCAGCTGCTGGTGCTGAGGCCAGTTCTCCTGACAGCGAGCTTTCCGTTGGTTCTGTAGGGCTGCTTTCTTGTCTCTCATCCTTTCTGTCTCTCTTCCCCCAGAGCTACCTGTTCCAGTTGCTGCAGGGACTCGCCTTCTGCCACTCTCACCGCGTGCTCCACCGTGACCTGAAGCCACAAAACCTCCTCATCAACGCAGAGGGAGCCATAAAATTGGCCGACTTTGGGCTTGCTCGGGCGTTTGGCGTGCCCGTGCGAACCTACACGCACGAAGTGAGTGTGTGTTGCTTGCTTGTTTCTGATTGATTTTCTCCCTCCCCCCCCCAACTCCCCAAATATTGGGGGAAATAATTGTCTCGGTGCTGCAAGTGTGTAATGTAATGGCACAAATTGGCTTCCCAGAGATTTCCCCCAAATTGATGGTCCAGGGAGCTCCGTATAACTAGTTAGTATTACATGGGGCTGCACCCAGGGTGGATAAAATTCAATGATTTAATAATAATAATAATAATAATAGAAGATTTTTAAAAATTTAAGTGGGTTTTTAAAAAAAAGTTTAACCACACCAGTTAACAAACATGGATACATATGCTATAATGTTACTGTTTTAGTTAAATAAATTGTTTAAATTGTTATTAAGGAAATGATTGTTTTTCTCCTTCCAATAAGGTACAGCAGAAGAGTTGTCCAAATATAATCAGTGAACTTATTAAACCTCACAATAATTTCATAATTATTGGTCTATGTAATTCTAATAGTAGAACCAAATCAGTAATTTTTGATATAACTGTAAACACTACTCTGAAAATTTATTATTCCAAAAATTAAACCTTCTTCTGGTTGTAAATATTAAGATTATACCAGCAAGAATGAGTCTTTCTGTAAAAGAAATATGATTTAAATCAAGTCTTACTGACCCGTGATTTAAATCAAATGCATCCTGGCTGCACCTAAAGACAGTTTGGAAGCTTGATTTGTTTAAAAATGCAGTTCCCGACCTCAAACAGGTGCCAGTAGGTTTGGTCACATAAACCCTCTTCGCTGGCCATCAGTTTGCATCCACACACAATTCAAAAGGCTTTTCAGCTCTAAAGCTTTAAATGCCTTGGAGCCGGGATACTTTAAGAACCGTCTTTTCCGATAAGAAATTGCCCTGATCGTTCAAGTCCACATCAGAAGCCCTATTGTGTCTTTTAACATTGGCATAAGTGCCAGTTTGTGGGTGCAGGGCAGAGGACCTTCTCTGAGTCTTTGGCCCATGTTTTCTTACAGGCACTGAAAACTGGTTTACGTGGCTTTCTTAACGACGTGATATTAGTACTGTGCTGCTCCTCCCTGTTTACTGACTGGTGGGTTTTCTGGGTCTGCCCTGTTTCTCATATTTTAAAGTATATTTATAGATTTTTCAAATTGTGGCCAGATGCTTCTGTTGTACTTTTAGATGGAAAAGTGGATGCTGTTGTTGGATGATTTATTTATGCGCAGCTTTTCGACCGGTGGGCATATTAAAATAGATATATATGCAGTTGAGTAGATGGAAATGCCGTAAATCAGTCATCAATAAATAAATCGGCAAGCAAAGCAATACTAAACATTGAAATCCGCAGGAGAGACAAAAGAAAGCCGCCTCAAGCTGCAGGATTCTCGCCAACCAATAATAATAATAATAATAATAATAATAATAATAATAAATGTAAAGGGACCCCTGACCATTACTTCCAGTCGTGGCCGACTCTGGGGTTGCGGTGCTCATCTCGCTTTATTGGCCGAGGGAGCCGGCATACAGCTTCCAGGTCATGTGGCCAGCATGACTAAGCCGCTTCTGGCAAACCAGAGCAGCGCACGGAAATGCCGTTTACCTTCCCGCTGGAGCAGTACCTATTTATCTACTTGCACTTTGGTGCGCTTTCGAACTGCTAGGTTGGCAGGAGCAGGGACCAAGCAACGGGAGCTCACCCCATCGCGGGGATTCGAACCACCAACCTTCTGATCGGCAAGTCCTAGGCTCTGGTTTAACCCACAGCGCCACCCGCGTCCCAATAATATACGTACCACTACATAAATATAGTAAAATAGATCTTCAGTAAGCAATTGACATTTTTGGACACAGCATTAGAAAAGCTGTCATTGAGATGCAGCCTGCAAAATGTAAAATGATGCTGTGACTTTCTTATGAGCATAAATCGGTAAAAAACCAAAGCAATGTGGGCATTAATAGTGCTTTAGTTTAACTATTATGATCTAAGGATACACGGTTGCCCAGAATTCCCTATTTAGTTGGCACCTGCTTTGTGCGAGAGAGACGGTTGGTCTGGGGATTTGGATCCCCCCCCCAGCTGTAATAATAATCATAATTTTAATAATGTTATTATTCATACCCTGCCCATCTGGCTTGGTTTCCACAGCCATTCTGGGCTGCTGTGAGCAACATGGGAATTTGCACTACAGCACATCAGACCATTGGTTTTCTCTTCTTTGGTATAGGCTACACAGACTGGCAGTGGACTGTTAAGATTCTAGTCAGGGGTCATTCTCAGCCTTGCTTAAAGATGTCAAGGATTAAATTTGGGATATTTTGTCTGCACAGCTTGTGCTCTGCCACTGAGCTACAGTGGTACCTCGGGACCTCATTCTGGAGGCCCGTTCTTAACCTGAAACTGTTCTTAACCTGAGGTACCACTTTAGCTAGTGGGGCCTCCCGCCGCCAACATGTGATTTCTGTTCTCATCCTGAAGCAAAGTTCTTAACCCGAGGTACTATTTCTGGGTTAGCGGAGTCGGTAACCTGAAGCGTCTGTAACCTGAGGTACCACTGTACCGCCCTTGGCCGCAAAAAAATTATCTTCAGATTATCTTTTAAATAAAAGTTGGATAATTACGGCCTTCTCGGTAGTGGCAGCCGCCCTGTGGAACACCCTCCCATCAGATGTCAAGGAGATGAATAACTATAGAACCTTCAGAAGACTTCTGAAGGCAGCCCTTTTAATGTGTAATAATAAAAAATAATATGTAACAAAAATAATACTTAAATTTGTATGCTGTCCTATCCTCACAGGTCTCAGGGCAGTTACAATGTAAAATCACAATATAAAATGCAAAATACAGAATATAAACAAACAACCCAGTAAACATCCCCAACCCAAACAAGCTTGCTCCAGCCTCCATGTGACAGCCCTTTAGATATTTGAAGATGGATATTATCTCTATGTCTCCTCTTTCCGAGGCTAAACTTACCCAGCTCCTTCAACCATTATTATGTTCTTATATCTGTTGGAAGCCACCCAGAGTCGCTGGGGCAACCCAGGCAGATGGGCGGGGTAGAAATAAAATTATTATTAATTATACTATTGTTGTTATCTGCAGCGAGCAACAATATAGGTTTGGGAAAGGGCTACTCTTTTGAAAATAATTCCTGAGTCTTTTAAAGTCAAAACATCATGTACAACTGATTTTCTAATAACTGGAAAGCCTCATAGTTGCTGTTTTTTGGACCCCGTGTTTTCTTTGTCAGAAAAAACCTTGGTGGAGCGAATGTTTATCCAAGCCTCTTGATTATCCGGTTGTTTTAGGTGTGCACATTCAGGGTAACCCTCCTTATGAAGGAGTTGCTGGCGTGTGCCCCTGTTTTGAATGCTAATCTTACCTTCATTCACAGGGGCTGGAGTTGCACCTGTAATAAACTGGGACTCCTTCCTGCCAATGGCCTGTAATTTAATTGCATGTATGTATAAAAGGGGGAAAACAATAACACTGAATTGTTTATGGGTGTTTTGTGCTTTACACTAGGTGGTGACCCTCTGGTACCGAGCTCCAGAAATTCTCCTTGGCTGCAAATACTACTCAACGGCTGTGGACATATGGAGTCTGGGTTGCATCTTCGCAGAGATGGTATATACCTTTTTTCCGGGAATGAAGTGGGGTGGGCGTGGTGAACGTGGCATCAGCTGGAACAGCTGATCAAAATGAACCCAGCGGTGCTAAGGTTGGAAGGGGCAGTCAGGGAATCTTGAATACAGACCAGGGTCTGAAAGCCCGAAGCAAGTTCTCTTGGGGAGGCAGAGGCAGAAGATGTGAATCCACACTGTCCTGGAAAGAAGGAGGTACCTCTGGTTGCGTACTTAATTCGTTCTGGAGGTCTGTTCTTAACCTGAAGCACCACTTTAGCTAATGGGGCCTCCCGCTGCCACGGCGCCACTGGAGCACAATTAGGCCCCATTAGCTAAAGTGGTGCTTCAGGTTAAGAACAGTTTCAGGTTAAGAACGGACCTCCGGAACGAATTAAGTACGTAACCAGAGGTACCACTGTACAACTGCCCGAGCCCAATAATTTCAAATGCTGCTGATGGACGCATATTTACCACCTACCCTCCACCCAGATCCTTAAACACTGCAAGGATTTCTGTCTTCCACATAATCAGTTGCACCCGTGGAACTCTAGTTTCTTCAAAAGTCTGGGGCCCAGCCCCGTTTTAATGCTGTCGGTGTGACATCAGCTTGGGTGCTCACATAAGTGAGCTCTCACGTGTTCCTTTCTGGAGCAGGGCTAGAGCCCTGATCAAATGCTTCCCACTTCCTTGCCTTTTGCCTTGTGAAGAGCTGCTGACGGGATCAGTTGACTTGGCAGCACCTTGTGGGGCAAGCAACCGCTAACATCATCCCCTTTCCCTGGGGCAGAAACCGCCAGAGAACTGGCAGCAGGGAACAGAAGGGGATCTGTTGTGGATTCACCTTTTGAGGATGGCAGTATTGCTCTAGGCGGCGATGCTTCCCTTTCCTGTGGGGTGGGGGCAGCTGAGCATTTGTACTCCGGAGATGAGTGCATAACTGTCTTGCACGCAGCTCATGCCAAGGGCTGTGCGTCACGGAGGGAGGGACTTGTGGAACGATTCCCATGGGAGCTTTCTGGGTCAGATATCTTTCCTCGGTCTTAGGTGGTCTGGATCGCCTGGCAATCTTGGTTTCAGCATCTTACAAGGCTGTTAGCCCTTGTAAGTAGTACCAGGATCAAAAATGCATTTTAGTTTACTAGCTGCTTTTCCGTCCGGTAAATGAGGCTTACATAACAATACGTAAATAATGCAACAAAGAAAAATAGTTGTGTACAAGTGGCAGCACTAAAAAAGCCAAATGGAACCTAAAAGCGGCAGGTTGAAATTTGAAGATGAAAAGCAGATCAAAGCAGTTATATAAAAAAGGTTACAGCTTAAAAGATCGCTTTTTTAATAAACCTGTTACTTGAGTTTCATGTAAAGAAATACGCAGTGAAAAAATGTGATAAGCATACAGTCAATTGATAGGTATGATTAGAACTCTGAAAAGATCAATGTAGCAGCAGCATAATCGAATGTTCAGGAAATAAGAAATTAAATAATTTGAGAATGGCCTTTTGCTACAGCCTGTCAAACTATTTATGTGACTGGCAGCTGCTCTCTGGGTGTTGGATGGAAACAAGGTCTTTCCCGTCATCTTCTCCCAGATCCTTTTAACTGGGAGGTGCAGAGAATCGAGTCCAGGATCTTCTGCACTCAAAGCACTGAGCTGTGTTGCTGTTCCTGCAGTGGAGTTAGGCAGGGAGGTGCCAGGTGGCCCTTCCTGGGCAGAGATTAGTTTCAGAGATTAGTGATCATCCCAAAGGAAGCTGTACTCTGTGCATTACTTTTATCTCACCTTTATAACTGGGGATCCATGTAAGGCTGCTGATCTCAGAAAGTGGGAAGTATACGTAGGAGAAGAGACAGGGCCCAGGCAGTTTAAGACTTATTTAAGGTTATTTACCCAGTTTGCGCCCCGTCCAGAAGTACATTGGAAGCCAGTGCAGATAGGCCTGACTTGGAGCGATATACTCCCTTTGAGTCTGTTCTTACTAATAGAGAAGCAGCAGTCTGCATTAGCTGCAGCTTCTGATACATTCTGATGAGTAGCTCAACACAGAACACATCACAGTAGTCCAGCAGAGAATCTGGTTAGACACGGAACTGCTCTATTTTTGTGGCCTTGAACAAGCGACAGCCCAAGTGTTTTTTTCTTTCATTCTCTGCACTCTTCCTGTGGTTGTAGGGGAGGCTAAGCACAATTGAGAAAACCTCCCTGCACATAAATGAATATAAATGGTAAAGGATTGTAGGTTTCCTGCTACTGCTGCTTCAACTTTGGAGTTAACTTACTACAGCAACTGATATACCTCCAGTAGAAGTTTTCATAATAGCAATAATAATAATTTATTATTTACAGTCTACACTGCCCACTCTGGGCAGCTTCCAGCAAATTAAAATACAAAACGACATCAAACATTAAAAACTTCCCTAAACAGGGCTGCCTTCAGATGTCTTCTGAAAGTCAGATAGTTGTTTATTTCCTTGACATCCGATGGGAGGGCGTTCCACAGGGCATGCACAACTACCGAGAAATGCTCAAGAGTGATTTACGTAAAACGGGTGGGGAATGTTGGATCCCGTCAGCCCCAGCCGGTGTAGTCACTGGCCAGAAATGTTGGGAACTGTAGTCCAGGAAGATCTGCAGGGTGACAGGTCCTCCCACCGTAAAAGGTAAATGTCTGGCCCAATAGCTTCATGGGTGAGTTGGGATTTGAACTTGCTTCTCTCCAGTCCTGATTACTACACCCTGCTGAGTCCCTTGAGCACAACAGTTTTATGCCAGCCTTGAGAGGAAGGAGGCGTGGCTGGCTGAAGGAAGGAAGGAAGGAAGGAAGGAAGGAAGGAAGGAAGGAAGGAAGGAAGGTGTTTCATGGCACCGGGATTCTGAACTATATTCCTCCTGCCAACAGATAACCCACAGAGCCCTCTTCCCTGGGGACTCGGAAATCGACCAGCTCTTCCGCATCTTCCGCACCCTCGGCACGCCGGACGAGACTGTGTGGCCAGGTGTCACCTCTATGCCCGACTACAAATCCAGCTTTCCCAAGTGGGCCCGACAGGACTTCAGTAAGGTTGTGCCGCCTCTGGATGAGGAGGGCAGGAAACTCCTAGCGGTGAGTTAGCAAGGCAGCGCGGACAGAGTCTCAACAGCTTTAGGGGGGAAAGGGCGTTGAGCATTAGCAAATATCCAGACCACTGGGATGAGAGCATTTGCTCTGTACATGTCTTCAGCCCCGCGCCCCAAGTCATGGATCACTTCCTGGAGTAAAGTCCGATAAATGGAATTCTGGCTTTTTAGAGAGATTTGAGTATGCATTCCCATGCAAGTGTCTATATCTTGCAGAGCTTAAGCCCAGTAATCCTTAGGAAGTGGCATATGCCTGCCATTGCCTTCAGAATGATGCTTTGGCAGTCCTGGCTTTGGATCTGCTTTAAACACCACTCCACCCCCCCATATAAAATCAGATTTCCACACCAAAAGAAATATAGCAGATCAATGTCCAGTGAAGACTGAATTTTTCCACGAAGACATTGGCTTCTGCCTGTTCTCTCTGCTTGTCACCATATTTGCGAGCTAGCTTGTTCCTAAACTGTTTCAGATTTTGGTTATCCATTATCTCCTGGATGGTGCGCTCGTTATCTTCTGATTTTGGCAAATAATCAAGAAATTTTAGCAGTCAAGAGATGTATTCATTCCCTATTCTCAATTAGAGCAACATCTTTAACATCTCCAAATAACAAAATGTGAGGGTGCATGGGTAAAGTGTAGCCTGTTATTTCTTCGTTTTCCAGTATTCTACCATCATTTTCTGAATTTAGGACACATCCAGAATATATTCCACATCCCACTGCTTTCACCTTTACACCTCACACGCTGTTGTATATACTGTATCTGATTAAGATGTAGCAGTGTTAGGTACCGACGGAAGAAAAACTGCCTTTATACTTAACCTCTGTCTGTTTGTGGACCTCCCTACCTATAACATCCCTAGCTGGGGCTGATGGGAAATGTAGTCCAAGAACATCTGGAGGGAACCAGGTTCCAGCTGAGGCTGCTGGGAATTGCAGTCCAAGAACATCTGGAGGGAACCAGGTTCCTCACTCCTGCTTTCTGACATTTTGCTCTTGTTGCCGCAAACTCCTCCTTCCTATATTTCACCACCTCCCTGTTCTCAGTCCTGTTTTTGTTTTGAGTTCAGCCTCTGCTTTTGCTTCTGGGGTAACATCTGTGTCCCACTACAGAGACTATATCATGTGTCTCCTGTGCAGGACCGAGGAGAGTTGGCTGCCCGTTCTTGGGCACCCTGCGTGCCGCTAACTCTTTGCTTCTTTCCCCTTTAGCAAATGCTGCATTACGACCCCAACAAGAGGATCTCGGCCAAGACCGCGCTCAACCACCCCTTCTTCCGGGATGTCACAAAAGCCGTGCCGCACCTCCGCCTGTGAGAGGAGAGTGGAGCCCGCAAACCTGCCCTCTGGCAAACTCAGCAGCCCGTCCCGTCTTGGATTGCGCCAGGTGCCTGCACTTAGAAAAGACTTTTCTCAACTTCACCCTGAATGGAAAACTGGAGGTCCAGCCCACACCTTTGGGGTTGTTTTATATTTACTCCTGGGTTTATTTTAAAGTACTAGCTGAGTGTGGAGGGTGCCTCCAGACTGACTTTCCATGAGAAGAGAGGCAGAAGCCCCCAGAGCCAGCCGCCGCAGGAAGTCTAATTGCTCAGGAGGCGACAGTGTCATTCCTTTTTTAAAAAAACCCCAGGATTTCTGTCTCTCTTCCCTTGGTAACTTTTACAAAGCGTCTTCTGTACTGTCGTGACTCGCTCAATTCCAGCTTCCTCTGCAAAGGTCAGCTGTGCATTTGCTTGAGCGGTCCTTGCTTCCAGCAGCCAGAGATGGCGTCTTTCTGATTTGGATCATGGGTATTGGTTGGTGCTTGCATGATAAAGTCCTCCTGGTGCTGGCAGAGGTGCTCACCATTTCCTTTCCGATTGGATCCTCAATGAGGACTATGCACTTAACTATCCACTTTTCACAAGCAGGAAGATTTCCTTTTGTTAAGGAGCTGGGCAATGCCTGCAATATGCGAACCTGATATTCCTCATTGCACCAGCGATAGCAGTCAAAAGTCTGGTAGCCTTTTCCTGATGGACCATGGTTTGTGATGCTTGCTGGTTGAAGCCCACAAGAAGCCCTTGGAAAAAGAAGTTGGACTGTCAAAGCTCATAAGAACAGCTTGCTAACCAGCCACATGACCACTGTCTGTATGTTCATTGGGGGCAATGGGCATTACCCTATCCACTTTACAATATCTTACTGTCTTGTCTCCTGTACATGCCTTTCTGGTCTGTGGCACTGAGTCACAGGCCTTTCCATCTGTGTGGGTGGGTGGCCGATTTAATGACAGAAGGTGGGAAACTTTCAGTTCATTGCTCTTTGGGCTCAAACTTATTTTTGGTAAACTAGCAAAGCCCTCAGCTGGAATGGATCTGCCAAGTAGCTTTGTCTTCAAGCAGTGTGTTGTGTGAAAATAGATTGATAACAAAAATTGTGCGCGAGTGCTTGTTAATTTTTTGAAGTTCAGGTGTGAGAATATTAAAGGGATAAAATTGCAGTTATTTCTCCTCTCCCCTCTTGTATTTTAGCCAAAATAATGCAACTCCTACCTTCAGTTAGGAAATTATTATTTGTGAACTGCACTGTTCCAAGCTGCAAATGTCAACACCTCTGTCTTTGTGCTACTATGCCTTGAAGGCACTCAGACCTCTCAGGTTATTTCAGTGAAATGCAAGGAATAGGTGTGATTTGAGGTGCAGACAAACATTTAATCTATGGACAGAAATCTAAACTTTCAATCCTGATTAGTTTCTTATAAATTACATGTGATGAACTAGAATTCTAATCTTTTAGAACTAGTGTAATTGGTAGAGATCACTCAGTCACCTGGATTGAGCTGGTTATAAAAGCTTGTCTGCAGAAAGCAAGATTCACTATGAAACCCAAAAGACAGCCTGCTTAGTGCACCGGTGCTGCAATAATTTGAATCATCTAAACAAAGTCTCTTTGCCTTCTCTATAGTAAACTTTAAAGGTGTTTTTCTAGTTGTTTTGACAAATCCCACTTACCAATGAATAGTGTGATGGGTCCAAAATGTGAGACTTCTGTAAAGCAAGGGATCATTTCTTATTTCTGTAAGGTTTTCGTTCCTTTTTTGTAACTTAAGAGGTATGTTGGAGCGATATACACATTTTCTACAAGAAAATGTGTTTTGTGAAGTAACATTGCCTATTCAAATTCAGTGAATATTGAAGGAGGGGAGTTACCCCTTCATCATAAGCCATAATCTAGTCTTCATTCATGGATGAAGTGTCTGGTGTTTTGGGTCTAGATGAAGGCTTACTTTTAACTATTCTTAGATATATTCTCTCTATGAACAACTGTATTCTGTATAAAGACAACATGCTAACCTGGCAGACGTGAATGGGTCTTCATTGAGAAAGTGTGGCATTTCGGTTCCGTTAAGCTGAAAATATGCTAGCTGTGGGTAACTTTAAAATGCCAGCAATACACCATCCAGAAAATGTCAAGGTAGAAAGGGTTTTGTACCCTCCCCGTAGCACTATGCATATGCAATATTTAGAAGTGAGACTTTTTTCTTCTCTCTTCCACCTTCCCTTCATCTTTCGGATTAGAAGATGTTTATATATTTATAAGGCTGTTGTTTTTAAAAAAGAGTTCTGGTTTTGTATAGAACTTGTTAGTCTAAGCACCTTGTAATTAAACTTTTTTAAGGAAAAAAATATTTTTGTCCTTTCCTTGGTAGCTCTTTGCAAGACAGATGTTTCTAAAATATTGTGGCACTAGTACATTTAACTCATTAAAATATCTGTAATTTTTATACATGCGACTATCCTCTTGAAGAAAATTTTTCTGTTTTGTCGTTGGTCTCATGTGAGCTGGGGATCCTTGCCTAAGCCCAATGGGGCAAAAGACGTCTAGACTGTTTATCTGCCCTGCACTCCACTGCAGGATCTAGTACAGTGGTACCTCGGGTTACAGACATTTCAGGTTGCAGACTCCGCCAACCCAGAAATAGTACCTTGGGTTAAGAACTTTGCTTCAGGATGAGAACAGAAATTGCGCGGCGGCGGGAGACCCCATTAGCTAAAGTGGTACGTCAGGTTAAGAACAGATCTCCAGAACAAATTAAGTTCTCTTTCTTTCTTTCTTTCTTTCTTTCTTTCTTTTTCTTTCTTTCTTTTTTTTTTTTTTGGTGGCTCGTACGGGGAACGAATTAAGTTCTTAACCCGAGGTAGCACTGTATGTTGTGCTGGTGTTGCAAAGTTACATTGTGATTCATCCAGAACATGAGCAGACACATAAAGAAATTGTGTCTTTCTGCAACCAATGTGTATGTGAGATACTTCCATGAAAGCCCAACAGGTGATTTGCTCTTGCCTCAACAAGCAGCTTGGGGATTAATAGAACTACGTCTTCTTTGGCGATCACACATAGCCAAGTAAGATTGTCTTCCGTGAACACATTTTTAACAGTAAGTCCCTAAGTGACTGGAGACCAATTCTGGATCCACACGTCCTTCCAAAGTGGGGACATAGGTTTCCAGGTGGGAGTTGAACACAGAGAGGGTTTGCTAAGCATGCCTTCCTCTTAGCACGTTTCAACCTGAGTTTGAGTGTCTTCAAAGCCCATGGCACCTTTGGTAAAGGCTGTTCTCCATCTGGAGCGCTCGCAGGCCAGTGTTTCCCAATTGTCGGTGTTTATACTACATTTTTTAAAGATTTGACTTGTCTTTAAACCTCTTTTGTTGACCACCAGCATTAGGCTTTCCATTTTTAAGTTGGGAATAGAGTACAGTGGTACCTCGAGTTAAATACATATCTTCAGGTTCAGGTTACATATGCTTCAGGTTACAGACTCCGCTAACCCAGAAATACTGCTTCAAGTTAAGAACTTTGCTTCAGGATGAGAACAGAAATCGCGCAGCAGCAGTGGGAGGCCCCATTAGCTAAAGTGGTGCTTCAGGTTAAGAACAGTTTCAGGTTAAGAACGGACCTCTGGAACGAATTGAGTACTTAACCCGAGGTACTACTGTACAGTAGTTGCTTTGCAAGACGAAATAAAAGAAATACAGGGAACAGGGCCACGTGGTCCCTGAGAATCCTGGGCACCCTTGAGAGTCATCTAGTCTAACCCCCCGCAAGCCTGAGGATGTCCCTCAGAAGCAGCTGCCATTGAGCCCAGTGGGACTTGCTCACTACTACGCGCCTCCAGAGGTCAAGGGTCACAACGCTCCCAGGTGTCCCCTCCCCCCGCTCCCCCTCAGACTGCCGCTCAAAGGGCAGCTCGCTTCTCACTGGCCGGCGCCGATAGCGTAATCTCTGGTTGGGCCAAAAAAGTTGAGGCCACGCCCTCCAACGCGCTTGTCAATCAATCCTCCGCTTCTCGCCGAGGACGTCTGGCCCTCGGATTGGACGCTGCCTACTAAAGCCACGGGTTATAACTGGTTGGAGATGCCAGAGCGCTCCTCCCCTCCAGGTCACCTTATTTGTTGTTTATGAAACCTCCTGAATCGCAGGCCTTCCTACTGGTTCTCTCCCTCGTCTGTTAGAGAGATACCCCGCCCCTCCTCTAGGCCAGCTGCTTTTCAATTGGCCAGCCCGCCTCCTCTAACGCCATTGGCGGGGGAGCTTACTGCCCATCCTCCCCTTCGCCGGCTCGCGATTAGTCAGCCGGGGCCTGGGTGCGGTTTCGCGCGGCGCGATTGGCCGGGAGGGCGTGACCGGTCCCCAGGTGCCCGGCGCTGATTGGCTCCGGCCGCAGACTAAGCCCTGCCTTCCGGCGCAGAGGTGGGTTCGGTTGAGCTAGTTTGTTTGTGTGCGAGGCAGACGGGGGCCGAGAAGAGGGGGGGCCCCGAGTCGGAGCCGCCTCAGGTACCCACAGGAGGGCGGGGGGGCGAGAGACTCGGGCCTTGCCGGTTGTCCGGGTTACCTGAGCGAGTGTCCTCGCCGAGTGGAGCGTGGTTGCCGGAGGTTCCCTCGGAGAGGTGGTTGCCTGGCTACCCCCGGGGGGTGGGGTGGGGAGAAGTCGGGCCCTTCGGGTGGGAAGGGGTGGCGAAGTGCCTCACAGGCGCCTGGGCCTGTGCTGAGGGAACGGGGAAGAGGCCGAGTGGAGGATCCCTGGCGTGGGGGGGGGGGGCGGAGGGGGGCTTGGTCGGGGGGGGGGACAGGGCTGCCCTCTCCCTCCCCCCCTCCTTTGGCCACGAAGGGTGGGCGACCCGTCCCGCTGAGTCTGCGAAGGCATGGAGGACCCACATGAGATGGGGGGTGGAGGCGGAAGGGCCTTGGCACCCTGGGCAGTCGGATGGCGAGGCGCGCTTGCTTCACTCTGGGGGCTGGCGACAGGGTGAGGATCTCCAGAGGCCATCAGGGGGTGTATGTGTGGGGAGGGGGGGGGAGGAACATCTTGTCCCCCAATAATGTGCTTTTAATGTCTCTTCTTTATTATTGAATGTAGGTGGTGTTATAGGGATTCTCAAGCATGGAATAAATGTTGGTGGCTAGCCATGGCTGAGGTATTTAGACAGGCTCCTTTTTGAAACGTGGAAGCAAAGGTGGTTGCTCGGGTGAAAAGTGTAGGCTTTGCAATGCCAAAGGTCCAGGGTTCAGTCCCTGCCCTCTCCCGAGTAACCCCTGGGAGCCACCGCTAGTCATTGTCGAGGCAGATGGTCCAGTGGTGTGACTCTGTGTAAATCGGCTTCTTGTTTCCCTGTGTGGTGGAGCAGAGCCTAGATGGGCCCGGCCTGTGGTAGGAAGTCAAGGGGGCACTGGCTGATACTTGGGGTGCATTTAATAGCCTTTGTGTGTATTACTGTGTCTTCTGTAAATTCGATACTGTGGCTACCCTTGCATTGAAAGTATTGGCAGGGCTTACTTTACAAGTCTTTATTTTGATGGCGATAGTTTAAGAAACATTGGCCGCTGCAACATAGGCTGCACGCTTCCATGGTCTCTCACTTTTATTCTTGAAATCTCGAGCTGGTTACACTGCTGTGGGGTGCCCATATCAAAGTCTCCAAGCCTGTTTCTTGTATTATGAAGGTGGTACTTTTGTAGCACCACCACCTTGTGAAATTGCAGCTGCCCTAGTTTTTGCTGGTTGTCATGTGACCTGAGTACAGTTGCTTGACCTGTTGAAGCTGCTATCCTTAGTCCATCATGTTTTGTCAGTGCTGGAGCATTTCTGCCTTCCCATAGTACCTTGGTTTCCTTTTTTTTCTCCCTTGGGCTCCTTAATCCAGAATTTCTTTCTTCAGTGTAGTCACCTGGGAGAGGCAAAGTTATTTGATTATTGTTGCTTTTCAAAGCAAAGCCACCTATTGTGTGATTAGCATCCACAGGGAGTCTTTGATTCTGTTTAAATTCAGGGTTCTAGTTAGGCATGTGTGATGCTTCTACTAATCCTTGTAATTATCCCCTGGATATTCAGGAGATGGGCACATTAGGGATTCATAGATATTTCTCTACTGTAAGGGGTTTATAATCGCTTCTTACAGCTTGACTTTATTAAAAATGTATTGGGGTAGGCAAACTGCCCAGAGAACAGAATGAAACAAAAATAGGTTCCTTGTTGATGCAGTATGAAAAGTAGAGAGAGCTAGTTGGAAGTACGCTAATGTGTCCTCAACCCATAAGGCTTAATGGGGGTCTATAATATGGTGGAAATTTGCAGGTGTTTAAGCTGAAATTGTAAAAACAAAGTCATGTGCTCAGCACCTTTAGATAAAGTGATTGACTACTTTCACATGTGACATTATATACTGATTATTTAAGAACTAGCACCCATGGCATGTTTTCCATAGGATTCTTTGATATTATTAATAGTATTTCGATGTTGTTGATCTCATATTGCTAGTGTTGTTATTAGTGCTATGTTTCGTCCCTCCTTCCCTGGTTTTTGTCTTAGCAGTAATTTAGATTTGCTTCCAATGTGTGAATATAGGTACAGTACTTATATTATTTCCATGTTTTGTAACGGCCATTGTGCTGCAGACAAATAAAATTGATCACATCACATGTGTGGAATCTGATATTGGATCATTTGTAGGGCTGTAAAGAAAAGGAAGGATGTGAATCATGAAAGTTAGATTGCAGAGAGTTATGAGGTCATCCAGTGTGGGCTTGTCCTAGAGTTTCTTCTTCAGTCTGCAGTATGTCAAGTGATAAGCCTTCTATTGTTTACTGATGGGACAGTTTCTACTGAATCTCTGAAAGAAGTTACCTCTTCCTACTGTTTTTCTTGATCAGTGTATCACAACTTTGCTTGTTAGAAGACAACTTAGTAACATTAAAATACGTTCACAACGGGATCACCGTATATGTTCAATGACTTTGGAGTTGGCATCGGTTAAGTATCATACCTGGTTTGAGAGATCTTTTTCAAGAGAGCAATACTTCTGTACTTGTAGCACTATACCCCAAATGAGTAAGACTTGATTACTGATTATAATCAAAAACAAAGAGTGGTTCATAACAGTAGTCTAATGGGAATAAGCTTCCAAAATCTTGATGAAAATTATCAAAATTACTTGTAGTAACAAATTGCTATTTTTATTGGAAGTTGCATATTGTAGCAATTCACAAGCTTACTGGCTTTTGCCAGTACTATGGGTTCGATCTAACATTAATCATACTTTGACTGGACCTATTGAAACGGACATGAGTAACTTAAGTCCATTAATTTCAATGTGTATGCTCTTAGCAAAACAAAGTTGGATACAACCCTGTATATCTGAACAACTTTAACCATTCTAGCTGCACCCTTTCCCTCCACTACAAGTGTTATGAGAAGAACATATTTGGATGCTTATGCTCCGTACTTGCACTCACTTTCTCAACAGGGAAGTTGCACCCCTGAATGTTCAGTTTCTTTTTTGCAAAGTAGCATTAGCATCTGCCCTACTTTTGCTTACTACCATCCATAACTGTACACTGCTACAAAAAGTAACTTCTGGGCTTCTTTTCTGGTGGATATAGCAGTTCAAGGAATGTTTGCATCATCTGTTTTCTAGAAAATCCCCCAACACTGGTTTGACATTGTGACTTAACAACTTGCCACACATCTCCTTCCCACTATATAAAAGGGTTGTGAACTCCTGTGGTCTTAAACATGGAATAGTTAGGAGACCAGAAAGTATATGAGAAAACTAGAAGGATTTCCCTTTTCATCTTGGAAAAATACCTGCTCTCCTAATTGCATTGATTAGCTTGGTAAGTTGAGTGTAACATAGATTTGTGTTCTGCTTTGAACTCATTTGGTGGAAGAGTGGTATATAAGCAAAAATAGCAAATCAGCAAATAAACACTGAAGGCAAAAAGGAATCTCAAGAGCTGTTGTTTAAAGCAAAAATACCGAGACAAGGTATGTGTTAATCAAGGAACAAGGGGAGTGTTGGCTTCATTTCCTACTTCGGAGCTTTCTAGGAGTGTTTGGCTGTCTGAATTTTGGAACAGAATGCAGGTTGACCTTTGATCCAATTGCACAGTTTTTGTGACCACTATATTTGCTAATATAGGCATGTGTAGTTTCTCTGGCTGTTTGACACATATTAAACAGCTATGCCTTTAATCTGTCTGAAAAATGCAAATGGACATTAGGTTTTCATTAGTAACAAATGGAGAGCTCCCTGAAACTCCCAACTAAATGTTTTGAAGCATCTAGTTCTTCTTAGATCTTGGTGAAGAAAAATCATTTATGTTGTTCCTTTCTTGTGTTCTCATCTGCCATTTATTTGGGAGGTTGGAACACTACAAAAAAATTGCTGGGGTATTCCAACTCTTTTCTAAACTATGGTTAAACCTGACCACAAAATGGGCCATCCAAAAACTAAGGATATAGTATTGCTTCCAAAATATTCTCAGGCCATGACTTTGAGCTTCATGTGGAGGGAGTTCCAAAAATATAGAGTAGTTTTCTGTTTTGTGTCCTTGACATTGATTCAGTCATGGAAAACACATCATACTGTTAACAGGTGTTATCCTTGATTAAGATTGCAGTGGGACATAGGGAAAGAGATCTGAAAGGTATGTAGGGCCTAAGTTGCTTAGGGCTTTATCAGAACTAGTACAGTGGTACCTTGGGTTACATACGCTTCAGGTTACATACGCTTCAGGTTACAGACTCCGCTAACCCAGAAATAGTACCTCGGGTTAAGAACTTTGCTTCAGGATGAGAGCAGAAATTGTGCAGCGGTGGTGCGGCAGCAGCAGGAGGCCCCATTAGCTAAAGTGGTGCTTCAGGTTAAGAACAGTTTCAGGTTAAGAACGGACCTCCGGAACTAATTAAGTACTTAACCCGAGGTACCACTGTACTTTGAATTGTAGCTGAGAGAAGTCATTGCAAGCTGTGGAGCAAAATGTGTTCACCGCTGTCCGTACCTCTCAAAAGATGAGATGCTCCATTTTACCCTCACTTGCAAACTTCATAGGCAACTCTGTATAGAACCTATTACAAAAGATTAGCCTTTGTATTACAAAGGCCTGGAAAATTTATTGCTAGGGCAAATTGGGAAGGCATTGTTGCCATTGACTTCCAAAGGTGCTCCTTGAAGACCTTTTTATACTGACAGGCCTTTATGCTTTCTTGATTAGTCATTTTAATGACTATTTTCTATTGCTTCTATGGTGTGTCATGTTGTATATATTGACTCTGCCTTGATATCTTATGAGTTGAAGGTATATAAATATGTTTTTCCCCTAAATAACTAAATGAGGGAGATCATTGCTTACATCAATGGGTTGTACATTGAAGGCGATTTGAAAAGGAGGCCCAGGTTTGCTTTCACTTTGATATCTGCCTACCATTAACTTTTCAGAACTTTGCCAGTTTTCTCAAGAGAAAATACTAATGCAACATGCTTCTAGACTTGAAAATTTACTGTACTCAAGTAGAGTAAGTTGCATAAGAAAAATCCTAATTATTTTAAAGCTTTTTTGGAGAGTCTTGTTATGTTGGGTCCCTTAGCATAAGGATATCACATATATTAATCCAAATCTGAATCTAAGGGGTATATTGCTAAAATGGTAGGCAATAACCTCTCTGTTTTAAGTACTTGTGCCACAGTCTAGCTAGGTAAACTAACAGAAAGGACCAAACTCTTGGCCATGAGAATCTGGGCTGGATATTTTATTTCTCAACTGCCTGCTGCCTCCTGTTCCCTGACCCTGATGCAATATCCCTGGCAAACTTCAGCTTCCCGTTTTGCTCTGCCAGTATTTAGAGACTTTCCTTTCATCCTAGAACAATGGGATGGGGTAAACATGTAATCTCACCTCTTCCAGGCTTGCCCTTGAATTGGTACAGGCAGATTCAATGCAAATAGAGCCATTTGCAACTATTGTGCTAAGTGTGTGCACTCAGACCCAGGAGTAAAGGTTTTCCTTCAGACCAAAGTCCCTCAGTTGTTGATATTTGCTTGTTTCAAGCCCTGAGAGAACCAGACATTTGGAAAGCTGCAGGAAATACTAGTAAGCAGAAATTAGTTGCAGTAGCAACTGATGAATTCAGCAAATCTTCACAGACAAAAGTTAGCAGCAAGGCAGTAGTACCACATGTCATTTATAGTGGCAAGCCTTCATGGGTGGCATTTCTGCCAGACTAAAGTTCTGTGTGGAAAATCCAAATTCTGTTGCATGAACTTCGTCTGTGTCACCTTTGCAAATATGGACTCACTGGCAGGGACTAGATTGTAGAATAGAGAGTGTAGTTGGGAGAGGGATCTGGTCTCTGAGTTTTTAGTTGTAACTTCCCACAAGTTGTATGGGCTAGAAGAGAATTAACATTATTAATTTTTTAATAGAAAAGTGGAATAAAAATCAGAACCCTAAGGGTCTTGGGAATCTTTCAGAGCTTCCAGACTCTGAACCTTTTTGTACATTCACGCTGGTGGAGACTTCTGGCTTCCTTTGTATCTTGTCTACTCATTATTTTGTATGTGGCCATCCTAGTAGCTAAGCACTTGATCACACCATACTGACTAACTTCAACTATTACATGTTTATCCTTCTATATGAACAAGGACATGAATTGGTGGCCATGGGGGCATCAGAGGTGGGTGGCTCTAACAGAGCGTTTTCTGCACTGCTCGTGTAGGTACTTAATGCATCATTCTTCATTACACACCATGGTGCATACAACTATTATCTCATTTGGCTGTTAATACAGATTAAAGTTGTAGTCCAAAGAGAGAGATTGTAAGATGTGCTCAGAACTACTAGAAGCTCTTCCTATCCCTCTGTGGCTTCTCTGAGTGCCTTAGTGGGAATTACAGAGAAAGAGCCAAGTGGAGGCCATTCTGGTCATTCTGAGGACCCTTGCAAAAAGTATCAGCAAACCAGACTTGGCTCTCAACAAGGAGGGGAACACAATTATAATAAATTATTATTGGATCACTTACTCCATCTGGTCAATCAGCGCTACTTAGATGTTCTCACCTGTCCTGCCCTGCACCAATAAACATTCAAGGTAGTTCATATATCCGTTCCCTCACCCTCTAAGCATTTTTGTTCCCATTATGTGCTTAATTCCATCTATCCCTAACTGTTCCTGGTAATATTAAGGGACTAACAGAAAATTCTTTGTATATAGAGATGACCCTCATGGTCTCTTCCAGCTGTACAATTATATGATTTTATCTGTTGAGTGGAGAAATGGGCTGTTTTTGTCCAAGGAGTTGTTTGCCCAGAGATTGCTTAATAAATAATATGCAGCTCATAGGGGAACTTCACTGGAGCAAGAGCAACTATTCTCAACTCTTTTGCAACCCTAAATTAATCAGAAGGAAATGGCAGGCTGAATGTGCAGGCAGCAGTGAGACTTTGGATGCATTATAGAGAAACTTGGATAGACTCTATGAACTCGAGTGTTGTCACCCACGCAGTGCCCAAACCTTGGTTCTGAAATGAGTTGATGATGAAATATCTTCCAGTGTAGGGAAAAAGTGTTCAGATTGGCTTGGCAGATCTCTACGCATATTGTCCTAACTTAATAGCTCTCCTCTATGAAAGTTTCATATATTTGGGATAAGATCATATAAAATAGGGGTAACCTTATCTGAGCATATAAAACAATTGTGCTGAAAACTCTTTGGGCAATTGTAACACTGGTATTTCCTGCAGCTAACATGTGGACATCATATCAATCTTTAGTTGCGTACATAAATCTGGGAAACACCTATGCCAACTTCTTGGGGCAAAAAATGGCTCAGGGAGGCTTAAAAGCACAAGAAAATGCAACTGCAATAAGAAACCTGATGGTCCACGCATCCTGAATAGTTGTTTAGCACTGGATTTCAAGGAAAATACCAGAAACGATGATCAGAAGAATCTTGAGAAACACTGAACCAAGCTAATATTTGTGTTGATCAGCTTGCCAGTTAAGCACTCACAGAGGACATGTAGCAGGTCAAGTTGCTGACAGATTCCATTACTAAAGCTACATTGACAGAGCTAGACTAATAAGTGCTTCATTGGGGCTACCCTAAGAAAATTGCTTTCCTCCACCACAAACCTGCTCTGTTTCTATACTTGACATGCTGGAGGCAAAGCCAGCTCTTGTATATCTACCAAAGAAACCAGTCAGGCTGGTGGGGTTCTCTGTGCTGCTGCCTCCAAGCACTGTGTTTCTGGCCTGCAGTTTTTTTTATTAGCCCCCTAAGAGGAGCTGGCAAAGAATAGGTGGTGATTTTGTTTGCAGGCTAGTAACCTTTGGGGGCTAACTTGCAAGGCTGTTTTATATGGCTTCTGCGGCATAGGTTTGCATAGGCTAGTGTCATAGGTTAGATGTGGTTTCTCAGTCTCTATCACTGAAACGCTCCCCCTGGAGTTTGGAAAGGTTTAATTCTAGATGTTATTTTTATTCAGAATTTCTAATGAAATCAGAGAGTTGGCATGCATGATCCTTCACTTAGGGCTCTCAGAATCGCCAAAACGATTAACATAACTGTGGACTTTGACTCTAGACCTGGGCGATACAGCGGTACCTCGAGTTACAAACGCCTCAGGTTACAAACGCTTCAGGTTACAAACTCTGCTAACCTGGAAGAGTTTACCTCGAGTTGAGAACTTTGCCCCAGGATGAGAACGGAAATCGTGTGCCGGCGGCGCAGCAGCAACAAGAGGCCCCATTAGCGAAAGCACGCCTCTAGTTAAGAACAGTTTCAGGTTAAGAACGGACCTCTGGAATGAATTAAGTTCGTAAGTAGAGGTACCACTGTATATCGATATATCACCAGGACTGGTACGAGGGGCAGACCACGATGACATATTCACTCACTGGTGAACCCGCTGCTGCTCCCGAGTCCCTCTTCCTCCAGTGCCCAGCATGCTGAGGGAAAAACAAGCCACCGGCGCTGGAGGCAGAGGGACTCAAGCAGCGGCGGTTTCACCACTGATATACCGCTGAGTGAAACTGCCATTGTGGTCTTGGCTGAGGAGCATGCCGCTGCCCTTGCCTCAGCCAAGCAGTTTTAGGGAGCCCCCATCTCTCTACCAGCTTGCACAAGCCAGTGGTAGGGGGGAGGCTCTGTTAAAGTGCTTCCGCTTCCTAGCTGAGAGAGCACAAACCCCACTCCTGCTTGCACGCGAGTAGGAGCAGGAGCTGGCCTCCTCAGCTGAGGAGCGCAAAGCCCCCACTTCCCAGCTGAGAGATCCCCGACCCCTCTCCTGCTTGCACACAAGTAGGAGTGGGATGCGGCTGCTCAGCTGGGGAGCGCAAAGCCTCTGCTTCCCAGCTCAGAGAAGCCCGCTTCCACTTGCACAGGAGCAGAAGCTGGATCGGGGCTGCTCAGCTGGGGAGGTGCATGCTCCATCACACTTTTCCATTGAGGGGTACTTGCATGCAAGCAGGCTTCGTGCTCTTCAGCTGAGCAGCCCTGATCCCACTCCTGCTCACTGGGACATTGGGGGTCGCTTAGTTGGGCCAGGTGCCTTTCCGCCCCAGAGCTGAGCAGCAGGCTGGGGCCAGCTGCAGTGTCCCCAGCTCGCCAGACGTTGGGTTGAAAGTGCCTCATCTCCCACCGTGAGAGCTGAGGCAGTTTGTCCCAGCGCCTCACCAGCTGGGGCCAGTGCAGCTTGTTTCAACATTGTGGTTTATCGCCAAACCGCCATGTTTTGCTGGCGATACACCGCGATATTGAAAACCTAACATCGCCCAGCCCTATTTGACTCTCTGTCACATTATTCTAAAACTGAAAGACTGTGCACACTTGTAGGAGAGTAAGGACTGTTCAGTGCCGGGGTGTGTGTGCGCGCTTTTGAGAGAACTTGGGAGGTTCAAGCTGTAAAAAAACATTGAGCATCTTTGCTTAGCTAAAGTAGAGGCTTAACAAAGTCTCTGATTCTACAAAGTTCTGATTCTACCATTGCATTTCATAGGACGAGCTAAATGATCTTCAAAAGCAGCAGGGAGAAATCTCCAGTCTGCAGACCTAACTAGACCCAGCAGGGGTCCTAATTAGGCCTCTGAGGTTATTTTCCCCATGTCATACCCACCTGATGTTGAGCATGTAAAGATGCAGTGGCAGAGGCACAACTGAGGGCCTTAAAATGCATTTCCAATGGGTCATTGGCATGTGGGGCTTGTTTCCAGTGCCTTTTAAACTTGGTACCAAATGTAAACCCTGCTGGAATTGGTTCCAGTTGGTGCTACCAAGCAAAGCCAATCCCTCACAAAAAGCGGGAGTTGAATTCAGCGCTGGTTAGCAATGACTTCAAACTCCACTGGGATCTTGATCTCAACGTGTGCTGTAAAGGAAAAACAGATCACAGTGATGTCTGAGGTTGTCAGAATGGCCCGCCAGGTACGAGAGAGCTTAATATTTGGCCATCCTGTTCCCCTCTCCTCTAAAGAACTGCTAATTTCAAAATTTGGTCTTCTAAATTTAAACTGCTCCTTTGGTTGACTCAAAGGAAGGAGAGAAATATGCATGATTCTTTTTCATTCACTCTTACTTTTATTCATTTTCTATGTAGCTTTTCACAGTTCAGGGCAGCAATTGGAAATTGGAAACACTTGCTCCAGACTGACCTAGGACTTCAGAGAGATCAAGCCTTCCCCTTTGATTTTAAGCCTGTTTGATTAGCAAAGGTAACATCATTGGACCCACCCTTTAATGCTTTTTTAAGAGTGACTTTCTATTTTCCTATGTCTCCACACCTTTAGAATTTGGATGATTAGCAGCACAAACAAACTTCAAAGCCTATTTGAGCCTCATGTTAACAGTTTCATTCTTTTACTTGCCAGAGCAGGCAGGTGCAGTCAGGCTTGGAGTCCATGCCTAGTACTTTTGTGGATAGCTGTTCGCAGAAGTGTGTGAAACCAGCTTCTAAAATGCCCCTTATTCCAAGCTGTATGGTACCATCCTGGATGCAGGTACCATTACTTGTAAATTTGGATAACCTATGGTGGAAGCTAAGATGTACCGATTTTTCTTTCTCTTCTTTGATTCTGATATTACACTGAATGAAGTCGGTTGTAACAATGTTGGGCAAGCCTAGCATGATCACTTGGAGTGACTGTAGTGAACTAGTGGCGTATTTGTGTTCCACCTGTCCTCCCAAACTCATGGTCATATACTTAAAGTTTAGTTATGCATACTTGTTTTTGAATGTTGCTGATTTTATTTGTATGTTTTGGATTTTTTTATACACTATTTAGGGTTTTGGATTAAGTGGTTTATAAATTCTACTAAACAAACAAGGGACAACTGGCTTTATGTACTGCTTGTGAGCTTCTGGCATGGTCAGTGTTGGAGACAGATCAGACTGGCAGTCTAAGTCCGTCATCCTAACACAGCTCATGTTCTTCCATCTTTCCCTTACCACAATCCTGTGGGTGATGAAGATGAGATTATGACTTGCTAAGGCAGTCTGTTGAACTTCATGAGCTGGAGGGAGGGCTTGGACTCCCTCACCCACCCCAGTCTATCTACTACATTCTGACAAGGCTATACACTGTATTTTTCGCTCCATAAGACGCACTTTTTCCCTCTTAAAACCTAAGGGGAAATGTCTGTGCGTCTTATGGAGCGAATGTGTGGTCGCTGGTGGGGGGGGAGCCTGGGCTTCCCTCAACAGCCCCACAAGCTCGGGGAGCAGCGGAAAAGCTTTCCCCACCGCCAGCCCCACAAGCTCGGGGAGCAGCCTTTCCGCTGCACCCCGACCCGCTGTTTGGGGCTGGCGGTGGCTTTCCCCAAAGAGCAGGTCGGGGAGCAGCGGAAAGGCTTGTGGGGCTGGCAGAGGGGGGAAGCCACGCTTCCTTCGCTGCTCCCCGATCTGCTCTTTGGGTTGAGCAGCTCTGGGGTAGCCTGTGAAGCCTCTACAGGGCAGCGGGGAGCCTTCATCCCACTGCCCTGGGGAGGCTTCGCACGGCTAACCCTGGCTTTTGTGGGAGGTGGGGGAAGGGATAGAGCGAGGCTCTCTCACTTCCCCCACCTCCCCCCAAAGCCCCCAAGAACTGCATTTTTTTTCTTGAATTCCCCCCCCCCCCAAAAAAAGTAGGTGCGCCTTATGGAGCGAAAAATACGGTACTTGCAGGTCCTTGCCAATCATTCTCAACTACCGATTTCTTAAATATGCTTCCATTCTACCATGTTGTCAAGCATTATCTACCTTAGCAGTGAAGCTAGTTGGCGCTCCTTGTTAATAGGAAAAGGAGACAATAATGCCTTGCTAGACACTGTGTTAAAACTCCTTCAGTGCAGAAAGGAAGCTCTAGAAAGTTTCCTTTGACAGGTTTGGAGAAAGATGACTTTGTTCTGGTGCATGTTTATTAAACTGCATAAAGGAGCTTACGGGTTTTGTGAACGAAGTAACAATATACTTGATAGTAAAACTTCTTGGGACAACTGAACTTCCCTAGATGTCATTGCTAACCCAGTAATTTAACCTGCCAACAAATGCATATTTGGCTTTCAGAAACTTTCTCTTTCCACAAATGGCTTGTTCATAAACGCACTTCTGGTCTGCTCCTTACTTCTGACTGGAATGTGCCTGCCTACAACTTTAGGCTACGCCGAAAATACTTGTTTTGCCAGTTTTCTATTCAGTGCTCAGTGCTTTTTCCCCTGTTACACATGCCGTCTCCTTAATCAGGTCACCTCTAAAGTTGCTTGATTAAACTGCTTAGGAGAGTGCCCTTCAAACACAAGGTATGAAGAAAACTACTTCCCAGAAGCACTCTTACTATGTAGGGGAGATCTCCTGATGTCAACCTATTCTTTATCTTCTAAGGTTCTCTTGAACACTTTAATTGTTGCTAGAATGCATGCCGGTTTCTAAATAAGCTGCTGCAAAATATTTACAAGCAACAGTGTAAATTAAGATTAAAGCATTCCGCATATATGAAGGAAAGCATTTGGAAGTCCACAAAATGGATTTGTGGGCTAGTTTGGTCTTTTTTAGTGTCTCTTTCTTTGGCAGTGTCTTTTAAGAAGCTTGCTGAGAAATATTTCTAGTGATAGCATTTTATCACTTGATCAGTTTTGGGGCAGGGTATTGTAGAGTGTAGATGCCTTTTTGTTTCAGGCAGAAACAAAAGTTTTTAAAACTCATTACCTTACAACATAAAGTATTCCACTTTGGTTGATCACGTAACATAGAAGTGCTCCAGGTGCCCTGAAGTAAGGAGCCAAACACCCAGTTCACCCTCTCTGGCCTTGTAAGCAGAAAAATACTTCAATGTACAGAAAACACACTACAAGGGTTTCCAATATGGTTATGCCTTTGCTGTGTATTACTGGGATTTATCCTGCAAACGGAAATGGGGTTTTTTTTTGGGGGGGGGTGTAAAAATCATCTCAGGGAGTAGTGCACCCTTAAAATGCCTTTTACTGTGAAATCATGAAGCCTTGCTGGAAATAAATTACCAAAAAAGGAAGAGATTGTGCTGCAGATTGTCTCAAGTGGTAGTGCCCATAGAATCATAGGATATTGACAAGCCGGAAGGTGTGCAGAGGTGGGCAACCAAGAGGATCAAGGGTCTGAAAACCAATCTTTATGATTGCTGAAACAATAATTTTGCCCTGTTTGGAGCAAAACATCAAGTGCAAAAGAGTTTTCTATTTAGCTGGACTCTTATTTGCACGAAGGAACCTAATATTGCTGACAAGCTCAAGAAATAGTACTGCGAGGCTGTTCTCAACAGTTTGCAATATACTAAACTTAGGTCAACGGCTTGGTTTAAAGCTTTAGTTGCACCCTCCTTAATTTTAATCTTCATTTGTATATCGGTGCCGTACAATCCTTTGCGTAGGAAACGACTCAGACCGTACCTGCATGTGTTTATCATGCAAAAACTGCTGGACACGCTTGGCAACAGGTAGTGTTCTCTCCATGATCTCTCATTATGAAGGGGCATTTGGTCAAATGATTTAGGCAGCACCTTATCCTGGACTTTTTCTGCCGTTTCTTCATCAGCATGATAAAATTTGTTTGTTTATTTATTTATTATTATTTTATTAAAACTAATTAAATTAAATTAAATTGTAACAATGTTTCCCCATTTCCAATATACAGAATTTATATCTGCTGTGCGACCCACAGTTTTCACAGTAAGGAAATTGCATAGAAGAGTGATCAGCATTTTGATGATGATATTAGGGTACAGGGAGCTTTGCATACCCAAAAGATAGATCCCTGCCCTTAGGAGCTTGCAATCTAAACAGAGATGGTGGGTGGGTGAGCAGAGTCAACAGGAGATGCAAGAGACAAAGGGATGCCAAATGCCAAATGGTTTGTTCACTGCTGTTGCCACATCCTCCGTTTTGGCTCAGCGACTCCAGCTCAAGGAAACATAATCGCCAATACGAACACCAGTGTTTACATGCACCCTACTTCCTCAAGCTCTCAGAAGTTCCAGGGGGAGCACATATCTGAGTTTGGCTTCCTTTTATAGGAAACGGCTTGTGCTGTTGCTTTTTGAAGTTTTTGAGATTCCTTTACAAATATGCAAAGTGAAGCAGAGGAAGCGACTATGATTCTAATACGATCTAGTTGAAATTCCTGCATTGCAGGGGGGTTGGACTAGATGAACCTCGGGGGTCCCTTCCAACTCTGCGGTTATCTGGTTTTCTGGGCGCATATTGGAAAATACATGTGGGCAGAGAAGGATCTCTGCATAAAAACAGGGCAGCGTGTCACTTAAGCAAGGTTCCCTGAACAGCCAGGGAGCAGCTGTGCAAACTGCTTCTTTCGAAGTGCACAGAGCTCTCTTCCCAGGGAGCCTGGGCAGGATGTCTGCAAGGTCATTGCTCAACTGCACTCTCTCACTCTCACAAGAGAGTTCTTGGAAAAGGAAAGAAGCGTTTTCCTATGTTCAGCAGATTCAGCAAAACTAAATCTAAATACATACTATTACTTTGCTACCAGTGAAAGTCTGTGCTGCTGGCTTTAACTGTGTTCCACATTTGATCTGGGTGCATAGTGCAGAGGGACTTCTCTGGATAATTTGTCTTAACCATTTTGAAGCCTTGGATTGTGTGAATAACAATTGATTTTATTTTTTGACTCGTGGAACACTTAGGTGAATCCTGGACGACGTTTCTAGCCAAGTTTTGGATTTTGCTGTATTTAAAGTTGCTGAGTTTGAAGTTGAGTTAAGATCCTGACTTGTTCAGATGGAATGGGAAGCTTTGTGGTTAGTTAGGTATTTGCCGCTTTTAATTGCTGCTCATTGCGGAGGAGATGTTTGCCATAAGCAAGAGGCTCATGCATAATTAGCTTAATAAGATAATGAATGAAGACCTTGGGTGGCCCAGAATTCTGCTTTTAAGAAAGAGGAAGCAAAACTTGATGTTTAGAAAGTTTAGGAAATGTTTCAGCCTTTCCCTGAAGATGCTGCAGTTCCCGCTTTTTTTAAGCGGGGGTTAGTAATGCAGTGGTGATTGAAGATTCCTGAGAATTAACTTGCTGCCCTCAGCTTTTATATTCTTGCTCAAAACTGGCTTAAATAAAAATGTCAACCCACACAAGAAGCTTGTCAGAGGTGGCTGGCCTTGAGAGAAGCTTGTGTGAGAGAGAGGCTTTTTTTTTTTGCATGGGTTATGATTTCAATTGTTACCTGTCAGAAACTTAATGCTTTATTGGAGTTCATTTTTAAGGGTGGGTGGCTGGGATTTTGCTTCAAGTTACATCTCCGTGTTGAAATAAAGGATTCTGTGAGCTATTATGAGCTTGCTTTTTTAAAAAAATCCAAAATACTACCCAAATCTAAGGTGGTAAACAAACATGGAGATAGACCGTACCGTCTGCTTTGCTACCAGCAAATGTCTGTGTGGTGTCACACATTTTTACTTCTAACTTACCAATCGATCTGTTTCAGAAAATGTATGGTGGGGGACAGGGCCATTTGTGCGCTGGGAAGCAAATGAAACACATCTTCCAGCTTTGGGACAAAAGACGCTCAGGTTCAGGACTTGGTAACTGCCTTATCGCCTAGGAATTTGAAATCTTCACCCTGGTGTCTTTTGTGATGTTTATCTATCCCCCCAATAGTGAATCATCTGTAAAGCAGGCCTGTGGTGTGAAGAAAAACTTCATTGAAGAAAAGCGTTGAGCTGATGAGTTATACTTTGTGAACCTCAGACAGCTGCATGTGCACCTCACTGACAGCTTGGTCCAAACTCATGATGTAATTGAGATGTTAAGCACTGTTGTAATATACCGTTCTGGGTCGGGTCAGGGCTGTTGTCCCTGTAGCCCTGGTGCCATGTGATGTGAAGAAAAATCCAGTTCAGAAACTGCTTGCGACGTCTTGAAGAATGTGAGCAGGAAAGACATCCGCAGTAGTTGCTGACTCATGGATCACAGCGTTTCACTGCACATGGGAGTTCTTTCCCCTCCAAGGCTAATTCTGGAGGGTTTGTTTGCTCTAGGAGATTTATTTTTTAAAAAATAAAATAACAGCTTGTCTCCTCTGAAGTTTGTTCTTGGTGTTTTGACATTACAATCACCAAATGCAGTGTTTAGCTACAATGCAGATAACCAGGAATCTGACTCTTTCCCTGCTGAATAGAGTGTGTCTGTGGCTTGTCTGGTCAGGTGTCAGGTTACTGTGCTGATTCTGGGCTAAATATTGTTGGATATCCATCCTGACATCTGGTTTGAAAGCCCATGCTTATCTTGCACATCCCCCTTGAATGACAGGGCTGCCCCCCCCCATTTCACAAATTGAGGAACCAAATATGTTTCTGTTGTTAATTGCTCAGGTTTTGACTGAAGCTAGTTTTACTGCTCGATTCAACTTAATACCTTTCACTTGTCTTTATTGCGCCTACATCCCAAGCCTTCAGTGTTTTTCACCTGTCCAGCACAGCACATCAATCTGGTTTTTTTCTGTTTTTTCCCCCAGAAGGAGTTGCTCACAGCTGTTGGACAAAGTTATCCACCTGTTCCAGGCCAAAAGCTCCTATACTCACAAAGTCTGATCGGTGGCTGGTAGTTTTTTTTGCATTGGCTGGAGCACAGGCTGCTCTTAGAATCCAGGCCATGACCAGCAGAGGAGCTGCCAGGCCGAATGGTCAGTCGCAAGCCAGCAAGATCTGTCAGTTCAAGCTAGTACTACTGGGCGAATCAGCAGTAGGCAAGTCCAGCCTGGTGCTGCGTTTTGTCAAGGGACAGTTCCACGAATACCAGGAGAGCACCATAGGTGGTGAGTTTTTTGGGGGGGGGATCTCTTCTTGGGAGGAAAATCGATAGCCTAAATTTTAGGAAAGCACCTTTGGATTCCAGCATAACAAACTCCACCTGGGCAAGGTCATCCACTTTCAAATAGGGTGCACTTCCCGACACCTTCATCCCGAAGCGTAGCCACTTACTGTGCTTGTTTACCCTTTCAGTAGCCCTCTGGAAGTCTGCAGGTGGTAAGGGTGATAGTCTAACCCCACCAGCTGAATCTGCTGTTTGAAAGGCTGTTAGAGTCATGGTTTGGTTGCTCTTTTGGTTGGAGGTCTTAAACAAGCAAGTAGGCATCAGTAAATCATAATATGGGACGCGGGTGGCACTGTGGGTTAAACCACAGAGCCTAGGACTTGCCGATCAGAAGGTCGGCAGTTCGAATCCCTGTGACGGGGTGAGCTCCCGTTGCTCAGTCCCTGCTCCTGCCAACCTAGCAGCTAGAAAGCACATCAAAGTGCAAGTAGATAAATAGGTACCGCTCCGGCGGGAAGGTAAACGGCGTTTCCATGTGCTGCTCTGGTTCGCCAGAAGCGGCTTAGTCATGCTGGCCACATGACCCGGAAGCTGTATGCTGGCTCCCTTGGCCAGTAAAGTGAGATGAGCGCCACAACCCCAGAGTCAGCCATGACTGGACCTAATGGTCAGGGGTCCCTTTTCCTTTAAATCATAATATACTAGTGCAATGGTTGCTTTAAAAAAAAAAAAAAAATCGCACCCATATTGTTAAAATACAGTGACCCCTCCCAATAGTTACAGTTAAAACAGTATATACTTAATAATAGTGGGGGAGGGGAGGGAGAGACCTGTTTCAGCCTGAGGACCAAATTGGAACTTACCCATCCTTCTGGGTACTACGTTTCAGTGATTGTTGGGACAAAAGTGGGCAAGGCCAAACAAACACACACACACACACACAAAAAGAGGGGGCAAAGTGCAAGGATTTCTATCCCCCCCCCCACATTGTCAAAAACACAAGTGCCAGGTACACAGTGCACTTTCCCTCTTTTACACACACACATACTTCCAGGCACATATACATACACTCTGATGCGATGGGCAGGAAGACACATGCATTTCTAGCCCTCTCCAGCGCTGGGGTGGAGGTGACTGGAAAGATCCTTTTGTGCTATTTAGGGAGACTCAGAAGACAGAGGGATTTTATCTCTTTATCTTAGCCTTGTGAGGCACAAAATACCTCTTCTGTTATTTGCTCTCAGAGAGGGCTTATCTCTGATTTTAGGGCTTTGGTACTTAGGTTAGAGGTGAAAAATCCCTTTACTATCCTGTGTCAGACATCAGGTGATTGGCAGGTGGGCATGGTTTGCCCAAATGGCCTTGTGGGCCTAATTAGGCCCATGGGCCCACAGTTCCCAGCTGTTGAGTTAATACACTGTTTAATTCCAGTTACCTTCACCCATTTTAGAGTACTCATAATCTTGCTTTATCCATAAAATATTGTATGCGGTCACTGGAGAGAGAGAGAGAGAACACTGTGTTTCTTTTTTTAAAAAGTTTTCTTTTCTAGATTTGGTTTGCTAAATGTACTGCAGAAAACTAAATGATCACAGAAGTACTTCTATAAAACCTCATACCCCCTTTAAAATCCCTTACCTGTATTTATGCAGTGCAGTGGACTCACAACTTGCGCGTGTTTAACTTGCTTGATTTCAACTTTACGCATTTGAGAGCTGACAGTTGAAATCACACAGATTAAACGCACAAAAGGCAAAAGGCTTAAAAGCAGGGTTTTCTCAGTGTAGAAAGAGCTCTTAATCTCTCAGACTTGCTAATGGGGCTCTCTGGTGAGATCTCACAGGAACTCAAGACAGCCCTGCCAGACAGCTGGTAAGCAAGGTGGAGCGCTTAAAAGCTCTCTGCCTTGCGTGTGGGGTAAGACCTGTTTTGTGCGCCAGCTCTGAAAGCTAAGATTGCTCATGAGAGGGCAGTACCAAGAGAGTGGGTTGACTATATGTGTTTTTGCATATAGGCACCAACCCCAGAATGTAACCCCCATGCAAAAGATGCAAAACCACTGTAAAACAACACCAGTATTCTTTTGCTTTATGTAGTGGTGCACATGGACTGCATTTTCCCTTAAATTCCTCCATAATGCTTCCTTAAGATTTTTGCTGAGTCCTTTTAAGGTCTTACCACCAGCAGCCACCCTAAATACCATCATTGTTTGGCTACTTTCTGCGAGACAGGGATATTTGGGGGCTGAGGGGCAATTGCGCATCAACTCAACACTAAGTAGGGGACAAGGTGGGAAGATGCTATAGTGTGTGTGTGTGTGTGTGTGTGTGTCTGTGTGTCTGTGTGTGTAAGGTAACATTCAGACATTAGGTTATTCCATCATTCATAGTGGTACAGTCCTTTGAACTTGCACCATATGTTTTTTCTACATGTCTAGGCCTAACCCACAATATTTACAGGAGAAAATTTTTCATATTATTTGCGTTCATGCTTATTTCTGTACAAGCTGCTCCATGCAGCCTTGGAGACTTCTTAACAGATTGTTAGAGGTCAGAATATTTATCAGGTTAATATCACTTTTTGATTGGTCTCCCCATGGATGATTCAGCTGGTTCACAACAGTAAAAATTCAGTCACTGTAATTATGATATATAAAGTTAAATGATTGCATCTATTTTGTCGGGTCCCTAAGCCAACTCTTCACCTTCTCATTTCACAGCTGCTTTCCTCACACAGTCTGTCTGCCTAGATGACACAACGGTAAAGTTTGAGATCTGGGACACAGCTGGTCAGGAAAGATATCACAGTTTGGCCCCTATGTATTACCGAGGGGCTCAAGCTGCCATTGTGGTGTATGACATAACCAACCAGGTAAGCATGCAGTGTTTGCTATCTTTTGGGGAGAAAGGGCAGTATCAAGGTTAAAACCAACAGTGTGGAGACCTCATACAATTACAGTGGAAGTGTCTGTCAGCTGATGATGCCTCAGTTCCTTTGAACATCCTTTCCCATTTCAGATGAAGCTTGTTGGAAACAAGGGCCATCTAAAGACTTAAACACAGTCAATTATTGGTTAGAAACTTCAGGTGATTGCTGCCAAGTAAGACCCACTGTCTGACCAAAGCATTGCCTTGTTCACATTAAACCTTTGCTCTAAACAAACTTCCCGACTAGTGGCTGATTTGTTATTTTTTGAAAAGTTAAAACCACAAGTTTGCATTTGCTCTGGAGTAAGCAACACAATTTCCTTGATGCCTTGAATAAATATGATCAACACCTCATAGAGGTCAGGGTAGTTCGGGGTTTTTTAAAGGCAAATAATTTTAGATAGGTATAATTTACGCTCTGATACCTAGATAGGAATTTACACTCTAGAAAAACCTACTTAGGAAGTCCTACTGAGTTGAGTGGAAATTACATTCAAGTTGCTATGTTTAGGATTGCAGCCTAAGTGTGATGTTGCAGGAATTAAGAACCATGGTGCCTTTGCGGCATATCCTCCTGGGCCCCACCTGCCCCTTCCACAGCAATTAGGTTTGACCTACCACCCCCTTTTCAGAATTTTCTTTTACTCACCACCCCCTGGAGATCTACCTTATTTAAGCGAACAAACATTAAGACACTGACAAATTTGTGTTCTTTTGTGTATCTATGTTTCTGCTTATGTCCTATAACATAGCAGAGAATGCTGTTGTTGCGAAGAAGACACCTTGAAGCTTGAAATTATAAAATTATTAAAACCCATGGGGTGGACCATGGAGTGAAGCCTGATGACTCAGTCCAGTCTGCCCCAGGGACAGGGACAGTGCGGCAGCCCATCTACCATTGGCCAAATAAGCAGGCAAGCTGCAATCTACTTCCAGGCTTTGGGTGAAGCCGAAAAGGGTTCACCCAAGCCCAGGAAAACCCCTCTGATCCAGGGGAGGCATTGTGACCATCCCACAATAGTGCCCAACCTGGCAGTAAATATCATTACACAACAGATGAAACATGTATGAATGGATTTTCAAAAATTTCTTCTTTTTTATGCTTCCACTGCCCCCTTATTTTTATTCAACGCCCCGAATTTCACCCGAGTCTAGTACCGCCCCCCTGGATTGTTCCAGCACCCCCTTTGGGAAACACTGATCTGTGTGAAGCCACTGGGAGCTGTCATCAGGAGATGTGGAGCAAAGTCTCATCAATAGGCAGATGACACCCAGCTCCATCTCTCTGTTCTATCTGTATCGGGAAAAGCAGTTGTGGTGTCAGACCAGTGCTTGGAGGTGGTGATGGGCTGGAGGTGATGTACCTCTTTATCCAGACCTTTGCCACCTGAGATGTATAATTTTAGGATCCACCCTATTTTTGTGGTTGTAAGTTGTTTTTAATGTTGCATTTTAAATTCTTGTAACCCGGCTTGGGGCCTTAAGATGAGTGGTGGGGTAAGAAACTAAAATAATAGCAATCATAGTAGATGTTTGGTTTGATTATGTCCTTGAGAACCTGCATGTCCACCAATAGACTGTTGCAGTGACAGTTGGAGGAAGCCTTTTGTTTCAACGTACTGCAGGTGCACATTGGGTGAGTTGGTTGAAGATAGGAATCCTGGTCCCTTCTGACTGCACACCTGACATTTTGGCCTCTCCTTTTCTGATAGGAAACGTTTGCACGAGCGAAAACATGGGTGAAAGAACTCCAGCGGCAAGCTAGCCCAAACATTGTCATAGCCTTAGCAGGAAATAAGGCGGATCTTGCCAATAAGCGCATGGTAGAGTATGAAGTAAGTAGAGCTTCTCAAACCCCTCAGATGTCTATTGTACTCATTCTTACTTCAAGACAGAAGGAATGGTCCATAGTTTGCCAGCCCGGGAGAGGGCATTCTCTGTGGCAGCCCCTCAGCTGTGGACTTCCCACCCCTAAGAGGTGCATCTGACACATTATTGCATAGTTTTCATCACATGCTGAAGACTTCTTTATCCTTGCCTTTGACACCTGAGATACAGAGTTTTAGGGCCTGGCCTATTTTTTAAAATCATTTTTTTAAAAGTGATTTTAATACTGTATTTTTAAATGGCTGTAACTCAACCTGGGAGCTATTGATGAAGAGTGGGTAAGAAATCAAATTAATAATAATGATAATACAGTGGTACCTCGGTTTTTTAGCGTCTTGGAAGCCAAACGTTTCGCTTTTCGAACGCCGAAAACCTGGAGTTGCTTCCATTTTCGAACGCGCCTCGGAAGCCGAACGGCTTCCACTGAGGTTTTTTCCATTTTCTCCATTGAAATTGCAGGCTGCCCTTTGCACCTCGGTTTTTGAACATTTCGGAAGTCGAATGGTCTTTCAGAACAAATTACGTTCGAAAACCGAGGTACCCCTGTATCAGGAGGAATATGCTTCCCTCTCCCTCCAAACTTCCCAACCTGATTTGTCACTCCTTCGAGATAGTCCAGCCTTTTGGTACTTTATTGTATTGTAAACAAAAAAAACCTGAGCAAGCCTGTCTGCCCAGATTGATCTGGGCAATCTAGAATATGCAGTCGTGTTCTAAAAGTAAGACCTACATTTGTTCTTTACAGGAGGCCCAGGCTTATGCAGATGACAACAGTCTATTGTTTATGGAGACATCAGCCAAGACAGCAATGAATGTTAACGATCTCTTCCTGGCGATAGGTAACCCAAAGACACTACGTTGCATTGTTTATCGGGGCACTGTCTCTCTAAAGATTCATGTGGCTTCACTTTAAGTTGTACATTGAGTTCTGCAGCCTTCTGCTGCCTAGGGTTACTGCCCAGCAGCCAATGGTTGGAGCAGGTATTGGGCTAGACCCTCCCACCCTGTTGTAGCAGATGCAAATGCCAGCTAAAGAGAATGAAAGGTGTCTTGCAAATATTCCGTCAGGTCTCAACTTGCAGAACAGCTAGAGACCTTTGGGCTTTCCTTGACATGCTTCTTTTCAGACATCGTTATACCATGTGCAGCCTTCATATATTGGACCTTTGTGGGAATGGTCCCCAGGTACTGAGGCCCACCTGAGGCATTCTGGGTTGCTGTATTAACAGGGTGGAAGTTCCGCAGGTCTGCTTGCAGATGGAAAGGGCTGCAGGCCCTTAAATACAGGTTTAAGGGAGTATGCTGCTTCCTTCTCTCTCTGTGTGTGTGTCTCTTCCATCTCCCCTTTTTCTCAGTGAGTTTTCTGCCATGCTGCTACCTCCCAGCACGAGCCTGGTCCTCCATACATCAAATTTTGGCAAATGCTGAAATAAATAACCTGGTTACACCCATTTTCAGGAACAGGGCTAAGAGTGCTGCTACTGATGGGTATCAAGCTGTGCTCGTTCTGTTTTCCATTCTTTCCTATTACTGTTAATCCACGGCATTCTTAAGAATGAAAACATGACCAGCATAAAGGCCACAAGTACTGGACTTTCTGGCCATCGCAGAGCAATCTCATGATAGGCAATATATTTATTTTCAAAGAGGGTTTCACTGTGATGCATCATTAGGATATTTTACAAAGAAATCAAAGAGTCTTGAAATGGGTGAAGATACTTTCCAGGGACTTCCACGGGTGCAGGAAGCCCTGCCTATTTACACTGACGCAGGTAAAGGTAAAGGGACCCCTGACCATTAGGTCCAGTCGTGACCGACTCTGGGGTTGCAGCACTCATCTCGCTTTATTGGCCGAGGGAGCCGGCGTACAGCTTCCGGGTCATGTGGCCAGCAAGACTAAGCCGCTTCTGGCGAACCAGAGCAGCGCACGGAAACGCCGTTTACCTTCCCGCCGGAGTGGTACCTATTTATCTACTTGCACTTTGAAGTGCTTTTGAATTTCTAGGTTGGCAGGAGCAGGGACCGAGCAACGGGAGCTCACCCTTTTGCAGGGATTCGAACCGCCAACCTTCTGATCGGCGAGCCCTAAGCTCTGTGGTTTAACCCACAGCGCCACCCGCACCCCTTAATGACACTAGTAGGGGTCCTCATACTGAACATTATACTTGGTAGCACTTTGCATCTCTGAACGCTTTAGCCTTTCCATTTCCTTTACTTTATTTTGCTGGCTATTATATGAAGTGCTGTAGCCAAACCATTGAGGAATAGGAGCTGCATAGCTGTGCTTTGCCATATGCCTGCAGAAATGTTTTGTTGTCTGTTGCACTCCCTCCCTCCCCCTTTAATTTTTTTTATCACCTGCAGTCATTGGTTGGACTGCAAGACAGAGTATTTCAGGAAACTCAGAACTTTCCCCTTGATTCCTCAGTGTGTGTTTTGCAGGATGAGTTGGCTCTACCTGCATATTCTTCTTTAAACAGAAGTTGCAACACATAGCCCTACCCTGGATTAGGAAAGTGGCCTAAAACTGCTGGCTATTACCAGTGGCAATGCTACATGCTTTTCGCCTGCACTTCAGGCTTACAATTGCATCTCTCATCTGCTTTGGGTAAATGATCATGTATGAGCGGCTAATCCAAACGGCAAGTCCAAATTCAGACTCTTGGAGGCGGCAGAGGCGGGGGGGAGTGAAGGAAATACCTCCATAGCCCCCACCACTGCTCCACTTGGGGGGGGGGGTTCCTAGAACAAACCAGCCCCTTTATAAATTCCAGTTTAGCAGGAATGTGAAATATTTCTGTGGAACTCTATGGTTCATTGAAACTGTCGCTGTTCAAACCTACCTTGCTTTCAATCTAACACATATTTGTAGTTACCTTGGTGGAACTATAACGGAGATTTGTCAGCCACTGTTAAGGAAACCTAACATTAACAGTACAAAAGCTGAGCAATACGAGAACTGCAGACAGCTTGTTGCACCTGCCATTTGGAGCATTAAAAATAAGTGAGTTGGGAAGGCTTTAGGAGATAGAGGAGTTCCAGATTTCTGCATAGCCAAAATGTCCTTGTTCCAAACTTTACTCCTGTTGTTTAATCCCAAAGGGGGATGAACCCAGGAAGTTCCCCCACACCTAACACATATTGTTTTTTTTTCTCCTTCTAGCTAAGAAGCTGCCAAAGAGCGAGCCCCAGAGCACAGGGGGTGCCGTGGGTCGGAATCGAGGGGTGGACCTTCACGAGCAGTCCCAGCAGAACAAGAGCCAGTGTTGCAGCAACTAAACGGTGGCATTAAAGCAGCCGGCGAGAGATAAGATATAACCTCCATTTCCGCCCCACCACACCACACCTCACCTCCAATAACAGCATCGGCGCACTTGGAAGCCGCCCTCCCTCCCTCCTCCCGAGAGCTCCGTTTAACTGCACTTCTAATGCTTCAGAAACCACCACCAGACGTCTGTTACCACCACCCCCCACGAGGAAAGTGGAGATAGACCGACCGGGGACTTAACTTCCAAAAACAAACTCTTTCTTCACTTTGTATTATAGGTGCAAATAGCTACCTAATTACTCTGATTCCCCTGCTCTGTTTTCTCCAGATAACATTTCCTCTCCTCTCTCTGCCCAACCCCTCCCTCCCCACCGCTGTCTTTGCTCTGTGTTCTTGGTCCTGTAACATCCACCCTCTCTTTACCTCCACCTCCCTTTATTTTGTTTAATGCTATGTGGGGTGGGGTGGGGAGGGTCACAACCGAGGGAGATCTTAATTCTTGTAGATTCATTTTTAAGAGCGAGGTTGAATGGGCTCCCTCAAGAAAATGCATTTTTGAGGGGGTCCTCCCAGAGTTGTTTTTTAATTTCCTTTTTTCCCGGTTTTCAGAAAAGCTGCAGTGTCCTTCATTTATCTTTTTTTCCAGGGCAGCCTTTTGTGGCTGGGTCGGAGAGGAAGATTGTATCTGAACTTTCGCTCGTGTCTTGCTTGCTATGACCTGAATGTGGCCCTTGGTGTCAGCGACATAAATCTGAGAATCATGCGTGTACAAGTGTAGAATATCGCAATTTGTTTCCTCAGACCCTCAGATAGCCCTTGATTTTGATGCCTTAGAAGTTTTGGCAGCCGGGATAGTGTAGCGGAGGGAGAGGAGTGGCAACGTTGACCTGCAGAAGACCAGTCAAAAAGGCGATTGTCTCTCCTCCTGTTGTGTTAATGTTCAGGTTGCTGTTTGCAGGTTGTGCTTCAGTTATCCAGAGTCCCATTAAGAGAGATTCTCTGCTCTGCTCAAAATGGGTGTGGCCTGCTGTCTGAAAGAAGAATGTGCAAGGGAAGTCAAGCTCCCTTTGTTCAGCTGGGATGCAGTAGAGGAGCCTGCTGAAGTTTCCTTTTGAGAGCTTCGGCCTGCACCTGTATGCACAGCCTTGCACGTTGCGCAGAACTTTTGTTCTAAAGTTGCCAAAAGGAGAAAGGCCATTGGGTCCTTGGGAGAAGGCTGGGGCTGCGGGTGCAGGCAAGTCAGAAACAGGACAACATGCTAGATGGGAAGAGAGCTGCTAGTAGGAGGACCAGTACTGTACTTTCTAAACCCTTTTACCTGCCAGGGAGCGCCCAGCTTGCCTTTTGGCTTTTTCCTATACCCTTGCAGAACCTCCCTGTGTACAAACCCAGTCTTGCCCTAGGAAGCTGTCGAGAGGTGGCAGTCTAGAGCGGTAGAGCAGCCCCTTCTGTCTTCAGCCTCCCTCAGACCCCAAGGGCTGTTTAAACTTGATAAGTGTTTGTGCCCTGTTTGTGTTCAGTTTTCTCTGTAAATAGTACAGCACAAATTTGTATAAATTAAAGGGGGGGGCGGGTGGTTGCGGGATTTTTACTTCCCTGCTATTAGCTGAACAAAGTAATAGCTTTTAAAATGTAGCTGTAGATAGTGCTGACCTGTAAAGGCGACGCATGCTACCATCTCTCACCCACATTTTGCTCTCTGAAGAGCTAGCAGCAGCCCAGCATCTCCGTTAGAAATGGCTCCTCTTCCGATAGTGGCCTTCACCAGGGTAAATAGCACCTTCCCGCCTCCATCCCTCCTGGCATTTTTTACTTGAAGCCTCAAGCATGAGTACAGCTTCTAAAATGTTAAGAGTTCCACAGTGCTGTCCACATCTTGGCAGCGAATCAGCTGGCTACCCACAGAAGCATCTCTTGGGTGTACTCTGTTGGCTCCCCCATGCAGACTTCTCACATATGGTTGAATGTTATTGTGGGACAGCTTGGAACGGATTATGTTTAAGCGCACACACACACCTGCACATCCTTTCCCATTATTTCCCTCGGCATGGTTTGAAGCACTCTCATTTTCCACATGCTTGCACCTGTGGCTTGATGCCGGTTTGCATTTACTTGCCTCTTCCCATTCACCAGTGCAGCTTAAATGGCTGATGTTCACCCAAGCAAGATGTGTGCATTTAGGGCTTTGCTCTTACCATAAGTTGATACGGTTAAATCCTGCACTGCTGACAGCATGCGGCGTTATTCTGCTGCCTTTGAAATGGCCTTCTACCGGTGGCTGTATTTGAGCTGGGAGCAACTAAGGAAGGAGCCGGACAAATCTGTCTACACGAGGCTTTGAGCAAGAAAACTCAAAATCTAAGTTAACTGGAAGTAATGTGTGCTGTGACTTGGCCCATCCAATTGACACACGTGCAGAGTTGCTCCACGCCGCAATTGTGCATGGAATTTCTGATGTCAGTGTTGATAAAGACTTATGGAGTGCCGTGGCACTTCCCCAGTATTTATTTTGTGATCTCAAACTTCACTTGTGTCTCTAGAGCAGAGCTGTGTGTGAGGGAGGACCCTGAAATGGAGCCTTGCGCCTTCAGCTGCATTCACTGTTAAAACCTACTTCACGGAGAGTTCCATCTTTTTGTTATGCACATGTAATGTGGTGTTCGTGGCCCTCCAGAAGGACCTAGGAGCAGGAACAAGCGTGCCCTATCCCATTCCAACAAAACTAAGGTGCTGTTTTGCTCTCGGCTCATGGCAAGGCAAAAATAGATTCTGCATTTAAATACCAAAAAAAATAAAAATCCCTAATGCTTTCATCTTGCTCACAAATTTTGGTTACTGCTTCCTGGCTAGTTCCTAGACCAAGTAAGGACACTGCAACTTTTTGCTCTTAAAAACCACACCCTTTCTCTTCTGCTTACTCTACTCTTCTGAACAGTTTGGTTTTTCTTTATTTTTTTTCTTTTGAGAAAGCTCTTACATTGCATTTAAAATAACAATCATGGTAACAGAATTTCAACTGCTGATTTACCAATGTATTTAATGTAAGTAAACAAAAAAAAATCAGTGTATTAGATGAACTTTCTCCTTTATTTCGATTTGAGATAAGTGACTTGGATGGTTCTGAACACAAGCTTGAGATGACTCTTGCCCATCAAAGCAGGGACATCCCAGTCATAGAGGCTGATTAGAGGGCCACTTTGGTTCAAGAGGTGACCCCCAAATATTAGGCAACACTTTGATTTTGTGTTTCTTTTGTTAAGCTCCACTGAGACAGCAAGAGCTATAAATTCTTAAGTCACTTAATTAACACGAATTAGTTAACCCTTAAAACCTTGAGCCAACCCTTTACTTTCTGTTGAAACTGGCAACAGAATCAGCATGGGAAGGTATAGCTAGGCAAACTGAATATAGAAAGTTTTTTCAAAAACTTAACATGTCAGTAGCAGCAGACCTGATCTGGTAGCAATGTAGGGAGTTTACTTCAGTAAACCTGGAATTCCTCAATAACAAATTCTCTTACAGTTTGGACAACAGTGTAATCTTTACGACCAGATAGACCCATGTTTACTAAGCAGTCCTCATCTCAATAGGATTTTACTTCCAAATAAGTTTTCCTAGGATTGCAGCCATAATCTGATATCTACGGCTTTCTTCTGGAAATGTGATTCACCCTGCAGGATGGGCATGGGGAAATTCCATACACCTAGGTATACTGTGGAAATTTCCACCCTAGGGACCACCCGCCTGGAAAAAACCCTGACATGATCAGTGTTAATGGAGTTTGCTTAATGGCAGTCAAAGCTCCCAATGAAGTCTAATGCAATGTACATTGGGGTGGGGGGATGTAAATGAGACACTTGAAAATACTGGCAGAGGCAGCAGGCAGCAAAAGAATGCTTAAGAACTGGTGATAGTTGTCCACTTGTTCCTGGTAAGGAGCTCAAGCGTATTTTCAGAGGATGCGGTGAAGAGAGGCTAAATGAAATTGTCAATTTCCAAATCTCGAGGAGCCATAACCCCACACGTGCATTTGGGGTGGGAGATGCCAAGCTTTCTAACATTAGAACAGGAAGGCCAGTAGGGGAAAAGTTCACGATCCCTTAGCATACACACCCCAACCTATAGAACTTGGACCGTGCTCAGTAACCACCTTCTCTATTTCCAGGGTAAATGGTGGTCGTGTCCCAGCTGAAAGCGCTCGATACTTTGCACTATTTTGATTTGCCCTTTGGCGCTTAAAAGTTTCAAAACGCTACCTTCTATGACAAGGGTATCCGCTAGCTAATGTACAACACCCAGGTAAAGGTAAAGGGACCCCTGAGCATTAGGTCCAGTCGTGGCCGACTCTGGGGTTGCGGCACTCATCTTGCTTTGTTGGCCAAGGGAGCCGGCGTACAGCTTCCAGGTCATGTGGCCAGCATGACTAAGCTGCTTCTGGCGAACCAGAGCAGCGCACGGAAACGCCGTTTACCTTCCCACTCTAGCGGTACCTATTTATCTACTTGCACTTTGACATGCTTTCGAACTGCTAGGTTGGCAGGAGCAGGGACCGAGCAACGGGAGCTCACCCCATTGCGGGGATTCGAACCGCCGACCTTCTGATCGGCAAGTCCTCGGCTGTGTGGTTTAACCCACAGTGCCACCCGCTTCCCATACGACACCCAGGCAAACATCTTAATATTTCTGGTTAACTTACTGGATCACTAGCTTACCATGAGCTGCATTCTGCATATGCTGGAATACTTGGCAGCTGAAACAAAAATTGCTCTGTAACTGATGGCTTGTGAAGTAGTATTCATACCTAGGCTACATTCTCTTAAAATCCTTCCACTCAAGAGGACATTTATTCTATGTGGCTAGCAGACATGTTCAAATCAGAGTAATAGTAGCAGGGTTTACCCCAGGCATAGGCAAACACAGCCCTCCAGATGTTTTGGGACTATAATTCCCATCATCCCTGACCACTGGTCCTGTTAGCTAGGGATCATGGGAGTTGTAGTCCCAAAACATCTGGAGAGCAGAGTTTGCCTATGCCTGGTTTACCCTAACAGAGTGAGGGAGCAAGTGAAAATCAGCAGAAGCCCTTTGGTAAATCCGTGTTGGCTTCCTTTATTCCTTGTCAACAATTGATATCTGTGGTTGTATTTTCACAAGGTGCCCACTAGAAGGCGCTGCTGTATAAACTGCCAGTTTCTGGAAAAGTTCATGTAATATGAGGGGTTGGTACCAGAAGTGATTGAAAGAAACCTTGCTTTTCCTCTCCCTCTGCTCGATCAGACCAGAAGATTGATTGTTTCCATATTTAACAAATAAACCCAAAGTTTAATATAACGGGGGCCGAAAACCAAAATTGCCTAATGATCCCAACCCAACAAAAGAATTGCCTAAATCCCACTACAACCTATATAGCGGGTGAGGATTGATCCTGCTGCCTCCGGAAAAGAAATCCAAACTAGAATAACAAGAGTTTGGCCTAAATGGATGTGACTGAAGAAGCAGAGTTGCCAAGCTTATTCAGTCTTCCTCCTCAATTCCTTTTGGTAGCAACATGACTGTCCGTCATAAATTATTTTAATATTAAAGTACCTTGTTGCCAGTTCAGCAGGGCAGTCAAAGCAGGCACAGGAAAACAAGAGACAAAATCTGTCCATGTTGAACCAGACAAGAGAGCTCTTTAGACTGCTAGAACTGATTCTACACTTGAGATCAATTGTCGTATTTTTCGCTCTATAAGACGCACCAGACCACAAGACGCACCTAGTTTTTGGAGGAGGAAAACAAGAAAAAAAATATTCTGAATCTCAGAAGCCGGAACAGCAAGAGGGATCGCTGCGCAGTGAAAGCAGCAATCCCTCTTGCTGTTCTGGCTTCTGGGATAGCTGTGCAGCCTGCATTCACTCCATAAGACGCACACACATTTCCCCTTTTAGGAGGGAAAAAGTGAGTCTTATAGAGCAAAAAATACGGTAATTTGTATGTAGAGCCAAGTCCTACGAAATCCCACAGAATTCAGCAGGATTCAAGGGAGTAATTATATGTAGAATTGCAAGTACTAGTTGTTTTGGGGGAGGATACCTTTTCGTATGAAGAGGCCTGAGGGTTAAGTCTCCCTTCTAGGAATCGCTCCCAATTGAGAGCCATTATTCATCTAAACACCTAACTAAAGCATCCTTGAAAATTTGGAAGCTAGTAGCGAGGCAACAATTGTTTCAGATTAGTCTGGCATAGTATCAAGAGATGCAGGTCACCATGTATTATGCAGCCAGTTTAAAATCCGATAATATAGGTATGCCAGTGTTGTCGCTATTAAAATACTTCTCAACTGCCATTCATGCCTGGGGGAGGAGGGTTCACAATTCCAATAAAAGCCACGCAAGAAAATGCATCGCAATCTATAATAGGCCAGCCACTTAACCAGCAAGTGCCTGAGTGCACAGAAATATGGGTCTTCAGAAAACAAAGCACATCAAAATTGGTGCTTGTCTCAGTTCAGATGAGAGATGGTTCTATAAACAGTAACACTAAAAAACAAAAAACACTCTTAAAAAGGCTTCAGCAGGTTGTTTCAAGATGGTACCTCAGTGGGCTGGGATCTCATTCAAAGATCTTTATAGTTCTCTCATTCTCTTGACCAGGTTTGAAAGAAGGATAGAGATCTTTATATATATATAAATAAAATTTTTATTAACAGGCCAATCAAATCACATTTCCAAATCACATTAGTTCCAAATTATACAGCCAGATTTTTAAATTTTTGTTGGGGGTACCCATACTTCAAGCTCCGAAAAGGGGTCCAAACATTACTTATATTGCTGCTTTAATTAGACAGTTCTATCCTGTTCTGTCCAGATAGTCTCTTTATTACTTTCCTCATCATCTTGTTGTTATTATCATATATTCCTTTCTTTGCGATCTCTGATAATAGAGATCTTTGCCATCTTGACCAGCGCATTTCAGCCTACATTAGCACAAAATCTCTCTACAAAAGTAAGGTTGCGTAGGACAAAATGGTGTTTTTTTATTCACTTTTGTACTCAAGTTCCCCAAGTTTGAAGTGATAAACGTATATTGATTCTTATTTTTTACAATCAATATATTTTTAAGCTAATTAGATTTAAAAAGCAACATTAGCGATTACACACACACACACACACACAGGTGTGTGCAAGTGCTGCCTAATTAATTCTGTAAATGGCTGAATAATTTATAGTTCTGTTTCCCCTTTAAATCTTACATACACTGCATTTTACTGATTGCCCACAGTCACTGGTGTATCTCAGTTCTTCAACCTCTATGAAGTTTGTATGCAAATGTTGGCGCTCAGTCTAACACTTCAGCTGCGATAAATTGAGCAGCAATTCTGACACCTGCCAACTGACATATCAGCAGAGGCGCACTGAATAGAATAGTGTTTGCTGTGTAGAAGACATGTGCTTTATCCTCATAACAAAATCCCATTTTCAAAATAGTCCTTAAGCGTCCTTCTGCTTAGTCTGCTATATACGGTACTTCTGCCTGGAGTCAGCACCCATGTTTTGTTGTTGTTGTTGTTTAGTCGTGTCCGACTCTTCGTGACCCCCTGGACCAGAGCACGCCAGGCACTTCTGTCTTCCACTGCCTCCCGCAGTTTGGTCAAACTCATGCTGGTAGCTTCCAGAACACTGTCCAACCATCTGGTCCTCTGTCGTCCCCTTCTCCTTGTGCCCTCCATCTTTCCCAACATCAGGGTCTTTTCCAGGGAGTCTTCTCTTCTCATGAGGTGGCCAAAGTATTGGAGTCTCAGCTTCAGGATCTGTCCTTCCAGTGAGCACTCAGGGCTGATCTCCTGAAGAATGGAGAGCTTTGATCTTCTTGCAGTCCATGGGACTCTCAAGAGTCTCCTCCAGCACCATAATTCAAAAGCATCAATTCTTCGGCGATCAGCCTTCTTTATGGTCCAGCTCTCACTTCCATACATCACTACTGGGAAAACCATAGCTTTTACTATACGGACCTTTGTTGGCAAGGTGATGTCTCTACTTTTTAAGATGCTGTCTAGGTTTGCCATTGCTTTAAACCCATGTTTTAACACCGTCTAAAACGCAGCCTTCTTACATAGCACCTTTTGTTGTTTCTCTTCTAATTATACAATTCTCTTCTAATTATTCAATTATGCATTGAAAGGAGACTTAAGAAAGGGCAGTTTGCACCACTGAACTTGTGTGGGTGATCTTGTACATGGGGGGTGGGGTGGGGGGTGGAATGCAGTTGACTTGGGGAAAATCTCTTCCTTTTTTAGCCTTTCTGCCACAGCCTGTGCCTCAACAACTGGAGCCATCTCTACCATTGGGCAGAGTGAGGCACCTGTCTCAAAGGGGCAGTGGTACCTCGGGTTACAGACGCTTCAGGTTACATACACTTCAGATTACAGACTTCTCTAACCCAGAAATAGCACCTCGGGTTAAGAACTTTGCTTCAGGATGAGAACAGAAATCGTGCTCTGGCGGCACAGCGGCAGCAGGAGTAAAGTGGTGCTTCAGGTTAAGAACAGTTTCAGGTTAAGAACGGACCTCCGGAACAAATTAAGTACTTAACCTGAGGTAAAGGTAAAGGGACCCCTAATCATTAGGTCCAGTCGTGACCGACTCTGGGTTGCGGCGCTCATCTCACTTTATTGGCCGAGGGAGCCGGTGTACAGCTTCCGGGTCATGTGGCCAGCATGACTAAGCCACTTCTGGCGAACCAGAGCAGCGCACGGAAACGCCGTTTACCTTCCCGCCGGAGCGATACCTATTTATCTACTTGCACTTTGATGTGCTTTCGAACTGCTAGGTTGGCAGGAGCTGGGACCAAGCAACGGGAGCTCACCTCGTCACGGGGATTCGAACTGCTGACCTTCTGATTGGCAAGTCCTAGGCTCTGTGGTTTAAGCCACAGCGCCACCCGCGTCCCTTAACCCGAGGTACCACTGTACTGATGTTTTGTAGAACAGCTGCTGTGTGTCACATGGGCAGGTTTGCACCCCCTAACTTAGCCTACTGCTCTTGACAATAATGAACCATGCTGTCTTGGTCTAGTTGGCTTCTGTACATGAAATGGAATGGGTGCGTCTTAGAATAGCCCTGTCGATTATATGTCAAACAGTTTTACAAACGAGAGGGTGGTTCCCTCTCCCTGTGGCAAAACAAAACCTTGTTGCGTTCACAAGCTGTGTCGGGATATTGATTTCCTGGCTCTGTAAACAGCTGTTGGAGAAAGAGACTTCCTTCACATGCCAGGCATAGTATGAATTTATTGCCAGCCCTTCCTCATGCCCTATCTTTTGGCCAGCAATGTTTCATTACCTTAGCCCAAATTCAACAAAGTGAATCAAGCAGGCGCCTAGTGAACATTTGGCATGGAAACTCCCAAGAAATGTTTCCTTGTAGGGAAGGGCCATGGCTTGGTGCTACAGCACACACTTAGCATGCAAAGAGTCAGGTGACTCTCTGATTCCCTGCCAGATCACAGAAAGTCTGGGAAATTTATTATGATAATCCTGAAAGGTCACTGCAGCCAGTAAGGCAAAGGACCCCTGGCCGGTTAAGTCTCAGACCGAGGGAGCCGGCGATTGTCCACAGACAGCTTTCCAGGTCATGTGTCCAGTATGACTAAACCGCTTCTGGCGCAACGGGACACCGTGACGGAAGCCAGAGCGCATGGAAACGCCGTTTACCTTCCCACCGCAGCGGTACCTATTTATCTACTTGCACTGGTGTGCTTTTGAACTGCTAGGTTGGCAGGAGCTGGGACAGAGCAACAGGAGCTCACTCCGTCACGGGAATTTGAACCGCCAACCTTCTAATCGGCAAGCCCAAGAGGCTCAGTGGTTTAGACCACAGCGTCACCTGTGTTCTGGAGCTGCCACTGCAGCCAATAATGGGATATATTCACTGAAGGCCTGACGTGGAATAAGCTAGCCTCCTGGGCTCCTTTTGTGCTGCAGTACAGTGCTCCCTTCTGCTGAATGGAAACAGGTTACTAACGACAGTTCCGCTCCTTTTAGTTGCCACTCAGTTGTTCAAAGCTAATAGAGTATATTGGGGCTTGTTCCCATAGGAGAGGGCTGGAGATTTCCTCCTGTCCTTACTGGTGAATTTACATTCTTATCTATAATGGTATGGGGTTGCTCGTGCGTAAGTTGCCGCCTCTCCTGGCTATGTTGCCTTGTTAAACCTTTCTGTCTGGACAGCCCTTCAATTCGTGGCTGCCGCAGTCGCTAGCAGAATCCGTCAGTGGGCGTTTCTTAAACCTTTTCCAACATAAAAGTTGTTTGACACCCAGTCTCCTCCTACTTTCTCTGCGCGGAAGTCTTCTGTGCAGGGAGGGCGTGGGTAGCGGAGGACCAGTGCTCTCCCCGCTGGTGTCCGGTGAAGAGTCTGGGAGCCCTCTCTCCGATTCCCCCATCTGCCCCTCCTTATTCCTGGTGTTGCACTGAATTGCTTCCCCATTTGCTGAGCTGCCTCTCTCCCTGCTGGGCCCTTCTCCAGCATCATTAGAGAGCCTCCCCTCCACCTCTAGCTCCGATGTCAGTTCCCTGACATTATCTTTCCATAACAAGTGCCCATGTGTGCTTTTCTGCACTTAGTTGATGAAGGGTATACGTCAAGGAAAGCCGCCGTATGGCATAACCTCCAGAAACATCTGTTTTCCAACTCACAACACGTATTTAAGGCTGCAATTCTATTACATTTACCTAGCAATAAGTGCTATGGAACCTCATAAGACTCAAAAGCATACAAGACACGTGACTGCTGTTTTCAAAATCAGAAGCACTGCTACTGAAGGGATGTAGCTCAGAAGGTCCAGGTTCAAGCCCTGGCAGCTCCAGGTAAGCGCTGGGACTTCTGCCAGAAATTTTGGAGAGCTGTTGCTAGGCAGTACTGTGTTATATGGATCAATGGTCTGGCTCGGTATAAGGCAGCTTCCTATGCTGCTATGCTTTAAAGCCAATGTAGGGAACCTTTGGTCCTCCAGATGTTGCAGAACTACAACTCTGATCATCCCTGGCCATTGGCTGTGCTTGCTAGGGGTTGATGGGAAGTGTAGTTCAGCAATCTCTGAAAGGCCACAAGTTGCCCATGCCTGCTTTAGAGGAACACCCACCACCGCGCACTGCAATGGCATTTTTATTTTTATTTTATAATTTTATTTTTGACAATAATCATATTTTTGACAGTAATAATCATAAATAAATACAAATAAAAATGTGCACCCCACCACCGAGACCATTCCATTGTAACTATCCAACCTCCCAAAATTGTGATGGTTTGACCCCTTTTCCATTTTAACAGTACAAATTCTACAAACACCTTCCATATCTCCTCAAAATCGTTTCTCCTGCATATTCCCCGTCTTACTTTAATGGCACATGTTAATTTATCGTTAATAGCTATATCCCACACCTCTTTACACCATTCTTCCATTTTATATTCTGCTTGCCCCTTCCACTTCCTAGCTATATTAATTTGTGCAGCTGTCAATAAATTTGTGAGCAAGTCCTTCATAGCCTGCGAACCTTCCACCCCATCGTAAATTGATAATAATGTTACCTCTGGACTTTTGGTCGGCTACAGTGGCATTTTAAAACCCATATCCATCCCATTTTAAAACATTAAAAACACACAACTTTTTTTATTTTAATAAAGCTATAAAGAATCCCCCATCTCCTGCAATGCACACATAACATAGACAATAATGGCAATGAAGTCATTTGGATGAAAGGCAGGCTTATGATTATCTCTGGATATAAATTTTATATGGAGGACTGGGAAGGGTGTATTGGAGGTAATATCAATCTGTATATCAACAAGAACATGGGAGTCCAACAAGCTACAGATCCCCCAAATAGCGGACTCCTCTGCAGAATTGCTCTAGGTGGCGATACCAGACCTGAAGGGTAATGTAGGAGCAGGGATATATTATCATCCCCCAAACCAAAATGCCCAGAGTGATTCTAAGATAGAGAAGGAAATGAAGGAGGGATCCAAAAGTGCAATATTAACTGGTGATCAACTTTTTGCCCTCACTACCTTCACTCCCATTGTTCCTGTTAAGTTGTGGGTGAACATATCAGACGACACAGCGATTCTTCAAACAGCTCTTGTTTACTCACAGAACAGAACAGAACTGAACTGAAGGGTTCAGCCAGCCTGCTTATATAGAGCTCCACTACAATGCAACTGTAACACTTTCTGTAACTATCCAATCACTGAACGTCACTTTCAATCCCTTATTTGCATATGTGGACCTGAGTGAAAACTATCCACAGTATCCCCCTGCTGGCCCAGGGTGAGAAATTCAGTACATAACAGTTATAGGTGCATTTTGCAACAGGGGATTTCATTAGTGCAAGCTGTTTTTTGAGCTCTGGGCACGGTACCGCACCTGAGATTTCAGATTAAAACTGCAGAGTGGAAGGAAAGGAGGGCCTTTTTCTGCCTCCCCACTTCCAGCTACTCTCTGAAGACTAGGGAAGAGACCCTCTTAAGGATATTAAGGGGATGGGCAGGGGAAGGACTGGACCATGTGAAAAATGATGGTAAGATTTTAGCTGCAGTTCATTTATTTTCAGCTTTGCATTCTTGTTATTAAAAAAAAAAAAAAGCCCGTAGACATTTTGTTGTTGTGCCCACAACCTAGGTTTAAGGTGCCATTTAGCTTCTAGCTTTCATATTTCAGTTTCTAACACTGCTTCGCATAGACAAAGCATATGCATATTCCAGTCATGACAAAAAAGCAAAATTTCTAGATGCCCTAAATGACTGTGTCCTAGAACAGTTGGTCACATAACCAACAAGAGGGGAGATGACTTAATATTAAGCCCAGGACCTGGTAAGAGATATAAGTGTAACTGAATTGGAAACAGCGACCATAGTACTATTAAATTCAACATAGATGTAGATGGACAATTGCCAACAAAGTCCCACCCAGTCACATTTGACTGCCAAAGAAAATTTTTGCCAAAAATGAGGTAAAAAAGAAGTTGAAGTGGAAAGTCAAGAGGGTCAAATCTCTCCAGAATGCTTGGGGGTTGTTCAAAACCATAATAATAGAAGTTTAGCTAGAATATATACTGCAAATCAGAAAAAGTACCACCAGGCCTCAGAGGATCCCTGCGTGATGAGCAGAGTTAATAAAGCTATTAAAGGCAGGAAGAGACCAAAAGGAAGAAATATTGGCAAAAGAAATCTAAGAAGACTATAAGGGATGCAGAATATGTAAGTACCGGTAAGTATTTAGCTGAAGAACAACAACAAAATAATTGCATTAGAGGCAGATGAGCAGCCAGGGAGGTGGCTGGACCTTTCAAAAACAAGGAAGTCAGAAGGATGCTAAAGGAGGAAATGAATATTGCAGAACTTTGCATATGTCTCCTCAGAGGGAGGTGTAGCGCAGATTCCTGTATGTCAAGTAGTGTCCTCAGGAAAAACAAAGTCTGAGGAACTGACGAAACTAATGGTGATAAGATACCAAGTTAGCAGACTTATAATGACAACTTGGAAACTGGCAACGCTTAATTAATTAATTGCATATATCTTCACAGTGGAAAGAGTGGGGCAGATCGCTGTAACTAAATTAGTTCCTCAGGAAAGAATGAGGAACTTATGCAACAAAAATTTTAACACCTACTGACAATTTTAAAACTGACAGATTTGTCCGTTCCGGAAGGCATCCACCCAAATATTCTTAAAGAACATTGTTGATCTTATAACAAATATATTCAGCTTGTCCCTAAGATCAGCCTCCGCATCAAGGACTAGAAAGTGGTCAGTTTTAAAATCGGAGCAAGATGAGATATGGGAAATTACAGGCTACTTAGGTTAATATCAGGACGCCGGTGGCGCTGTGGGTTAAACCACAGAGCCTAGGATTTGCCGATCAGAAGGTCAGTGGTTCAAATTCCCGTGACAGGGTGAGCTCCCATTGCTCGGTCCCTGCTCCTGCCAACCTAGCAGTTCAAAAGCACGTCAAAGTGCAAGTAGATAAATAGGGACCGCCCTGGTGGGAAGGTAAAAGGCCTTTCTGTCGCTGCTCTGGTTCGCCAGAAGCGGCTTAGTCATGCTGGCCACATGACCCGGAAGCTGTATGCCAGCTCCCTTGACCAATCAAGCGAGATGAGCGCCGCAATCCCAGAGTTGGCCACGACTGGACCTAATGGTCAGGGGTCCCTTTACCTTTACCTAGGTTAATATCTGATCTGGGAAAACTGGAGGAAAACATTATTAAAGCTAAAATTACCAAAATTAACAGGGTTGGGGAAGCTGGGGCTCTCCAGCTGCTGAACTTCAACTCCCATCATCCCTAACCATTTACTGGGAGTTGGGAGCCCTCCATCTGCCGGATCACAACTTCCTCATACCTGGCACAATGCTGTTATACAAATCTATGGTGCAATCACACTTGGGATACTGTGTGCTGTTCTGGTCACCTCACCTAAAAATAAAAAAAAGACATTGCAGAGCAGGAAAGGTTTTAGAAAGGGCAAACTAGATGGCACAACAGAGATGGCACAACTTCCCTATGACTAAAGGTTATGACATTTGGGATTTTTAGAAATTTTCATAGTTGGGGGAAAACAACTAAGGAGGGAACATGACAGAGGTGCATATGTTTATTATGCAGTACATGGGTTGTTGTGGGATGTGGGTGGCACTGTGGGTTAAACCACAGAGCCTAGGGCTTGCCGATCAGAAGGTCGGCGGTTTGAATCCCCGCGACAGGATGAGCTCCCATTGCTTGGTCCCTGTTCCTGCCAACTTAGCAGTTTGAAAGCACCTCAAAGTGCAAGTAGATAAATAGGTACTGCTCCAGCGGGAAGGTAAACGGTGTTTCCATGCGCTGCTCTGGTTCGCCAGAAGCGGCTTAGTCATGCTGGCCACATGACCCGGAAGCTGTACGCCGGCTCCCTCGGCCAATAAAGCGAGATGAGTGCCGCAACCCCAGAGTCGGCCACAACTGGACCTAATGGTCAGGGGTCCCTTTACCTTTACCTTTACATGGGTTGTTGGGGGTGGGTTGGGGGTGGGTAGTACCTCTGGTGGGGGTCATGCTGTGCTCCTTCTGAGGTAGTTTATCCACCTTTGGTCCTCCCTTATCCACCCTACACTCAGCCCTCACCTGTGGCTCCTATTATTATTACTATTATTATTATTCTTAAATTTTATTTATACCCCGCCCTCCCCAACCAAGACTGGGCTCAGGGCGGCTAACACAATAAAAACAATAAAAACAATTGACTGAAATACAACTTAAAGCAAGATTAAAATACAACATTAAAATACAGCCTCATTTCAGTAGGAACGCAAATCAAAAACTTTTTGGGGGATGAAAACGCCAAGTCTTCACCAAGGCCAACTATCCAAACTGGTCCTACGTGGGCCAGAAAAAAGCCAGGGAAGTGCCCAAATAGGAGTTCCATCACAGAAGGAAAAAGGAAGAGGGGGAGGGGATAGATTTGATTCCGCCTAGAAGCTGTCAGGAGGTGACAGCAGCCACTCCCAAGGAATGGCTTCGACCGGCTGGCTAAACCAAGTGAGGGTAGCCGAAGGGTCTTATAAGCCCTTGGTGAGTTAGGGACTTGCCCTGCGTGAGAAGACAGGCTCTGGTGGATTGAGGAGACAAGACCAATAGTGGGCCCAGTGGTCAAGAAGGTTTCAGTATGTGCTGTAGAGGGAAGTGAGGGGCAGAACTCTGATTCTATACCTTCGCTGCCTTGCGGGGCATCTTTTGAAGAAGATAAGGCCAAAGTAAACCCTGCACACATCCAGAGTGGAGTTCCTAAGACGGTTGGATGGCACCTTGTACTCC